TCCATGCTCGCAATTACTCCGTTCCCGTTGAAGTGCTTGTTAACAGAGGCGGTCAACGCCTTGAAATACGCCTTTGCCAGGTCAACTCTCCCTCCGTAATTCTCACACAGCATTTCCAACAACTGCCACGTCCCCAGAAACAAAAAAATAAATAACAAATATATACCATAAAAGTAATTAAATAGACAGCATTGAGTACTGGATAGAACTTACGTGGATGACGTCGACTTTAACGCCGTCGATCCCAGCGTTTTCAAGATGCGAGTGGATGCCATCGTACATCTGGTCCACCAGCTCGGGCGGGACCAACCCGATGCCATTGCTAACAATCTTATCCACGGCGAGATCCTCCATGGTCTTCTCCAACCCGGGAGACAACTTGGGCCTGACCACGACGCTCTCCGGCAGGCCCGGAACATTGGGCCGGATCCCGCCCCAATACCCACACAGCGCGTGCCAAACATAGACGTAATCCACCGTCCCGAACTCATCCTTCAAGTCCCTCACAAACGCGCCCATGCCCTTTTCGGTAACTTCCGCCTTCCTGCTGGCGTAATCCCGGAACTTGTAGTTCTCCTGAAACTTGAGCAGCCGGCACGGCATCTGCTCCCCGGCGACAGTGTGGTTCATCCCTTCCTTCGTCACCGGATCCTCGTCGTGGCTGATCGACTGCCACCCGTCGTCGATCAGGACCAGCCCCGGCGGGCACCCGCCGTCGGCGAGCCCCTTGACGCCGTCCCAGATCCCCTGAGGGTTCACCGTAAGGTAGAATGCGTCCCACGTGCACCACCCGAATTTGTCCACGATCCCCGGTGGGTCCTTCTCGTCGAGCAGCTTGAAAGTCCCGAGGTGGGCCCGGACGACTCCCATCCCTTCTTTCATGAGGGTAAAAGGGTCATTCCCGGCGTGAACGTACACCACGCTGTGGAAGGACGAGGCCTTGACTTTCGTTGACCCGCTCTCCACGCAGACGTCCACGTCATCGTCCTGGCCGGGCTGGAGGGAAGCCCGAAACTGCCCTTCCAGAATCGGGACGATTAACACGTAGGGCCCACCGGTTGGTGACGTGTCGAGGAGGAGGAGTTGGGTCTCGTGTTCGAGGTCGCGGCCGTTGGATCCAACCCAGTGGGTGGTCCACCAGACTTTGAACCGGAAGATGCTCATGAACCGTAGGTTCTTGAGCTTCCCGATGGGAGACACGTGGCGGTGGTCGGGTTCTGCGGCGTTGAATCCGAGGAAGGCTCCGGATTTGTCGGCGGAGGCGGTGAGGGTGATGTTAGTCGGGACGTCGGTGAGGAAGGCGTGGCCGTTGGATTTGAGGGTTGATCCGTCGAGGGAGATGGCGCAGGCGGCGGGGGAGGGGTTGAGGAGCTGGTTGGCGTGGGATTCCATCAGGTCGTTGATTTTGGCGCTCAGTTTGGGCGCGCTTGGAGCCATTGATGCCGGAGGAGGAAACAGACAACAAGGTGTGGAGAGCTGGATTCAATTGCGGCAAGGAAGAGAGTTGATTGAGTGGGGAAATGGGGAGTGATGACCGGGGAAGAAAAGGGGAGAGATTCGGTTTGTGGGGGGATATATTCTAGAAATAAGGAGAAGGAACGAGAAGGCTAGAATTTACTTCTATGTGCTTTTTTTGTTTGGTGGGAAGGTTTTCGATTCTCTGTGTCTTTCTATTTCTAATGAGGAATGAAGGGATGGTGTTTGCGGGTAGGCAAATGCAATGAAGTGGGTTATTTTACTACCTCCAGTTGGAGTGAAGAAGTGACCCATACTTATAGGGTAGCTTCTTCGTGTTACTGTTGATTTAATTAATAGGGTAATTAATAATGAAAGGGAAAGTTAGAGTAGGACGGTGGCATTGGTTTGGAAAATCAACCGACATGATTTAGATATTATCATAGACTTATCCGAGTTGATTAGTGGTCGTTTTTCTCGTTGATTTTACTTGAAATGTGTGGTAATGAAGACTCTTTGCCTTTTTTCTTTATCAAGAAAACTATTTTTCCTTTGGGAACATATGTGTTACTGGAATGGCGAGTTTGCCAGGAGAAATGAAAAATTCGGTCTGGCTCATTTTATACGATTTGTTTTTTGGTGTGACTGATACACGTTCCGTAGGTGGTGTGGGGCTGGCTATGTGTACTCTTCTCAATCTGGATTAACTTAACTCGTTCCCATTTTCAATTCACTTTTGTTTAAATTACATTTAATTTTACTCAAATTACTTGTGATTTTACTTTTATTATCTCTTTTTTTTTTTAAATATCTCTTATTCAGTCATAATGAAATTGTAAATATGTGAGAACTGAGAACTTCAACTTCTCAAATAATTTAATTCTTATTATTTTATCGAGAAACAAATATGTGTAACGAAATACCGGATCCGGACACCATGATGGCAAATATGAAATATTTGACGAGACATATGCGGCGGTGATGGCGTTTGGCGATCAGTGCCACTTGGTGAGGGGACGTCCCGGCGGGCCCAATACCCACCGGCCCATACATATCCGGAGTCCGGACTTGATAACTTGAACAGGCGGGGTCCTCCAGATGGGGCCACGTTGCCGGCGCCTTCTCTAGCAAGTAATTAATCAGTGACGAACGATCGATAAGTCGTAACCGAAATGGAGGAAAAAGGAAGAAAAAGCAGCCACGTTGAAACAAAAACACTAACGGCTTCCCAACCGCTCAACTAACAATTCCAGCAAATTAAAAAGCACCACGTAGAGCAGATAAACGCGTTTAAGAGACACTAGACTGGTAGTTATTAACAGGTCAACCGAGGTGGTTAGTTCTATGAGTGAAAAAGCAACAGGTGGATTAGTGAGTAACAAGTAACAACCGGATAAGTGGATAACCAACGGGACAAGGCTGCATGGCATTGGCACCTGGACGCCATTGTCGCGCTGGAACTGGAAGGCCTCCCATTCTTTACTAAATAAGACCAAAACGTACGTACGTGCCGGGGAAAAGAGCAACAGTGGTCAATTAATAACCGACAATTGGGATTAGGATAAGGATATTTAATCTATCTGCTTACTGGGAAAAATTAGATTGCGATCGTCCTGCCGACGAATTGAGGGCGTTGGGCTTCGGACGGTGTCTCCACTTTACTGACGCTTGGCAGTCTTGGGCTCTTGGCTCCGGTGGGAAACAGAAGAGTCAAGTCCGTTCAAACTCCTCTTTAAATCTTTTTTGACCGCGGGTTCTTTTTTGGTTTAGTTTGGTTAGTTTCTTTCACCTAATTTTACGGTGTCGGTGGTCGTAGATAGGACAGGACCCATCTTGGACAGAAATTCGCCACGTGATAATGTGTTCTGGGCTCTCCAATTTCATGGGCCAAGATAGGTGACTAAGGGGTTCTCTTAGTCACATGCCTAAATCAATCAGCCATTGAAGCTCCTTCAAATCTAATGATTCAGATTTATATAGTTTAATGAAGGGTAAAGTGGTAATCACATAATTTATTTATTTATCATTTAAAACAAAATAAATAAAAAACAAACTAGCCGCGCTGCAGCCCGCCCGTCCCGGCCCATTTCTGGGAATTTCCCCGCCGGCGGGAGGTAATGGTGGCCGGAAACTTTCCTGGTGTGGCGGTCCATTTTAATGACTAGGGAATGGGAATATATCCCCTCTGCATGGAGTTCCTGGCGTGGAATGGGAAATATATCCCCTTCTCCAAGGAGTTCCTCGCGTGTAGAGAGAGAGAGAGATTTTCGTCGACGGAGGAAATTTTTTCTGGTGACCGGAGGAGCTTTCCGGCGACCAGCGACGACGGAGAAGAATTTTTCGGCGACACTGCTAGATTTGTGATGTTTGTTGATCTATTTTGTAATGTTTGTATCGATTCGGTTTGTATTGTTTATCATTCTTGTTTGTCATTTTTAGTGACATTTTGTACGGTTAGTATGCTTTGTACTATTTGTCGGTTTATTTTGTAAACTTTGTTATTTTGTAATGTTTGTGGGTTATTTTGTAATGTTTGTAAGCTTTGTTATTTTTGTGCACCATGTTTATCATTTTTGTCAACCATATTTGTAATGTTTTTTATGTCTAAAAAACAACCTGGTTGACTTTTGGATGGAACTCCTCTATATAGGGATGAAGCCTTCAAAGTCAACCCGGGTGTTTTTCTAGTTTGTATGAATTTTCGGTCTAGTTTGTCATTTTTGTCCACCATGTTTGTAATGTTTGTATGTCTAAAAAACACCCGGGTTGACCTTTGGGAAGGAGCCCCTCTATATAGGGATGGAGCCTCCAAAGTCAACCTGGTTGTTTTTTCTTTTTGTATGATTTGTATTGTTTGTCGGTCTAGTTTGTATTTTTTGTACAGTTCATATGTTTGTAATGTTTGTAAATCTGTTTGTATATTTTGTCGCTCTAGTTTGTACTGTTCGTATGTTTGTATGGTTTGTACTGATTGTAAGTCCGGTTTGTATACTTCGTAATTTTCCATAATACCCAAACTACCCCTGTCATTAATTAAATAGCCCTTCCCACTTTTTAACCATTGGATTGAAGTATCCATATCTGATGGCTAGAAGGGGCTTAGTCAAGTGACTAAGGACCCCCTTAGTCATGGAATCCGCTCTCCAATTTCATAACTGCCTTATTCGGGTTGCAGTGAGCACCTCTGGCCCACCTACAGGCCCAGCCCATTTCATAAATTTACAGTAGACGAGTCCAAAATGTGATTTCCACATCAGTTGACCTAGTGGTGTAGGGGGAAGAGGGGTCAATATTTTGTCTTTAAGTTCTTCACTTTGCTTAGGACCAAGGAGAAACCGCTGTTTGGTTTCTTGTGAGTCGAATGAACGAATAAAGTGTCAGCACTTTCAGTTTAGAAAAGCTCGGAGCTTTTAATCCCTAATCTATATCTACAGCTGACGCACGCTTCACTACTACTTAATTAATTAACGGCTAAGCGATTTCATAACCTGAGCTTTTCTTAACCATAGCCTCCCTTTTTTTTTAGTGAGTGTATTGGCTAAAATCATCAAAAATAGTATCTGCATCAGAAGTACTGTAGATTTCAATCTTTATTTCTGGAGCTATCAATTAAACGGCCTTCTATACACAAATATACAAGGCATGACGATGGCGACCCAAAAGAATAACAATCAAACACAACTCGTCTTGCACACTACTCACTACGTAAGAAAAGGAGAAGAAGATACAACAACACACGCTAAACCTAGGACGATTTGGATTCGGTACCCAATTGCCTTGTAGTGACTCTAATTTAGAGCTCTCTCTCTCTCTCTCTTCAGTTTTATGTTAAGCTCCACTTTGTATACTTTTATCCTTCCGTATTATTGAGAGGTTAAACTTAACACTAGTTTTGTTCAATTAACGTATCACCATGAGGATCAGGGATTGTCTGTTGCTTTATGGACTCCGAGCTCAGACTGCTGACAAAACGAAATGAAACTCGCCGAATGAGAACCAGAATATGGAGGCGCCAGCAAGCAATTTGAAAGTGATTCTTGATACTGCATAAATGAGTCATGGAAGATAAACCTTACCATATTGAGGAGTCGGAGGGCAGCGGGGCGTGTGAATTTCCTTGCAAAAAGGAAGCACGTTGAAGGTTTCCCTTTGCTGGTGCACCACTCTCGTCTGTATTCAGTCTCGTAGTAAATGTTATCAATATCCTGCAAATGCATCACCGTTAGTATGTCACTTCACTGGAGAAGGAATTATTGCAGAAAGAAAACTGTGTAATGGTTTGATTTTACTAGTACCTTGATAGACTGTATCAGCATGGGAGTAGCATCAGAAAACTTGTAGGATACAGGATGCCATCCGCGGCGTTTGGGGTCTTTAGATGATGAAACGTCCCATGAAGTGTGAGTCAATGATCTTCGTGTTATTTCTTTCTCGAGGCCCTTTTGCTGATTTAAAAAGAGGAAGAACGATAGAGTGTTTCAACAATGTTGTATGATGGAGCAGGGGGGAAATCAGAGAGGGGGTTTGGTAAGTCAAAGAAAGCATACAGGATAATTGTTGAACTGTATGGACGATGGAATGAGAAAGTAACTTACAGCTAATAATGTTTGGACATAATGTTCATCAGGTATACAATTGTGCTCTTTAGATGGATCAGTAGGCTGCAATCACAGAAATTCGAAGAATATGGTGGATCAGAATGCATCAATCTCAACATTGCATGAAGCTGAATTTACAGCATGAGTATGAACAACATCGTATAAACTTAGTAGTACTTACAAAGGGTTGATCCCTCCAGAACTCAGGTAGCGATTTCCGCTGTATGTCAATAGCAGCAACAGTCAATCTCCAATTAAGAGAATCAGACAGAGAATACAGCTAATGGCGAATTAAGAAACTTCCAAGCCGTTCAAGGGAATTCCATTTTTTATAAAATGAGGAAACAGATTCTGCACTTCGAGAATAAATGAACAAAGAACGCAAACAGACAAACTTACTCTGCAATGCTTTTGAAAAGCAGGAAAGACAGTACTGTCCTGCACTACAACCTCAGCATGCTTTCTTGTTAGAACAACCCACTACAAGAAGGAAACGAGAAAATAAAGATTAGGGAATCTGCACGACGATCACAAAATTGGATTTCACCATGCAAGCTTTAACAGCCTTTTGTTAGCCACAGGAGTAATCATGCAAAGAAAGTAGCTGACCACCTGCGATCCTTTCCTCCAGTTATCTACAGGGATCACTGGGTCCATCTTTGGATTGTAGCGACCTTCTTTTGTATCAGCAAAGCTGCATGCAGATTTTAGGTTAAACATTAGTGTTATGATCAGCAAAAGCCAGACATGCAGATGCAGTTCTGATGCTGCAGGAACTGTTCCCACTCTACAGCAAATACCATTATGTGTTGTTAAGCAATCACAAGCAGAGGTAAAAAGAAACGAGAGTAATAGCTAACAAAGAGAAATTCCCATAGGATTGCCGTGAAGCACTCAGACTATCCATCCCAACCACAATCCTTCATGGAAAACACAAGTGGCAAGAACTAGACTGGAATGCATCTTTACTCTTTGGTTCAGTGCCAACTTAAGCATGACTTTTTACACAGAAGCTAAAGGACTAACCTGTCTACAAAACTGGTTGATGTTGACATGATATAGTCATATGTGTAGCTGAAGTTGTAAAGAGGTATGCAGCTGAAAAAAGATCAAGCAACTGAAAGCTTGTTAGCCAATAGCAACCCATAAAAGTTAAGCTCGGACCACGGACAAAATAAGTCCTAATAACAATAAGACATGAAGAAATTCCCTGAGATGCCTGAGATGCTGAGTCACACACCTGTCTGAGAGGAAAACAAAGCGCTTGTTCGAAGGATCCTCAAGTGCATGTCGTAGTAATATACGCTCTGCCTCAATCATACTAGCTCCCCCCCAATCTACCTGGAATAAAAGTTCCTAAGCCAATGATATTCCACAAAGTGTAATCTTTTAAATCAAAGCCATAGCTTTGCCACAAGAATCAAGGCTGAGAAACATTTATTCAAGCAATGATATACTTGGTTCACAGGTTTCACAATGATTCATTATCTTCTACAGAGCTAATAGATAGACCAATGTGCACAAATGCAAGCACTCATAATTTAGAGGCAGTTTTTTTTGTAATGCTGTTCAAAATGTACATAATTGCAATGCCAAACCAAATGTTTGTGGTCGAAAAGCTACAACAATCGACAGAAGAAACAACAACCTGAATGCTATCGTTAAGTTGTCGATCCAGGAAATACTCCGACCTCGTCGTTGCCTCGTTGAATAGAAATCCAGGCCTGGAATGAACAAAAACTGAAAATCTCGACTCCTCGCCCTGCAAATAACACAAAAAATGCTTCATTCATTAGCACTCACTAGTCACTAGCCCTAAAAAAGATGCATAAACCAGTAGTTCCTGCATTATAAAAGATGGAACAAACTCTTAACGTATCAAAGCGATCAAGAATCTCAAATTCTCTCTTGAGCCCATATGAACAGCAATCAGACAATTAAGCATCACTCTGTAGCAATTCAGCATCATTACTCACACGCATGACACAGAACTCGAAATAGATCCTTTTACCTTGAAAAAGACATCCCAGACTACTTCGAGAGGGAGCCGATTCCGAGCGATGAACAGGAAGGCGATCTTCGGCGGCAGCTGCTCCTGCTGCTCGTGACGGAACCGCGCACTGAGCGCCATGATTTGACTGTTCTGAGTCTGCATCAGAACCAGACTGCATAAGCAGAACCCTAGCAGCACCATAGCAAATACTTGTCTCCTCCATTTGCAGTGAGACTTGAGCTGCTGCTGCGTCGCCGCCGCCGCCTTCCTCTGCTTCATCTATTCCTGCAATCCGAATCTCGCTTCCTATCAGTTCAATCCCTCCTCCACCATTTCCAAAACCTCAGAAGAAGCTTCAAAGGGGCGGATGAAATGATTCTCAGCTCGATCCAGGTGACAGTCGTGAGCCGGAGTTCGGCACGGTGAGGGCGTGAAGGCTTCGCCGATTGGAGCTGCGGGGACCAGTTGACGAATTACGAAAGTCACGGGATAGTCCCGGTGGAGATTTATGTTGAGAGGATGGATGGAGATCTCTCTGGAAGCTCTCTTAGAGATTTGGGTGGGAAGATATGAAGCGTAAACGATATAGGAAGGAAGAAAGAGGAAAGGGAAGGGAAAGTTGAAGTGCATATTGAAGACCCAAGAAGTGAGTTTCTATTATTCCATCAGCGTATTTATAGTACAAAGCAGCAGGGAGTTGCTGTATACAAGGAGTGAAGTAAGGAACTGCCCATGGTGGCAACGTTCCACAAATAACAACCTATTAACAACAACTAACAGAACTAGAGTATCTTGAGGAGCAAGTTCCTCTTCACGCCCCCGCAAGTGAAGGCTCTGTGAGCCGGAACTTGGAACAAAATTTGTTGAAAGACTGCCTTGGTAACGGTTTGGTCAATACGTCCGCTAGCTGGTCTGGAGCCGGTAAGTAATGAACACGCAGCTGCCCTTTGCTCACTTGATCACGAACAAAATGAAACTCTATTTCCATGTGTTTGGACCGATTATGAAATACCGGATTGTGCGCAAGAAACGTGGCACCAAGATTATCACACCATACAGTCGGAGCAGTGGGTATAGATTGGCCAAGTTCATGAAGTAAAGTTCGGAGCCAAAGTACCTCAGAAGCAAGCGTGGCAAGGGCCCGATATTCACATTCTGTTGATGAGCGAGCGACTGATTTTTGCTTGCGAGTGGACCAGGACACTACATTGGCACCACAAAATACTGCAAATCCCGTGATGGACTTGCGGTCTTTGGGACAGGAGGCCCAAGACGCATCGGAATATCCGTGAACATGAAGGGAGGAAGACTTGGTGAAGACAAGGCCACGATCCAGAGTACCGCGAAGATAACGGAGGATTCGTTTGACTGCAGCCCAGTGGTTATCCGTCGGGGAGTGTTGAAACTGTGAGACGTGATTGACAGCAAAAGAAATATCTGGCCGAGTAAAGCTGAGATATTGTAGCCCGCCGACGATACTACGGTACTGCACAGGATCAGCAAATAGAGGTGAGGAGTCCATAGCCGAGTTCTGAATAATATCACTGGTACATGGAGTTGAGATGGCATTGGCATTGGACATCTTTGCACGGTCAAGAAGATCGTTGTTGGGAGAGGTTCAATTGTGGATCATATACCACAACACTAACACGCCCCCTCAAACGAAAGCCACTCACAAGGGCTTGAAGTTTGCACAGGTCTGAAGACAAGAATACCATGTGCTTAACAAATGGGGGTCACCGGGAATCGAACACAAGACCTCTCGGTCACAGAAGGCTCTGATACCATGAAGACCCAAGAAGTGAGTTTCTATTATTCCATCAGCGTATTTATAGTACAAAGCAGCAGGGAGTTGCTGTATACAAGGAGTGAAGTAAGGAACTGCCCATGGTGGCAACGTTCCACAAATAACAACCTATTAACAACAACTAACAGAACTAGAGTATCTTGAGGAGCAAGTTCCTCTTCACATATGACTTTTTTTTTTTTTTCCAAGTAATGTCAAGAGAGAACCTATACAATCTACCAAGACCCTGCCCAACCCATTACATTCCAACCAACAATAAAACACCGACCCAGTGCAAAACTCGATCATTCGACCGATATATTCAAATACTCAAACTATTTTTCTCTTTTATTATTATTTGTGCAGTGTTTTAACTTTGTTTTGTCGTAAAAATAAATTATAATGTTTCTTTTATACTAAATTACTAATAACCAATATTAGAATGAGCATACACACTGCACTTCATACCCACATGAGTAGTGCTTGGTCCTATCCCCTGGCCCTGAGTGCAAGCCAGCTATCTTGTAAGCTAAAGTTTTTGTAAGACCAAACAAATTACAAGAAACAAGCAATTGTTTTCTTGTTGTGCACCATTATTGTTTTGAGGGAAACATAACAACTACTGCCCATTAACCCATGTGTTCATTAGCTAAAGATGCTTTGTAGGATGTTTGCAAATACTGCAAAGGCAAATCTGCTGTTGGAAGCAGTTGTGTTTGCTATTTTCCTTTGAATTGAAAGCAAAGCATCAACTAAATTTGGTAAATGTTTGACCCGGATTAGTACCGGGGGATTAGTGTGGAACCTTGATTCGGACTCCCTCGTCTGATCTCCTCGGGAGTGGAAGAAACCTGTGGAGAGTCGGGGGCGGCCCCCGTGATCTACACTCCGACGCCCAAGTTAGAATAGGATATATGATAGAGTGTAGAGAGAAATGTAGAGAGAGATAGGGTTTAGAGAGAGAACCATAAGTGATAAAGTGAGGGAAGGGAGAGCAGTCCCCTTGCTTGGAGAGTCTGGCCTCCTTATATAGGAGTCGGAGGCATCCATTGGACGCCTCCCGGCGGTGGACGCCTTCCGTCGATGGATGCCTCCCGGTGGTGGACGCCTTCCGGTGAATGGACGCCTCCCGGTGGTGGACGCCTTCCGTCGATGGGCGCCTTCCGGTGAATGGACGCCTCCCGGTGGTGGACGCCTTCCGTCGATGGGCGCCTTCCGGTGAATGGACGCCCCCCGGAGTAATGGACTCTAGAATGGGCTTGGGCCCAAGGTGAGACGCTTGTGGTGGGCTTGGGCCCGTATTAGGCGGGTTAATACTAGACCCAACATTTGCCCCTTTGCTTCTTGTATTCTGTAAGAATGGAAGGAGTAAATAACGCGTTAAGGTGTATTAACATGCCTTACTTGTGAGTCCGCACGATGCGGTTTTGCCCCTTGTGCGGCCATTGCTTGGTGATGGACGCCTCTCGATGGTTGAGACGCCTCTCGGTGATGGACGCCTCCGGTGATGGGCGCCCACGAGTGGACTGGACCCTTGCGGGTCCAAACGATGCGGTTTGCCCCTTGTGCGACCATCATCTTTGCTTCTTTGTTTAGTATTCGATGTCTTGAGTTAGAGCTCTCAAGTCGTTTGAGATTTCCCCACTAGACCATTGCTGAGCGTGCTAATATGTAGGCCGTAACTGTGAGCTGTATGCGTTAAGCTGTTGGACCGCGAGATGGGCATGAGCTTGTGTGCATGTTAAGCGTGAGTTGTTGGCTGAATATTAGGCGTTAGCTATGTGCTAGGGAGGGCGGCCCCCACGACTTGAGAGTTTTAACTCAAGGCGGCGTTTTTGTTTTGAAGATGCCACACCTGCTGGGAGGCGGGATCGTGTTTCTAGCTATACTGATGTCACGCCTACTGGGAAGCGGAATCGGGCTTCTACGTAGAGGGGAAGCATCGCTGAGGAAGCGGGATGCAGTTTTATATCTGCGAAAGATGTGAGTGACTAGTTCCCAATATACTTAGAGTTTAAATATGAGCATAGGATGTGGTGAGAAATATCATAGTATGATATTAGTGGCGGTCTTCATGACATAGTATTTGAATATATCTTAGAAGGAAATACTTAGCTTGAGAATAAGTTGTAGAAGACAGCTGGGAAGAGGTCCAAGTAATAGAAGTCGCGTTTGATTCTCAAAGCGGTCTTGTAGTGCAATGGTAAGTGCTTAAACATATGACAGGCAAGTCCTGTGTTCGAAGACTGGTGTAGGCGTTTCTTTTTTTATAAGAAGATGCGTCTAGTCGTGATGGGCTTCGCAGGTGTGCCTCTTGCGGGCCCTGAGTGGGAGTCGTGTGTCGAATGCGGGCTTAAATGGGCTACGGGACAATTCTGACGGGCTCAAATCCCAAGCGGACCAGCTGGACGGGAGCGGTCCTGATGCACAGCTGGAGTGGAAAGGCGGGCCTTGGTGAATCGATTTCGAGTAGAGGGACGCGGACCCAGCGTTAGCTGTGCGGTTGCACGGTTGGCGGGCCCAATGGAGGTGGGCTGAACATCAATTTGGAGGCGGCCCGTGTTGTGGACTTGAAACTTGAAAGCGTGCTGGAGTACATGGAGGTGGGATGTATTTCGAGAGTGGGTTGCGTCTTGGATTCTCTCCTTTGTTGTAGGAGTGACCGCATTACGGGCCGCGTGTTTCGGACTATTGGGCTTCGGTGGCGGGCTGGATGCTCTTGGGCCGTCGGAGGCGGTTTGTTGTAGTTAGGTTGTGCGTTCGAAACCCCATGGAGACTTTTTTAATTAAAGGCCGCTGCTGGATCTCAATGGATGCGGAGCGGGCCGGGCGAGGTTGTCGGATGGGCTTCGCTTTGGAGGGATGAAAGGCGGTCTTATGTGGGCAGCGATGGTCTTCGTTGGGGAAGCGAGCGGGCCAGCTGTAATCCACTCGCCAAGTTCTCAAAAACTTCGCCATTGGGAAGCGAGCCATTGGGAAGCGAGAAAGTGTGATTGAGATAGCCTGCCCCTTGGGAAGCGAGAAAGTGTGATTGAGACATCAAGCTTTTTCTCGATTTTGCTAATCCACTCACCGTGGAAGAGCAGTCTCCTTTTTCAGAAGCACGTTGGGAGAGACGAGGATGAGTTGCGGCCGGACTTTTTATTTTCCCGTCGGAGGTCTGGCGCTGAACATGTTCCCGGCGACCGGAATCTGGAATGGGCGATATGAAACTTTTTTGTTTTTTCTTCTTTTTCTTTTTGCTCTGGTGGCTTCGGCGGGATTTTGCGGTCGGAGCCGTCGAGGGTAATTAGTGGAGAAAGGATCGATTTCCTCTCCTCCTTCAGATACCAAACAAGAAGAGTACCAAATCATGGCCCCACGGTGGGCGCCAAAATGTTTGACCCGGATTAGTACCGGGGGATTAGTGTGGAACCTTGATTCGGACTCCCTCGTCTGATCTCCTCGGGAGTGGAAGAAACCTGTGGAGAGTCGGGGGCGGCCCCCGTGATCTACACTCCGACGCCCAAGTTAGAATAGGATATATGATAGAGTGTAGAGAGAAATGTAGAGAGAGATAGGGTTTAGAGAGAGAACCATAAGTGATAAAGTGAGGGAAGGGAGAGCAGTCCCCTTGCTTGGAGGGTCTGGCCTCCTTATATAGGAGTCGGAGGCATCCATTGGACGCCTCCCGGCGGTGGACGCCTTCCGTCGATGGATGCCTCCCGGTGGTGGACGCCTTCCGGTGAATGGACGCCTCCCGGTGGTGGACGCCTTCCGTCGATGGGCGCCTTCCGGTGAATGGACGCCTCCCGGTGGTGGACGCCTTCCGTCGATGGGCGCCTTCCGGTGAATGGACGCCCCCCGGAGTAATGGACTCTAGAATGGGCTTGGGCCCAAGGTGAGACGCTTGTGGTGGGCTTGGGCCCGTATTAGGCGGGTTAATACTAGACCCAACAGTAAATAACCAAGGATATTGTCTGTCGCCATTGGCCAACCACATATATGATGTATCTCGCTAATCATGCAACTCTCAGGTTGGGCCGGAAGGTCCAGTTACGAGGAAGCCACCGGCAAGGCCCATTTCCATTGGGCTTAATCCGCTTAGATTCACCGTCCCGTCGCCGCGGTGGCTGTCGACGGTTCCCTTGTAGCGCCATAGTCGTCACAGAAAGCTTTGCAGCACACGAGACCGCTTTGCTGCTCCCCAAATCACCGGTAAATCACCACAAAAAGGGAAAGGGGGATGTCGTTTGAGTCGCTGTCCCTACCTCATCCGAACGCCCCGCAAACGCAAAGGTAATCACAATTCGCGTTTCTCTTCAACTTAAATCCGAATTCTTTTCAACGCTTTCGGTTGGCTTTTCAGCTGTTTAAGGGTGGTAGGGAGTGAAGCTGGAACAAACCCAGTTCCCAAAATCTTGAAACTTACACTGGGTCGTCCTAAAATCAAGTCTTTAGCTGTGAGGATGGGCTCGGGTACTTCTAATGGCGGGATAGGGAAGAAGAACCCACATGGGATTGGAGAGAACGACGGAGTGATCATCGTCGATCATGGGTCGCGCCGGAAAGAATCGAATCTCATGCTAAGTAAGCTGTGATCGACTTCTTCCGCTAGCTCAATTTCTCTCCCCCGGGGCATTCGTTATTGCTTTTTTGACATCGACTTATAGTCTCCAATCTCCATTTCTTGTGTGTGATTTCAGATGAGTTCGTTGCTATGTTCAAGGATAAAACAGGATACCCAATTGTGGAGCCGGCTCACATGGTAAGTTCTGTCTTCTATTCCAAAAAGAACATTAATGCCTTCATATCGTAGTTCCTTGCTGAAAGACTGCAGATTTATCTTTGCCTGTGCCATGAACATAAGCACAGAAGGAAGATTTTAAGCTAGAGTAGCCAAAGGTAGTATCGAGGGGGCTTTGTATTAATGTTTAAGTTCTTCAATGCGAGTAGGAGCTGGCGGATCCATCGATTAAAGACGCGTTTGACATTTGTGTTCAACAAGGTGCGAAACGTGTTGTTGTCAGCCCGTTCTTCCTTTTTCCAGGACGCCACTGGCACCAGGTTATAAATTGCTGCAACTAAAGTAAGCTGGTCATTGATCTGTTTGGTGCAAGTTTTCGTGCAGTAGTTAAGAACTCTTCATATCTCCATTTTAAAGGACATTCCTTCATTAACTGCTGAAGCTGCAAAAGAACACCCTGGTGTATCATATCTGGTAACTGCACCTCTTGGCTTGCATGAGCTGCTGGTGGTATGTAGTCCAGCGTTGCTCTCTTTTATGAATGTTCAATTTCTCCTGCAGCCTTCTTTAGACATGGTCTAACTAATTTTCGTTGAACTCTCGGCTCCCATCTTCTGAAGTTTTGGCTGGTCTCGTGGCAGGATGTGGTGAACGATAGAATCAATTACTGTTTGAGTCATGTAGCCGGAGATGTCAAGGAATGTGAAGTTTGTGTTGGTACAAAAAAATGCAAGTTCACTAGCCAATGAGCAGGAATGGCATATCGACTCACAGTAGTCGAAGGTTTTCAACCAGCACATTTGTTTAGTCCTGAGGGAAAACTAGAACATATTGTATAAACTTTAGCAGGTTTACATGCTCAACTTCTAATGGGCCTATGCTGTATTTATGTACACAATCATGAGCGATAAAGTTCCTATCTATAACTGCACTTGGCTTTCCAATCAATTCATTTGATGCTCTTCAAGAGTTTCCTTCTTCTGTAGCAAGTTTCAGCCAAAGTTTTCTTTGATCATATTCCAGATTGACAAGAACCTCTCCATCTTGATATTGAAGCTAGCATCAACTCGAGCAGCAGCTTGGGCAGGTGTTTCTTCTTCAGGAGGTTCTCGCCCTGCAATTCAGCCGCTATTCGTCAGTACAATTGATTAATATGATACTGTAAGCTGATTCTCTTGCTTGCTGAGAAGTCTTACTATTGCCCTGATAATCTTTTGCCTGCTTTGCCACCTGCTTTTTAAATGTCTCAGCTGCTTTGAAAACATTTGCTGGTCTCTCCCAACCTTGTCCAAACACACCAAACCCTTCCTTCGGTTTAGGTCGAATCAATGACTCGAGCAACCCCAAGTCTTCGCTATCAATCCAGTGGATGCAGTTCACAGGACACGAATCAACTGAGACCTGCGCAATGGTCACTAAATTACCTTCTAGTTTCCCTGCCATCACTCAACTCTCTTTCAATAAATCAGGTTACTTGTACCTCAATCTCTTCTGCATCATCTCCATACTGCACTTTCACTCTTGCACATCCAAGTGCCTCATCCATGACAAACGTGTTGCTCGCGTGGTAAGCACATTCCCCACACCCTGCAAATCTCAGTTCTCATCAAGATCTTAGGAAGCTTGAAAACATGAATTGCTTCAAAACTCTGTTTATCCTGTGACTGAAAATTCATACCTACGCATGCAGTTTCATCGACGAACAAAGCATGTGGTCTCAACGGCCCGTTCCACGAGCTGCAACTCTCAACATCACGGCCAGTTCTCTCGAACCCAATCCTGAACTCTCCAATCGACGTATCATATTGTCTCCTGAGATCCTCCTTCATCAGCACCGTGTAAGCCTGATTCAGCCTCAGTGTGAACTCATGGCCCTACCAAAACAATCAAAAGATGGATACTTTCTTTTTAGGTGTTCAATCTAAGAGAGGAAACCGATTGATAAAGACTTACAAGCTGACCTTTTGGCCAGCAATATCAGGGTGGTAGATCTTCTGCAACTTCCTGTAAGCATCTTTGATCTGCTGGGAACTCGAATCGACAGAAACCCCCAACAGCTCGTAGTGATTCTTCTCCGTCCCTGGCACACTTCGGTTACCGCAGCTCCTGATCACGGTTGTGGAGATTCTCTGCCGCTTCCACCTAATTCAAAGAGATTCAATCGTAAAACAAATTTGTTGTTAGATATGGTAACTCAGAGAAAAGAAAGGCAGCGAGAGTTGGTTTCCTTCACCTTGAGGTGGTGTTGCTTGAAGTGAAGAAGCTGGTTTGAATTCTGGTGGGTTTCAGAACCGAGAACTGATCGATGGGGAGAATCGCCATTGGAGTTCTCTATTGCAGATGTTGGTTTGTTCTTTCCAGCACAAGGCAGAAGAACATTTGTGTAAGATTCAAGATATTGTGAATCTGAAGATATTTTGGGTACTCTCACTCTCTGTCTCGCAAGAAGAGTGCACGGTCGAGCCGTCAGCGGGACCCATTTGTGGGGCGCGGGAACAAAGATCTTTAACCGGGCCAACTGCCGTTCAATTGGTAGCTCGGTTTTTACTAACAAAAAGCTTGGCAAAATAAAAAGAAAAAATATCTTCTCCGGTGTGGTTGGAGGCTTAGAGCCATAAGATCAGTTTATTATTGTCGATAACACTCGCATAAACAAAACAGGGGAAGAAAACAAAAACTGACAAAGCAAAACCAACTTCATATAGTTGACTACACTTAAAAGCTTATTGGCCGCCTCCATCGTCTAGCATGGTGTTGCCAAGTTCAATTCTCCACCATCTCCAACAACCATTGCGGCTTTCCAATAGTGAACATCATGTAGGCCGTCGATATCCCAATTACTAGTCCACATCCGTATCCAATCCCTGCGAAAACCCAGTCCAACAATGCTCCATTGGATTCGAATTCAGGTTCAAAAACTTCATGACCATCATCGTCATCACCTTCACACTTCTTGGACAATGGTATCCCGCACAACCCTTCATTTCCAACATAAGAAGCATTATCGAATGTTCCAAATTGGTTACCTCCTGGTATTGGTTCGTGAAACGAATTTCTTGATAAATTTAGAAATGAAAGATAAGTCAAACTTGTGAACTTTGATGGGATAAGGCCCAGAAAGCTGTTGTGTGATAGATTAAGGTATATGAGTGATCTGAGCTCTCCAATTGCATGATGAATATTGCCTTGAAAGTAATTCTTTGACAAATGCAGGGTGGTCAGAACGGTAAGAACTTCATCTATCTTCACCTCTTGATCTTTTACTGTCAGATCAACCGTGTAATGATTTTAGCACTCCAATCATGTACTAATTCCTATAAGCTTTCTCGCACTCTTGTAGGATCATCATGGCTGGGAACTTGTGAAACAGTTGCTGGAAACATCCAATATTCACGGATTTAGAAAGTTGTTCTCATGAGTTTAGTCTAATTAGAAGTCCAAACATATCTTTTCACAGCATAATTATCACAATTATATTGCAACAACAAGATTATACAAAAGTCTAAACCCTAAACGAGCCTTAATTCTATAAAAAAAATAATTAAACGAGCCCTTAATTCTATTGTGCCGTTTGGAAACTTTTCATTGTAGAGGTGCAAGAGTGCTGTACCCCAATAAGTTTATGGATCGGCGTCGTTTCGATGCCAAATTCCTAGACCCGGAAAACGTCGTCTACTTCAGCCGTCCTCACTCTTAAAAGGTCTCACTGATGCCAGTGCCGTCGGCGAAGAAATGAAAGCGTGGCCGCCGGTGAAGAAGAAGAACAACAACAGCAAATGGCGAACGCTGGAAAATTTCTCAATCCAATCAAGAAATCAATCTCGTTGCTCTGCTCTCGTCACTCTTCTCCAATCTCCCAATCCCGGCAGCTAGGTCAGTTCTCCTTTTCTCCCGCTTCTTCCTTTGATAAACCAGTAAAATCTGCCGCCGCGCTCTGTCTTGTTTGTGACGATTCATCGCCGATTGCTTTCTTTAGTTCATCGCGAATTCGATTCTGTAACGACATTGATAAAGCGACTCCGACCTTCACTAACACAGCATAACAAGTTCTTATCGCTACGAACATTTGGTACTCTTAACTCAGCAGGTGAACACCAAGTTCTCCACTTAGTGCTTCAATTCCACGCTTCTGCTAGTTTGGTGAATCCTTGAACACGAAATTGTGGTTTCAGTGAGGAGAGCGAGTCTAGCAATAGGCATAGCTGGTGGTGCTTCAATTGTAATCGGCTCAGTTACCTTCTCTCCTGCGGTTGCCTACGCGATGGATGGTGAGATTTAGTCTGTTTAACCTAATGCACAATTTCACATTAAGCATATGGCTGTGTACCGTTGACATTGTGTGTTTTTGGTAGGTGTAGACATTTTGATGGACGATGATAGAGAGCCCTTTGATGCCTCAGATAGGGATGAGTTTGCACACGCTGCTTGGATGGTGATTCGGAAGCTATGGCTGCCAGTTTTCTTCGTCCTTACGATAGTATCGAACTGGAATCACCCGATCGTGCTCTTCACCAAGGGCGTGCTTCTTCTCCTTGCCACGAGGCCCAGCCCCTTGACGGTCTACCTTTTCGTTGAACAGGTCTGGGAATTCATTCAGAGCTTGTTGCCAGTGTGGATTTGTTAGCATGGAACAAAGTTAGACTAGGGGGTTTTGAGCTAATACCATTCGCAAGATTTGGCCTTTTGAACTGGAATAACTCTTGATGGATAGTTGTGATTGGTTTCAGCTGTGTAACCAGTCCAAGCGCCAAGAACCTCACTCCTTTTGGGCAAAGGTATGATCTGGACTGTGATGATACAACTTTTACAAGTGCTTAATGAACCAATCTTGTTGACCGGTTCAAGTAGTTTGATACTCTTAAAGTGTTACAATGGTTTAGATGCATCATGTGGCTGGTTTAATTGACATGTTTGAGTGTTTACTTCAGAACTTTCTCAGAGAGGTTTTATGAAATGAGGATGATATAACACCAAATCTCTTCCATATAATTATTGTTAAGCTGGTGATGAAAACTCTAAGTGAGTGTTTATATATATGTGCATTGAAACTTTAGAGGGCTTCTTATCATAATAGAAATAGTGCAAGCACTTATGGAAGATGCACGGTAATCTCTGCAAATTGCCGAATTTCTCTACCTTGCTGATCTTCCATTGTCTACTCCTATCTCCTTAATCTAGTCATTCAATCCTTTTGATCAGCATTCTTTCTCTGCAATCAAGTGTCTGCATATGTATTTGTATTTGATTAAGAGTTACTTGCACCTCATAGAAACTATGGTGGCTTAGAGTGACTGATGATGTTTTAACTGTCAACAGTCCTTGTATGCGAGAAAGGTTGAAGTCCAAGACTACAAGTTCCTGTGTATTGCCACAGTAGAAGTAAGGGACAGAAGGTTCACTCTGGTTGGTATCCTTGGAGGCTGGTGGGTTTTGCCATTGTCACCACAAGCATTTTCAAGTTTTTGGGAGAGTGCTCTTTACTAATTAAGACGACACGGAATTTAAGTAAGCAACCTCTACATATTACACATCTATATACAACCTGTAACCATTTCATCTTTACAGTTATCAATCCCAGAACATCATACCACAACAGACAGACCGCTTTCCTTCTTTTAGCGGTCAAGCATGTTGCATTCCTGAGTTTATCATGATTCTGTTCTTGCTAAGAAGACTGTTGATACTTCCATAGCTTTTAACATCATGGATTGATGCTTTCGCCGTTAATTTGATTGAAGCAGGCGGTAATCTTCATCACCATCGACATCTTGATCAGCTTTTGAGACTAACTTGCTGGTCGGAGGGAAGTAGATGAAGGTGACAGGGAGAGAACAGACGACGATCACGATCCCCATGAGAGAAATGCTGGTTTGTGTCGTGAATCTGGACCCGGAAAACAACAGGAGTTGAGTGAACACGGCGCCCATGGTTCCTCCGCTGCCGGTCATTCCTGCTATCACCCCCATCGACCTGCAGCCGCCGCCGAGCATCGGCGACGGGAAGAAAAGAACAACATTGTAAATTGCATTTTGTTGTTCGAGCTATCGTAAGGTGGGCTAGCTGCTAAACAAATAATTTGGGCTACGGGGTGGGCCTATGTGGATTCAAGAAACTTGGTGGGCCGACTTCTTTATGGGGCTCAACGAGCAACTTGGCTACGTCATCATCATATTCTGCATGTATGAAACGTGGCACGAAAGATAGCCATGCAAACAAGGCGACAACTACGTGGACTGAGGAGTGAGGATCAACTCCAACCGCAGAAAGCAACCACTAAATTACCGTTCACCATCGAAAGACGTTCACCCTCTCACCGCAGTAAAAACAGTCAACAAAGGTAATGAAAGCCCTTCCTGTTTTTAACTTGCTTACCTCTTGGAGACGAAAGGCACGACGCCAAACACGAGCCCGGAGGCAGCCTGAACCGCGACGGAAAACGCGCACATAACCGCCACCGATCCCCACAGCGCGCGTTGCCGCCCTCCCCAGCGCAAAGCAGATCCCTCCGGCCGCCGTCAGCGCGGCCCACAAGGCCCAAACCCTCCCTCTCTCACCAAACCTCTTCCCCATAGCATCCGACGCCACTCCGCCCATCGGCCGGGCGAAAAAATTCGTCAGAGAAAATGCCGCGGCGATCGTACCAGCCGCCCGGAGATCCAACCCGAACCGATCGTAGAAGTAGCCCGCCACCACGTTGTCCGTCGTCAGCTCCGACCCGAAGGAACACGCGTACGCCAATCCCAAAATCCACCCTCTGTAATCCCCCAGCCCGTACCTCACCACAACGCCCCAAAACGACGCCGTTTCAGTTTCCAATTTTGCCGATTCCGTCGTCAATGCACGGTCACGGCCGCGGCCGTAGACAAGGACGAGCGCCGCCATGACGAGTTGGAAGATTCCGGGGATTAAGAAGGATAGCCGCCACGCGGAGGAGGAGGAGAGTTTCAGGGAGAGGAGGAGGGAGTGGATTTGGGGCATGAGGAATTGGGCGGCGGCGGCGCCGGTGTTGGCCCAGCCGGCGGAGACGCCGTTGGCGAGGCCGACGACGGAGGGAGAAAAGATGGATGTCATCCAGTACTGATTCGCGACGAAGTTGCCGAGGGAGAGGCCGACGAGGAGCCGGACCACGAGGAAGGAGGCCGGGGAGGAGACGAAGGCGGCGGAGAGGATGGCGGGCGCGGTGAGGAAGGATAAAGAGGCGGAAGCGGTGGCTGGGCCGAGGAGGTGGGATAAGGGTCCCATGGCGAAGCGGGAGAGGATGGAGCCGGCGAAGGAGGCGGTGGCCGCGGCGGAGACGTCGGAGGGGGTTAGAGCGAGGTCGGAGCGGATCAAGGGGATGAGAGGGGGGATGGAGAAGGTGGAGACGAAGTTGGAGAAGAGGGAGAGCCATGCGAGGTGGAAGGCTCGGATCTGCGGGGTTGAGGTGGAGAAGGGGTGGAATTCGGCGGATTTTCCTTCCTTGTCGGTGGCGGCGGCGGCCGGAAGGGAGGAGGCGGTGGAGGTTGGTTCTTCCATGATAGTGACTGGAGTGGAGGGCAACTACAAGTGATCAGAGACCATGTAAACTTTTCGTTAGTATGCAGTTTCAAGTGGACTACAATGAGCTGCGCAGCCTTCTTTCTTAATGGTTGTGTGTATGGTAGGCTGGTAGTTACGTGACGGGACTGGGAGGATTGGTGGTTTTCCATGGCGGGCGAATGGGAAAAGAATGAAGTGGGAGAGTGGAGAGATGTGAAAGAGAGGAGAAAGCAACGGTGGTGGTTATACATAGGTCATGAACTGTCGTCGTTTTACAGTAATAAGTTGCAACCATATGCTTCAGCAGGAAATGAACGGAAGAGTGTGTCTTACATGCATGCATTTCTCTAGGATGAAGTTTTACCTACTCACACGTATGAATCAAAGTATCTCCACACGTGAGAGTTTGTACATGGAGAAGCTAGGAGTTTCCTCTTTTACACTCCATGCTGAAGTCAGCTGGTTGTTTTTATATGTAGTTTTCCTGATGTTCACACCAATTAGAGTTATCTGGGGGAAAATGTTAAGAACCAATTGATCTCAATAACTCGAGTTGTTGGTTCTTGACAAAAAAAAGGCTCTACAACTCGAGTTGTTGGTTCTTGACAAAAAAAAGGCTCTACAAGAGATTAGAGCTGTCTTGTGTGTGAGGTGGGGGTTCTTTGCGCAACCAATGATTTTTGGTATGCACGGGACCGAATATAATTTGATTAATAAGTTTTGAATATATAAACATGTCTTGCACGATATAAGGGTATAAGGAAAAGGAACTAAAACTACAATGGAGTTGAAGCAAATGGATTATTTGGTATGATTATAGCTCTCATTTCTCTCTAGTTTGGTTCGGTCAGGATCTCAACCAAATTGGCCGTTACCTGCACATATTTATCTTTGTGTATATGTTAGGTGGATATCTAAGGAGTATAGTTTAGTGATTACGTCACTGGTTTAATATGAATCTCCTATATTTGAATTTCGCTATGCTCGTAATTTTGTGATTAAAGTATAGTTTTACCTATTCGTTATACACTAAATTTGAAATTTATCACTAAAATAAGTAAAATGGTGACTGCTGGGAGGATTCCCCACTAACAAAAAGCAATTTTGTGATTAAGCACAACAAGAGCTCATAGTAAATAATACTTTAATTTCTTTCTAACCTTTTTAAAAGAATGTTGGGAACCACATGAAAGGCATACTCTTTGTTGATTCTGGATCCACAGCCATACTCTGTTTATGGTTTGATTAGTCAAAGAATAACAAACCACAAACAAATATCATGGAATTTCATGATAAAAAAGAAGGGAGAAGACGAGGAAATATCTTGAAAATTTACCCAAAGAAAAATGCAGTCAATCAATCCACTTCACACACAATATTAAAAAGAGTACAGCCAGGGAGGCAGAGTACATAGCCAAGCCCAGTAGCAAGCAAGTAAAGCATACCGATCGAAGTCTTCTTTCCATTTCATCAAACTTAAAAAAAAAAAAAAAAGTCGACGTCGTGGTCTCTCCACCACCATCACCACCAGCAAGAAACCATGGGGAATTGCCTGACCTCATGGTTCTCTTGCTTCCACTCTTCCAACATCACCCCCACCACTTTCACCTCCTCCGATGCCAATTACTCTTCCTCCACACCCCAACCCACAACCACCGCCGGCAGTACGGAGGCCGCCGGAAGCCAGCTATTATCCGGCGCCACCGTCTCCACCAGCGACGGAATCGACCCAGAAAGCGATCCCCTCTCGCCGAAGGTCAACGGAGGCCGGATTCTGGAGTCCCCGAGGTTGAAGGTGTTCGCCTTCAGCGATCTGAAGTCAACGACCAGGAACTTCAAATCCGACACACTGCTCGGGGAAGGCGGGTTCGGGAAGGTCTACAGAGGATGGGTCGACGAGAGGACTCTGGCGCCGTGTAAGCCTGGGACTGGCATAGCCGTCGCCATCAAGAAATTGAACGACGAAAGTATGCAGGGATTTGAGGAGTGGCAGGTACTAGTCTAGTCTACTCCCTACTTTTACTAATTCCTCCTTCCTCTGCTGATTTCAGTCTGCTAGTGATTGTTACTTGCTGGAAACTTTCAGTTCCAAGTACATTTAGACCAATAATTCATGAATATCGGACAAACTCATAACCGATTATCAGTCTGTTATGGTTTTCAATTTTCATTGTTTGAGAAATGGAATTTGATGGATTAGGCAGGAAGTAAAGCTTGGTGTGAAATGGGAATGGGTTCAACGATTGTGATATATGATGGGGGCCTACATGTTATTATTTTTCTGCCAAGCCGTGTGTGGACGGCCACATACACATTCCTGCCATTTGTTTGTTACAATAGAGATTTATAAAGTTTAATTACAGAAAGAATCATTGAACTTTAGGAGCACTAATAGGTCGATCACTCAATTTCTCATGTAGTTAAAGATAATTCGTCAATGAAGTTTATACTAATTGACCTAATACTCCATCCACTTTTGCTTTATTTTTTTATTCAAATTGTTTTGATAAGATTGCTAACCCATCCACTTTTGCTTTATTTTACATTCTAGGTTCAAATTTTGAAATCAACTATCACCCTTATAAAAAAAAATTAGGAAGTATATTTAGTCTAATGAGCAAATGAATGAGGCATCACTATTCACTAGATAGCTAATATGTACAGAGAAGCTAAATAAGATGTACAACAAAAAAAATTTACATTATTCTCGTAAAACATTTTAAAGTTGAAAGACCAATTTATTACTAACCTAATATAGTTCCATTCCTGTTTTTTATCCATAAGCATAATATTGATTCTTTCTTACTTTTTGTTTCATTTACGTTGTTCTTGTTTTTCTTTAATGTTTCTTCTTTCTTGGATTGTACAATGCAGTCAGAGATAAACTTTTTGGGCAGGCTATCGCATCCAAACTTGGTCAAGTTGTTGGGGTACTGTTGGGAGGATAAAGAACTGCTTCTCGTCTATGAATTCGTCCAAAAGGGAAGCCTGGAGAATCATCTCTTTCGAAGTAAGGGGGGAAAAGCTATAGCTAGATTGGTCATAAATTGCACACACATTTCCTCTTAACACTTTCTTGGCTTTTGAAGGGAATGCTATGGTTGAGCCATTGCCTTGGGATCTTAGACTCAGAATAGCTATTGGAGCAGCTCGCGGCCTAGCATTCTTACACGCATCCGATAAGCAGGTCATCTACCGTGACTTCAAGGCATCCAATATCCTGCTCGATGGGGTTTGTCTTTTGACTTGGTAGATCCAATTCCTTTATTCAGTTATTCATTCTCTTAACTCTACTGATAACCTCAAATTTCAATCTCCAGATCTACAATGCAAAAATTTCAGATTTCGGGTTGGCAAAGGTAGGCCCTGCAGGTGGTGCATCTCACGTGACGACAAGAATCATGGGAACATACGGTTATGTAGCCCCAGAGTACATTGCCACAGGTACATTATAACAAGTATGAATCATCAGTCCGAATCCTCTGTCTATGCTGAACGATGACTGTTACGAAGTAGTGTTTGTTAAACCTTTGGCTACTCAATATGTTTTAGGTCATTTGTACGTGAAGAGCGATGTGTACGGTTTTGGAGTGGTGTTGTTGGAGTTAATGACGGGGCTGAGAGCTATGGACAAGCACCGACCTAACGGGCAGCAGAACCTAGTGGATTGGCTGAGACCGACCCTATCGCAAAAGAGGAAGATGAAGAACATCATGGATGCTAGAATGGAAGGGCAATACTCGTCCAAGGCAATGTTGCAAGCTGCACAGGTTACACTCAAATGCCTCGAACCAGACCCCAAATCCCGCCCTTCCATGAAAGAGGTACTGGATGATTTGGTGAAGATACAGGCGATCAAGGACAAACCAATGCCCTTTAAAAGGGGATCTGGTTCGGGTTCAGGTTCAGGTTCAGGCTCAGGTTCGGGTTCGAATCGTTCAACCAATACTCATTGCCTCGGCGGCAGACCAGCGTTGAATCACCATTATCATACCCCTCTGCAATAAAAGGGGTGTCTGATGAATGGTACAAGTTTGATAAATAGAGTTATGTTTGTTTGTACAAATTTGTTTGTTATATTCTTTTGGGAGGATCTTTGTTGTATTAGTTATGATATATATTTGTTGACGGGAAATGATTATCATATAGATACTCATTGATCTTGCAGTTATGATTTCTTGCTGCTTATTCTTTGAACTTTTCATTTTGGCTAGAATTCTGACTTATGAGTGACTTCGCTTTTCTAATAATTGTTCTATGGCCACTAAGTGGAATGGAAAACTATGTTCCAAAGGGTAAATCAAAACATGATACTTATTCACGCTAATATATGAAAAGGAAAAGAACAACTGAAACGTGCAGGACAAGAAAAGATAATACGAAGAAGTAATGTTGAACTAACCTCATTTATGCTTCAACGATGGAGATAGAGAGAGGAAGCATCACAGGAATGAGAACACGCTCTGGAACCCCATGAACGAATCTGCTTGTCCCGTCTGCACCGGCATTGCCAGACCACAACGCTGGCGTTTCGATCCACTGCTTGGAGACCATTCCTTCTGCTGCTCTTTCCTCTTGCTCCCACTGTTGCTATTACTACCCTTCATCATGGAAATATCAAACGATAACATTTCTCCACGAGGTGGACGATCTACTTTAGAGACTGGCAGACTCTTCGAAGGCAGACTCAGACCGGTAAATTTCCTGCCTGGACTTGGAGAGAATGCGTCCACTTTTACCTTCTGCCCTCCAGGATGGGAATCCGAAAGGACAACGTCACCCTTTCGGAAGCATTCTGGTCTCGGTCCAACCTCGGGCGGTTCAGAAACCGGTTCCAGAGACGGTTCATTCATCCAGCGCAGGGTTGAAGTCAGAAACGGGAACTCCTCAGCTTTCCTCCTTATGTGATCGAATATTGCTTCCCCGTTCAGAGCTTTCTCAGGTTCGGGAGCAATGCCACCACCGCTAGCACCTTCCCTGTCTTCGACAAAACTTCTTCCACCTTCAATGGTGGAACTATGGCTGTTGAGAATAATGTCTTCACCTTCCTGTTCTAACCAGCTGGGGTCTATGGTAAGATCTATGATGGAGTCTTCTTTAGCATCCAGCCTTCTGCCGAGCTCGAGTTCAGTCTCGTTAAGGCCCCTTTGTTGTTCTTCACTTTGGAGAAGAAAGGCTTCTGAAGTGTTGATGATAGGGAAGCTCTTGGCCTTTTCACGTATGTGGTCGAATATTGTTCTTTCTGACCAGTTGTTGTTGAACTTGTCGTTCTGGATTTCAACGACTGGTTCATCTTCTGCAGTTGGTTAGAGAGTAGAATAGAAATGGTTAATATAGGAAATAAAATAATGAAAAACCAAATTTCATGATGATTTGTAAATGGTTTTCTGTACATGCCATCGTACCATCTTCGATATCTTCATCTAGGAGCTTGAAACTGGGCCTGATGTACAGGAAGAAGCAGAGTAGTGGTCAGTGCAATATCAAAGATAGGCCAAAACAATGCCACGTCAGATATTTTTGCAGAACAAATTGCTCACATTGAATTGTCTTCAGCTGCTGCAGCGTTGGACGACATGCTTTCATCGTCGACTTCTATCACACAGACTTCCTTGGACAGAGGAACGCAGGGAGGCTGCTTGTTTGGAGGTGGTCTGTTGTGGTTCTTACCAGTGGGTCGGCCTTCCTTCATCAGAATAAGCTTCTGATGGCAATCGAGACCAACTGCATGGAGTGAATGAAATTGGACCATAACGTTTCTGATTTATTCATCAGAGTTCAGAAGGGAATGTAATGAATGACAAAGTTACTTAACGATACTCTTCAAACATGAAATCAGCCTTGATGGTCAGCTTCTGCTGTTGGTTGGCCGACACGAGGATTGTAGCACTGTAAGGGCTGCAACGGGTAGAAAATACAAATCCACTAAGGATCAAGTGTAAAATATATGATATGATTGGCTTCCCGAGAGCAATTAGAATTGGTTCAGTTATTAGTTGGAGTAGTTGAGATAAGAGTATGGACGAAGTTGGCTCTAGAGTGCATACCTGGAGAACTCGTCCACTCTGCCGCAAAAACCCAAACAGAATGTTAGTATGGATGAACAGTTTTGCAGAAACAGTGGATATTAAGAACGCGAAAATGCATGTTGGGGCAAGTATGGGTTCTGTCAGAAATTAACTCCGGTTCTTTTTTGTGCTAATGTAGATTCACTGCATAAGCAAATAGCATCACCTTATTTTCTCGTGAAAGTGAATCTGGTTCTCTTCCTCCACACCAACAATCTGCAACAGTAAGAGACAAGTTAACAGATGATTGATCACATATTCATGAAGCAATGAATGGGATATTAGTCCTAGAAACAGACATATCAGCATAATACCCACCATATCAGCAAAATGTCGCTTGGATAATGCTGAAGATTGTGATAACCTGGTCAATGTGACTTTTATTTTAGACTTCCCTTGCCTTTGGCTATCAATTTCCTCTATACTCATATCGACTTTGGGAGGCAGTGAGAGTAGAGAATCCTTGATATGGTTCCCAAATGGGAACTTACGACATGTGATTATCTCAATTCGTCTGGGATCAGCTTCAGCTAATGCATCAAACGATTTGACACCCATGGAATGAAGAGCCTGTAGACCATCATGCGTGGAGAACATTGAGAACTGATAGATTTAGAGGTGAAAAGTTCTTTTTTTTCCTTCTAACAGAAGAATGAAATGTACCTTGGCCGTGACCATTCCAATGCCAGGTAATTGTTTCAGTAAGTAGGGACTGTCGTCCCAAAGTTTCTGATACAGTGATTTGGCCAGAAGGATAGTCTGCACTGCTCCTTTATAATTTCTCTTGAACAAGAAGTACTCTTTCATGCACTTTGCAATTCTACATCCGTTGGTGCAAACAGAATTCATATCCTAATGCATAATAAGCACCAGGTCTATCATTAGATCAACAAATTCTGAAGCATAATAATCAGATGAAGGTACACTATACTGAGTAAGAAACCTGGGATAGGGACAAGTCTCGGATTGCAGGATCCCCAGTCAAGCAGTCATTTGCCAAGATAAATATCTTCTCTTCTTTGGACTGAATGCGTTTCTTCCTTTTCCCTCTTTCATCATTCACATGAAAACGAAGCCTAGCACCTTTGTCAGCATTAATATCATTCAACACCTTCTTCTCATTGCGCCTGAGTTGTATCCCTTCATTTCCAAAAAAAAAAAAAAACATAACATGTTAGAAGGTACAATCTTATACGCTTATAGAATAATACCAGTAGGAGAGAATTGTTATGGTAGCATACATACAGGAAATTTCCTCAGCACGGCATACGACTTTTAGTGCATCTTCCAGACTGCAGTTGTCTGGAGTCAGCATAATGTGCTTCATTGTGTCGAATTTCAGGTAGTACTTGGTCATTAATCTCCCAGGCTCTATCCACAGGAAAACAGGATACAACTCACACTTCCCAAAAAGTGAAATAGGTACTTGTACAACAAGTATGTGGTACCTAGTGGTTTCAGAATGAAGCCATCATGATCTGTCGAGATCATTTGATAGCGTGATAACTCCTGAACTTTGTGGACACAAACATCTGGAATTTGATCATACTGGTCAGACTCAAGGACAGGGAACTAAAAATTCAACTTCAGAAAAAACTACCTTTGATATGCTTCTCAATAGATTCTCTATTAATGCCCCTGCTAACAGCATAATTCTCTGGGTTCTGAGCACAAGTTATCAAGTAAGCAAGCTGAAAGGACTATGCCTAAGTAATAACTGAAGAGGTTGAACTAGAAGTGCTTGCCTTTTTCATTCTAACATACAAGTAAGAGCATTTCATCCACTCAATTGCACGTGCTATATCTGAAACTGTCAGCTGAACTATCTCTGCTGTCAGATGCTCTGTCACGCATGGAAGCAACCTGAAAGAATAATTTGTACAGTAAAAATTCCCGTCAGGAATGCTCATTATTTAACTTCAGAAAAAGTAACAAGTTAACAAGCAGTTGTTGACGTACTGTGATTCCACCAATTCACATCCATTCAATAGATTTTCATACAGGTGGACCTGCAAGGAATTATTAACCCAATACAATGAAGAAAATCTTAAGCACACACACAAAACGCATTGGAGAGGGAAGAGGCAATAGGCTCACTGTTTCTCTTTTTGTCATGATTATGACTGTCCCTGTATCATCAAATGGTGGCCGACCCGCTCTTCCACACATCTAACAGCAATTCAATTTTTCTTTGTTGTGTATTGAGTGTTACAATTCAAGCGAATTGATTGCTGAAGTAATGCTCAAAAGGAGAACATACCTGTAGTACTGTGGATCGATCATACTCCATGTAGAGACCTTTTTCTTTGTTACTGGACCAAATAATAATATAAGATTGCTTAGAGTAAAGTAGTTCAGGTTTCTTTTTATATTTACTAACCTTAATTATGATAAAGCACTACTAATTATGATAAACAACTGGGATCATGTGCGTACTAATGCTGTGTCGACTTTATCACTACAGTATGTGCTGGCAAGTTTACTCCATGAGCAAGGGTATTTGTAGTGCACAGAACCTGAATATCACCCTTAAGAAAGAGACCTTCAACGAGACTGCGGTCCTTCATGCAGAGACCACCATTGTGATACCCAACTGTAGATTGAACCATAAGCAGCAGTCTTTGGAAGAAATAAAAATTAAACATAAAACTACCTAGTGCAGAGGACTAGAGTCATACTTCCATAGAGTATATAAGATTGCATCTGTTTGTCACTGAATGACATGGAAGCCTCTCTAAGTCTTTCCTTCTGTTCATGGTCTTTAATGAACGGATTAGAATAGCCGAAATTCATCACTGTTTGAGACAGTTGTTGTGCTGTTTCCTGTGCTCCCTTTCTTGTAGAACAGAAGATTAATGCAGACTTTCCTTTGGAGAATTGCATTAGGGTATCTGCATATATCAATGACAATCACAAACTTATACCTTAAGTAATCAATTCAGAACTTAGCCAGCGAGAAAATTATGCAAATGATATTAGTATAAGCTTTTTCAAGCAGCCCACTTACCAAAAATGTAATTTTGAAGGCGCTGTCAAAGAAGTAAAGGTAACAACAGAAGTCAGAAGTGGTCCACTATCTATATGCATTTGACTTCTCACACATAACCAAATAAAAAGGGAACATAAACTTCAAAGGCTGCACCGTTTATCCTTACGACCACTTGCCTTTTCAAAGAGAAAATCATTCTTTGCTGGGGTATATCCTGCAAACGGGATAGACGAACGATAAGAAAATAGCTCTTCCTGACGATCTGCACAAGTGATAATCTAACAAGTGCAAAGAGATAGTAATGCTTCATCCATGCAATAAATAAGTATACCAAAAACTTTAGTGGTCAGCTTTACAGGTCTCATTTCCTCTCCAAATCTGCCAACCAATTATATAAATTAATATAAATCTGTGACCAAAACAGAAGAAATAGGAAAATAGCAGCGTAGGGTACAACTACATATGCTTGGGAGAAACAAAGTACCTTTTGATTCCTTTGACAGGAACATTAAGCCATTCAGCTAGAAATGTCAATACGTAAGAAGTCAATATCAATTGGATACTGTTAAGTCTAGTCTCTTTAATAAGATTGATAGCAGATATTGTAACTTACCAAGGTCACCAATATTAGGAACTGTGGCCGAAACAGCTAAAAGACGGATAGTAGACAGAGGACTTGATCTCAGTTCAGGATTACTAGAAAGCATTTTAATTCTACTAACAATTGCCTCCAAAGCTGCTCCACGAGGATCATTCAATAGATGAACTTCATCAATAAGTAGAAGAGCTATGTCACTGAAAAAGCTCAAGCCTCCATTCTTTATGCGGTATCTAGTCACAGCATCAAATTTCTGTTCCAAGGAAATGGCACCAATCAGCTAGTAGACAAAAGCAACAACCAAAGTGCACAAAAGTTAATTATGTAGCTTGAAGAAAATCAGAACAGGAAACCTTGCAGACTCAAACAAGGTATGCCTATTCGGACCACAGTTAAGACCTAAGAAACATAAAGTCAAAGGACCCATTTGATTTCTGTTCGCAGACCTCTGGGGTGGTCAGAATAATATCTGCTTCTTGTATAGTCCTACTGTCATAAAATTCATTGTCCCCTGTCAGCTCCAAGCAAGCTATTCCCAGTGGTCCAAACTTGTTATTCCAGTCACGGACCTTCTCCTGTACGAGAGCCTTCGATGGTGCAATATAGACCTCCACTCACACAAGAAAATTATGCAGAAGAGTCAAATAATTATCAACCGCCAAAAGAAACTAAACTTCAAATCGAACACTCTCAACCTGAAACGAGAATATGGACTCATTACCATTTCTACTGAACTACTCACTTGTTCATCCATCAACATTTTACTGCATATAATCTGGAATAAGCGAACTAGACTCAGTTGAATCGGATGTTCTGAACTTACTGTTTTAAGGGTTCCCTTGACATGGATAAAGTTCTGCCCAGATATGAACCTGGAGAGAAGCCTCAGTATACAGAGTTCAAAAAGCACAGTTTTACCACTCCCAGTTGGTGCAGAGATGACCATGTTGACATCAGAATGGAAACAAACGGGGAAGCATTCACTCTGTAGTGGGTTGAAGTATCTGCAGGTGCACATGATTCATGACTAATTCCGAACAGTAATTGTAATTTTCACTAACAAACCATAGATTAAATTCCTGAAAGCTCTAGCTAACCAATAAAGAGTTATCGCTCTACCACTGCAGTACTAATTACGTCAAGCATACAATCACAAGAGGCTCTAAACTTGCCAGCAACAGTTTGCACATCACATTCACGTAGATTAACCTGATGAGAATGTACCTGAAAGTAAATATTGAACGGAAATGTGACGGCAAATCTGACACTGACTTGAGCGTATATGCATCCATTTCAGTCTCACTTCTCAAATGATGGAGAGATTAAACGATCAACCCTTCGAGATCAGCTGATCAGAGATGCCTGCAGAATGAGTTGTAAACGAACATAAGCGAAGAGAACAGTGAAATCATGCCAAGTAAATTCCGCACAGATGAGCACAGTAAAAATACATCGGACGCACTAATGAAACCTAATCCCGAAGAACAAAAATCAACGAGAAATCTACATGAGTTGAATTGAGCGATGAGAGTTGTTGCTCGGAGTTGCAAATAGGCTTCAGGCTGTTCAATTCTTGATGATGACACATACGAAGCTACGCGCACGCAGGGAGATTTCATCCCCGTCGAAGCCTCGCATAATCGAGGACGGGTTAAGCAGAATTCAAAGTTATTTAAGTAAACGAAACCCTGAAGAATCTCCGGCTAGAACAGAGGGCGAACTGTCTTCCCGGCGGAAGAATGAGATCAGGCGGGAGCCCGTTCCTCCAGCCAAAATTTAAAGTTTCTGTACTGTGAAATTCTCTAGTAACTCGTATGCTGAACCTGATTTGGAATCGCTTTGCAGTTCCAACTTTGAGTTCAAAATTTTCGTCTAGCAGAACCGGGAATGAACGGCGAGTTGGAAAACCTAATCTGAAATTCATTGAGAACTCTGTAGGAATTAACACTAACGGTAAGAGATCCAGCTCTGAGATGCAAATGCTTATCAGATAGGTTTGATTCCTGACGATAAACACAATCGAAGAAACGGGGAAACAGACAAACACTGCAGGAAGCTACCGCAGGAAGATTTCATCCCGCCGAAGGTTTACGCAATAGAGGACCGGAAAGCACAGACAAAATCACAACTCGAAATCAAAAAATCCAAACGTAACCTGAAGGAAGAATAACCTGCGACACACGGCTGACGGGAAATAATCCAGCGATCTGTCTCACCGGCGGAAGAAACGAGCTCAGGCGAGCGAGAGACCGATCTCCAGCAGAAATCTCGAGTTTCTGCGAATTGAAATGCTCTTAGAGGAACTCGTCTATGATTTTCAAATCGTCTCACTGTTCCGATTTTGAGCTCAAACTTTTTGTTTTCGCAAGGCGGGAAAGAATGGTGGCGAGTAAAAGACTGGAAAAGTGTGAACTGTGAAGTGAGGATGAAAATCTTCGCATATGCCTCATTTTATACTTCTGGTGTTATACTGGGAAATGACGTCACGCTACGGCTACTAAATTTTGCGGACACACCCCGGGCCGGGTGTAATGAGTTTTTCGGGACCATTGGACCTCTCCACTTTCAGCCCTAGGTTTGGGCTAAAAACATATTGAGAAAGCCCGGTATGATCGGATCCGCCACCATCCAAACGACGACGTGGCAAGCATTAGTATTAGTCAAACTCGACAGTTGCCACTTTGCTTTACTACGTGGCAGCTCAAATTCCCGCCACGGCGGATCTCCAGAAGCAGCGACTACGGTCCACATTGCCATGGGCTTCATTTCACTTCTTCACCAACTCGGCTCTCCTGGAAAGCTCTCACTCCTTCCTCTCTGTCTTTGTCCATTTGCCGAATTGCATTTGCAGGAGAATTGAAAGGAACAATTACCCCTAAAGAAGACAGATCGACATGGCTGGTGGAGCGGGAAAGGTGGCACACTCTGCTTACAAGGGACCAAGCATAATCAAAGAGATCATCTACGGCATCTCCTTAGGGCTGGCTGCTGGAGGGTTGTGGAAGATGCACCACTGGAATAACCAGAGACGGACCAGGGAGTTCTACGATCTCCTGGAGAAAGGCGTCATCAGCGTTGTTGTCGAAGATGAATGACTAGGCTAGATGGTTGATACTTGATAGTCTAATTAGGGGTCCCGTTTGCAAGCCCAATAAATGGATGTCGGTTTCGATTTGGTGCTTCGTTTGTTAGTTTTTGTACTTTGTAAAGCTTATTAATGGTTGAAGATATGTGTCTATCTCTTTGGCTGGTGTAGTAGGGTAAGTGGCCCTTTTCTGGTTGATGGTAATGAAGATGGGGCTGTTTCAATCAATTCAGGACAGTTTAGAGGTGACGACAGACCGATTTGAACTTGTTCCGACCCAATTTTGATCAAATTTGGGTGTTAGGTTGATGCACATCTTCGTTGTTGGATCTATGCAGTTGTACGGTAGTATTTTGTAAATAACATCAACATGATCAAAGTCGTCTGCCACCTTGCTAGTTGCTAGGTAACATCACCAATAGGTCGTTGCACATCAAATGAATGTGCAGGATCATGTATTATTGCCCTGCCCACATGTGAATGAACAAAGATTTCTATTGACATATCACCACTGGCAATTATGGACTACACACTACAGCTGATTCTTTCTGCAAATTCCGCCCAAATCCAACAAACTATTGACATTTCTGCCGCCCACATTTATCACCCAACCAACCGGCCATAAAAAAACATCTAAAAGCTGGCCACCCGCCTGAGCAACCCCCTTTCCCCTTCCATCCATTTCTTCTTTCGGGTCCCTCTTTTCCAGAGTGACAAATGATTGATGAGTGAAAGATACAAGCTTGGAAAGGGACAACTTTTTCACTCCTCTATTAGTTCTTGACTCCTGGCTGGACCGGTGGTTATGCTGCTGAGCAGGCTGGAAGACTCTTTGGTGGATTGTCCATTTGATACTCCTGATACTGAACTGTATGTGCTTCGAGACCTGAAGGACGCATCAGGGTCCATCAAATCTGTACCCCTCATGAATGGTGGTTGACTTGGAGCTGCGATCTCGCTGTCACGATTCGTCAGCATCTCGATGACTTGTCCCATGGATGGTCTTAAGGAGACTGAAGCTTGTGAGCACAGTAGGCCGATTCGCAGCACTGTTAGTGCTTCATCTGCTGGGAAATCACTATCGAGGGATGAATCAACTGCTTCGATCAGTCTGTTCGTTCTGTAATAGAACCATACCTGAACAAACAACGCCACATTGAGCACAGAAGCAAAGTCCTAATCGTAAGAGGTTTCGAGCTAGACTCGTGATAATGACTCGAATTAGCACTATTATAGATTGTAGACTTGTAGTGGATCAAAGTAAATATCAAGTCAATCTCTTAAATCTACTACCAACTAGAATTATTGAAGTATGACGAATAAATGATTAATGAGAGGTCATACTGCTTGGAGGAGGGAGTTGGATTCGCCTATAACAGCATTGCACCTTTTCCCACTCACAATCTCCAAAACCAGGACTCCAAAGCTGTAAACATCGGCCTTCTCAGTGAGCTGCCCACGAACCAGATACTCAGGAGCCATGTATCCTCTGCAGCAAAACAAGTGGCAATTTAGTATCACTCTCGCAATGTAATGTAACAGGATACACAGTTAGATAAGAGAAAACTCACATGGTTCCAGCAATCCCAGTGCTGAGATGAGACTTATCAGCACCAAAATGCCGAACGAGCCCGAAATCTGCAATCTTGGCATTGAAATCCTCATCCAGTAGCACATTGCTGCTCTTGATATCTCTGTGTATGATCCTCACAGGAGACCCCCTTTCTCCATGAAGATACGCCAGCCCTTCCGCCGCCCCAACTACTATGTTCAACCTCTGCTTCCAGCTCAAAGTCACCACCTTGCTGTTCTTCTCTACAATGAAACAGAAAATCCAAATCACCATTTCCGAAATCATGGGTTAGAGAGTTCTCATGTAAGGGTCTTTCATTCTTACCGAATAAGAACTGGTCGAGGCTCTTGTTGGGAACATACTCGTAGACCAGCAGGCTTTCGGGTCCTTCAATGCTGCAACCGAGCAGCTTAACGAGGTTCTTGTGTTGAATTCCGCTGATCAAATTCACCTCGTTAAAGAACTCCTCCACCCATTGGCTTGTGTTGAAGATCAGCCGCTTCACTGCCACGGTTTGGCCATTGGGAAGAGATCCAATGAAAACTGTGCCAGCTCCTCCTTGGCCTAGCTTCTTCGACAGGCTGAAGTAATCAGTGGCTTTTTCTAAAGTTTCATACTTGAAGTTCATGCTTAACCTGTTGAAGCTTATCGAGACCTTACCCAGATTTCTGCGTGCTGTAGCAATTTCTAGTAAGTGGGGGGAGCTCAAATATGGAGTATTTTCTTCTGGTCTGAGGAGATGGTTTCTGGATCCATACCTTGTTTAGCCTTTAGGCGTTTGATATGGATAGCGTAAGCTGCAAAGAGTGTAAGCATGGCGAATGCTGCTGATGCTAAGGCAATCGCCATTATCACTCCCAGTGTTGAATCCCCTGAAAATTCAAACAGAGCCGTGGCAACTCAAAATCAATGCTCAATTTTGCAAGAAACCCTAATTAAATTATTCAAGATCGTTTCCCCCTTCTTCCTGTTTCTGTTCCGTCGCTTTCCCTCTGATTTCTCAGCAAACAAACAAAACCTAGAGAAATATATAAACTTTCAAAAACAAAGAGTCCGAAATTACCGTGACCATGCACTCTAACACCTCCGTCGCCGTAGAATTTATGATCGGAGTACTTCAAATAACACCCAGCATTCAGCGCTCTCCCTTCCCTCCTCGGCAGACATCCTCCGACCACCGCGGCGGCGGCTTTACTCAAACACTCCCGGCAACCATCTCTCCCGACGCTCTCCCAGCACTGCGCCAGAGCATAAGCTCTTCCTCCAACCTCCGCCACTCCGAAAAACCCGCTCACTCCCTCCGACGCCGCCGCGTTCCTCGTCACATTCGCCACCGCGTACTTCACGCTCTCCGCGAACTCGAATTCCGCTCCTGCGGCGGCGGCGCTGCCGCATGTGAAGTTGTCGATGGCTGGGGAGACGGATTCCGTGTAGAAGCTGTAATTCTCGTAGCGGAGGAAGCAGCCGTCGAGGTAGATCCGGGCGGAGACGGCGGGGAGGCAGCGGGGGAGCTTCGTGCGGGCGGCGGCGTAGCAGAGGAGGCAGTCGGTCTGGGAGAGGTCGGCGTGGCACTGAATCAAAGCGTAGAAGGGGATTGCGGAGTTGTTGAGATGGTAGGTGGCGAATTTTTGCTTGTTGTTTATGAGCTGGGAGCTTAGGGCGTCCATTTCTTTGACGAAGGTAGGGATGAAGCTGGCGGCGACGGACGGCGGGGGGCGGGCTGCGCCGCAGAATAGGCCGGACTGATCTGTCGTTCGGGGATCGGCGATGCGGAAGGAGTGAAGAGAGCGCAGACGAAGAAGAATGAAAAGAAGGTGATTGTCGTTTCATTCACTCTCATTTCCATGGCTGCCGCAGTCAGTGAAATTGTCCAACTTCTGACTTCTGAGCTATGAATAAAGCCGCTGCTGCCGCGTTTTTTTTTTATTTTGTTTCCGAGCCTCGTACGTGGATTGGAGGAACGGGAATCAAATCGTTTTATTTTTGTAACACCGGTGTTTAAGTAAATCCTTCCCGCTCATTTCCTGTTCTGGGCTTCTAGAATGGCCGTTGTTTTGGGCTGTGTTGTTTCGATTATTAGGTAAATTACATGTACTTTATTACATAACGGTAATACGATCGAGAAACTAAGATACGCTTATATAGAATCATGATATCATTTTAAACATATTTTCTAAGTATGGATAATTGCAGTTAACCATCACATTATCATGGACAAGATTGTTAGATGGGAAGGGGGTGGGCGTTGTTTTGATAAAACTCTAATTTCGGTTGTTGTCTTTTATCACCTTGTCGGCGCGATGTTAGCGGCTTCGATTCTGCAGATACTCTTACTTCTTTGATCGCCTTGGATGTTCAAATGCAATTTACTATATGTTCATAATTAGATATTGTCAAAACAAATCAATGCAACGGACTCCTTTGTACGTCTAGATCAACTCATTTGTCTTCTCGCTTTTTCGTTCTTTATTACACATAAGTTTCTACGTCCTAGTAGTACAATCATGTGTCTCGTATACACAAGTTCTTTTTTTATAAAACCAGTCCAGCTAAATAATCACATTTGAGTGGAAATGAAGAAGTATAAGAAGATGGTATGTTTCTATGTTGTTGTCATTGATAAGGTCATCTTGAAAATTGCCCATTAACAACCCACTTTATACATTAAAGTGCTGAAGCTCTGGTAGTCTCAATCTCGAACTAATTTGATAGCAACTCCATCTCCAACTCCAGAAAACACTTTCAGAAAAAAGCATATAGGGCAAATGCCTTTTTTCTTCCTAATTTCAGCATTTACTTTTTACTTTATAAGTTGACTCAAAATCAAATCCTGGTTTCATTAAGGCAGTTGCGGAGTCCACCAATTGCCTTTTGTGTTTTAGGAGAAATTTAAGAGTACCTGTTGATGATGGCACAAAATGTTCCGGCCACCACAACCGACGAGAAAAAGACAATTGGAGAGTGGAAAGTGGAAACCAACCATATGCAACAGAAAATTAAGGAGCCTTTCTTTCTCATCATTTGAACTTTCAATCTAAGATTTTCCCATAAGCATGCGGTTAAAGTTCACGAAGACTAATATGTAATTAACAGTGTAAGGTTGTAATTTGCAAACTTTGAATTATACAATAAATTCCAAGTCTTTAACCCACTAGGTCTAGGTAAACCAGAGGTGGGGTAAGATTGCAACCCAGAAGAATGTGCATGCATGCATAGATCCTTCATATGTATGTGCTTCATCTTTATTTATTGAACATAATACATCCCTACCGAAAATTCCATGTTTGTACTAAAAAAAAAAAAGAAATTCCATGTCATAGTTCGATTATGATGGCCGGAGTTTACCTTTGTACATAACAAATTAGGGATTTCCTACCATAACTTGAAGTAAGGTAACTTGAATTTTTTTACCTGCTATAGCAGGTTTCACAGGTCATATTACGTAAAATACAATAGGCATTACGTAATGGTTACGTAACATATGATAATCTTACGTAAAAGTTGTAAAAGATCATTATGGAAGTCTAACGTAATAGAATGTGTCTTTACGTAATGAGTATTAACCTCGCGTTACGTAAAATGCTAAGTCATTACGGAAGCCTTACGTAACGCTACTGATTTAACTATTACGTAAGAAATAATTGTCGTAACGTAACCTTTACGTAATGGAAGGTCTTTTTACGTAATGAGTATTAACCTTGCGTTACGTAAAGTGCTAAGTCATTACGGAAGCCTTACGTAACGCTTTCGATTTAACTGTTACGTAAGAAATAACTATCATTCCGTAACCTTTACGTAGTGAATGTGTATTTTACGTAACAGTTGTAAAATATCTTTACGAAAGCCTTACGTAATGGAAGGTCTCTTTACGTAATGAGCATTAACATCATGTTACGTAAAGATCTAAGTTATTACGGAAGCCTTACGTAACACTTCTAATTCAATAAGAATTAAAAAAGGAAAGAATAAAATATGGAAAACAACTAAATTTGAAATGGAAAGGGAAAAAAATAAGAATGGTAAGTTGTGTAGTGGTGACCGGCAACCCCTGTTGCCTTTTATTTTCTTACTTATTTTTTTATTTATTATTTTTTTAATCAATGGTTTAAATTAAGTTTGATAGATTTTAACGGTTTAGATCTATACAAGTTACCTAACTTGAAATTATACCCAAGTTACTGTAGGAGGTCCCAACAAATTAAAGGATATGTTTGTCATATAATAGATATGTTATGATGATGAATTTTTACACTTTACTTTACTGTTGTGTCGATAACAAATCATAAGCATGATTCAAAAAGACGCATCTAGAATGCTAGGAATATTTTGTCGACGACTAAGACTTCTACGGTCATCTTATACGCCGCGTCCTTTTTAACTTTGATAATAAAGAATGACAACTCACTTATTAGTGGAATGTCTGGCTAATGGTAATTACCGAAAATAAAAGGTCTGGCTAATGGCTATACGGTGGCTACATGGTTGGGTGTGAACAGGGGTACAAGGTAGGCTACAGCCTTAAACCTGAGCTTAATTAATTACATGATAGAAGATAAGCTAGATAATTACTGTGATTATCTTACTTTAATCAATAATCAATTAATTTAGTACGACTTTGCGGATTGTCACCTCATCAATACATCATCTGTTTCTGTTGTTCAGTCATCTTCTTTTGTTAATGTAGTGCTGACCTAGCTTGCTGGAGTATCCACGTGCCACCTCATTCCTTAAACCTCTTTTTTAACTCATAAAATGAGGAATTATTTAAATATTCCCCATGCTGTGATCGTGGATTAGCCCTGGCTAGCTATTAACCTTACCTTGGGGTCCCAATGATAATCGTCGGGCGTCGCACTGCTTTCGCGAATCATGTCGGTGACACAAGTGACACCTCATCACCGGCGACAATTTCTTATAAAATTTCTAGAAGGGCCTATGATTTTATCTCACAAATTTGACCAACAATGATACACCTTTCCCAAGCATTAATTGTGTAAAGGATTAGTGATATCTTGGTAATTGGGTCTTCATTGGTGATCTAGCATCTATTATACATTTATTATTTAACATCTCGAATAATTCGAGTTATCGGTATATTAAGAGGTTATTGACATAGTTACAGAGCCTTTTATGTGGTCGAAAAGGTTTTGTTTGAATCCTGGTTACCCCATTTGTTAAGCACATTGTATTTACGAACATGTGCGCAAACTTCAAGTCCATAGATGTGGATTTCGTTTGATGGAACGTATTAGTATGTGCTAAACCTCTATGAGTTATTGGGACCAACGAATTATTAACATGCCATCATCAACCTCTATGAGTAATTGGGACCAACGAATTATTAACATGCAATCAAACTAGCTGACCTAGTGAATTAGACAATCATGCTTATAACCAAGGTGGTAAGGTTACAGATCCTGCCAAAAAGGATGTTTATATTGTATGACTTACTGTGTGCGTTAAACATTTTGTTTTTGCATGAATAGTTTCTTTTATTTTTTTTCTCTTTTTACGCCCTAATTTGAATACATGTGGGAATGAAGGGCAATTAAAAAGGAAAAGAACCAAAATTTCCTTACTGCACCAACTGTCTTCCTGTCGCTTTGAGCTTAAGCTCGCTCATATCTATATACAACTCAACAGGATATAAAAGGAGCATGATTGCAGGCTATTTGCAGCACCCAAATTGTCAACACTTGTTTTTTTCTTAAAAAGTCAAACATTGAATTAAAATTTGTCCTATGCCCTCTTGTTGTTTTTGTCCGATCCTAGGCTGATTTGGGTGGTTGTCTTCGTTATAAACTGGACACATATTGGCCGGTTAAGTTATTATATTTATATCCAAATTGTAATGTACACTACAGGGTCTTTATTTATTTTTCCTTTCTCCTTTTACCAAACAACACCCCACCTGTTTTTCAAGATCAACTCCAAAAAATTCAGTAATCATACTTGAGAGCTCTTGGATTTCAAAGTTTAGCAGTCCATGTTCACACTCTCCCACCATATGGATTGGTTGATGAGGGATATGTGACTGCTAAGTGCTAGCTAACACAATTTTTTTTTTTTTACAAAAGCTAACACAATTTTCAATTATGATAAAATGATAAAAATGTTGCTAAATGTGATGAAAGTTTAAACTCAATAAATGAAATGAGAACAACTTGATGTACTTGTTGGTATATTAAGTTTAGCATATATGATCATATGATAAATCATTAGATTATTTTGAGAGTGCAATTATAAACAACAAATTCTCCCGTGTAAAGTTTTGACATCATAGCTTTTGAGACGGAGGTTTAAAGTCATTCAACGGTGGTAATAAGGAAAACACAACATACGAAATGGTGGAGATGAGAATGCACTTCCACTAATATATGAAATAATGGTAAGAAAGATGAGTAAGTTTACAATGAACGTTCTTTATTACAAAAGAAAGTGTTTGATTGGATTACTTAATTGATGCGTAAGAAAATTTAGTAACCGAACACTAAAATAAAATTTATAAAAAAAAAGGTTTAGCAACCATGTGCTAAATACCAAAGCCTATTACCATTTTGAGCTTTGGACCCCAAATTTGAGTAGGCCGGTCTGAACTGGACCAACGGTCCAGATCGTCACAGCTCGGCCCATCAGGAAACGGCAAGAAACACACCGGAAACGGCAGAGCGTGTCATCTCTAGAGAAGTGCCGGAAACTCCAAGAAAAAGCTTCGTCCTCGACTTTGCTCAAAACAAAAGAGCGCCAGACTTCCCTCACTTCCACACATTCCTTCGCCTGAATGCTCACCGGAATCGCCGCTTCCAGACTCCGACTAGGCCTCATGTCAGGCGCCGTGGCGATGTCGTCTTCTACGAAGTCCTCTCTCAGCCTGAGAAATCCTAGCTTGTCATATGCTTCGAGCTCTACGCTCTTCAATTGCCGCGGAGGAGGAGGAGATGGAGTAATCGGGAGAAGTCGCGTTAGTTTCAACTCCCCGCTCGTTCGCGGTGTTTCGCTTCGTTGTTTTGCTTCGTCTTCTTCCAGTTCTGATCGTGTTAAAGTTCAGAGTCCGATTGTTGAAATGGATGGTGAGCACTATAAACCCTTCCAAAACCCTCTGGCCATGGATATGGAAAGTTTCAAGTGAATTTGATTGGTGAAGTGTTTTCTCATGTGCTTTTGGTTGGCGATTAGGTGATGAAATGACTAGGATCATCTGGAAAATGATCAAAGACAAGGTAATGCTACATGTTCTTACCATAGTGAAAAGCTGCCGGAAGAATTGAGCTGTTGAAAATGTGTAAACCGGAGAATAATCAGTGATGTTGATAGTCTGTCCCTGGTTGGTTGGTTGCAGCTGATATTCCCGTATCTTGACCTGGATATCAAGTATTTTGACTTGGGAGTAACTAATCGTGATGCTACTGATGACAAAGTCACCATAGAAAGTGCTGAGGCCACCCTCAAGTGAGTTTACATGCATTTAACCTTACTGTAATTAATCCTTTAGAGTAAAGCTTGATTGGACTACTAAGATGCATGTTATTACTGTTTTTTAAATAATTCCACCAGTAGATTGGGTGGGTTTCATGGGTAAATGATTGAGTCCCAGCTGAGACTCGGCAACATGTATGTTTCTCCATACGTAGTTGATATTGTGTGGTGTATGTAAATAACGAATTCATTAGCTGTCTTGATTGGAATTAATCGGGAATACTTGTTGCTCAAGGATCAGCTGAAAACTTCGTCAATCGCATACTGTTTGAATCTTTTGGCGTAGTTTTTCTTATCCTGCACATATTTCTTTCTTAGGTACAATGTTGCTGTCAAATGTGCCACGATAACTCCTGGTTAGTTTGCTGGCAACAAGCGTTTTACATTTCATGAAACTATATATACTTCAAATTTTCATTCCAGTTCAGGAAAGTTATATATATTCTTAAGCATCTGATATTGATAGCTATCATAATTGTTTTCCTCTTCTATGCAGATGAGACTAGAGTGAAGGAGTTTGGCCTTAAGTCAATGTGGAGGAGCCCTAATGGCACGATTCGAAACATTTTAGATGGTTAGTGCTGTATACATCAACCATTTACTCTTGTTTCTTAAGCAGAATTCTTTGAACTATGCAAAAAGCTATTTCATTATGCTTTGACTTTCAATTTTGGTGTTATATTTGCCTTTGTAGGTACTGTTTTTCGTGAACCAATTATCTGCCGCAACATCCCAAGAATTGTTGCAGGTAACATTAGAACTTATGCTGTCAACAAGTGTAAACTATATTTTGGCAACATCACCTGGTGCTTACAAATTAATGAACAGGTTGGAAGAAACCCATATGCATTGGTAGGCATGCCTTTGGGGATCAATATCGTGCCACAGATGCTGTTATAAAAGGTCCAGGAAAGCTGAAAATGGTTTTCGGTATGGCTTCTTTCCCATTCTTGCTCAAGTAAGTGAAAAATTAATTGCCTTCTGCATGACACTATCTCTCTTACCCAAATTTTGCTTCCTAATAATCAGTCCCAAAAGGTGGTGATACCCCATTGGAGCTTGATGTTCATGATTTCAAAGGCCCTGGAGTGGCACTGGCAATGTATAATGTTGACGAGGTTTATTCAACCTCATGCTACTTCTCCTTTGTATACACAGAAATTTGAGTATTTGCCTAATCTTTGTGTATGTGTAGTCTATTCGAGCGTTTGCTGAGTCATCAATGACAATGGCATTTGCAAAGAAGTGGCCTCTATACTTGAGTACCAAAAACACAATTCTTAAAAAATATGATGGCAGGTAGCAACTCCTCATCTGAGTGACTTGTTGTGCCAAATCCTCTTCATTTGTTCCTTATTCTGACTGACAAAACAAAACAAAACAAAAAGATGTTCTTATCATGAGAACCTTATCTCAGGTTTAAGGACATATTCCAGGATGTTTACGAACAGAAGTGGAAGGATAAGTTTGAAGAGCATTCAATTTGGTATGTTATAAAAAATTGTTTTCTGTTTTGTTTTTTGTAAGTAGTAATTACAAATCAAAGTGGTTTCATTCTCTAGGTACGAGCATCGGCTAATAGATGACATGGTTGCATATGCGATGAAAAGTGAAGGTGGATATGTCTGGGCTTGCAAAAATTATGATGGAGATGTCCAAAGTGATTTACTTGCCCAAGGTCTGCATTCACTGACACCTACTCTCAGAAGTTGCATATATCTTTCTTGTCATCCTTTTAAATGCAGTAATGAACTGAAGGACTTACTGAGGTTTAACTTCTTGTTCTTGGGGAACAACACAAACCTTACTGAATTAGTTGATGTTGTTTTTTAATTGTAGGATTTGGCTCGTTGGGTCTTATGACATCCGTGCTGGTGTGTAGCAAGCTATCCTCTTTTTACACATTGATTTGATTTGTCTTTATGATTAAGGTGACATAATGCTTTAAGCAAACACTTTTCAGATTTCTTCCGACGGAAAGACGCTAGAAGCTGAGGCAGCTCATGGAACTGTCACTAGGCATTTCAGATTGCATCAGAAAGGCCAAGAAACCAGCACAAACAGTATTGCTTCAATTTTTGCATGGTCGCGAGGACTAGAGCATAGGTAAATAATGTTTCCTTCAGTCAAACTTATATCTTTAGTTATCCAACTTAGCATTTGTGTATTAATCACTCCTGATTATACTATATCCATGATGATGCTGTGATTCTGTCTATTGGTTGGAAGAAAGAAAGATGCAAATATGGATACGGATGCATAGGTGGGACCAAGCATGTGTAAATTTTTCTGATCCTGTTTGATTTATTGTAGGGGAAAACTGGATAAGAACGAAAGGCTGCTTGATTTTGTTCAGAAGTTGGAGTCTTCATGCGTTGAAACAGTTGAATCTGGCAAAATGACCAAGGATCTGGCAATCTTGGTCCATGGCCCCAAGTAAGCTGATCATTTCCTTTCACCTCATACGTATTGTTTTGTTTTCGTAATAACTTGCATTGTTTTCTCTTTGCTATTTGATTGTGAAGTCATGATCACATAAGGTGAATTCTTAACATAATGTTTATGTATATGTAAAATGGGTTGCAAGCAATAGAAAAGACCTTAGGTCGGAATAGAGGTAAACATTTCACATCGGAGAACTAAAGTTGAAGACTAGAACCATATACAACTTCCGTGTTCAATCAGCTCGTCTGTTAAGGTTTGAGATCACGATTTGTGTGTCACATGTGGAGTGATAATGACCATTCCCAATTCCTCATATCGTGCAGGGTATCAAGGGAACTTTACTTGAACACAGAGGAGTTTATAGATGCAGTGGCAAAGAATCTGGAATCAAAGCTCCGGGAACCTGCTGCAGTTTGATGTGCATAGCATCCAGCTGCATCTAGTGGTGGTTTGGAGAAAAACACGACCAATTCAGACATTTCCATAATGGGGTGATAGGATTTTAGCATAGAACATATACTTGAAGTTCTCATTTCCTTTGGAAATAAAGTTGTAACGACGATTCAGTTTCAACTTGGTGATGGTCCTGTTCAAAACTAACTAGAACAGAGGCCATTTGGATTTCGCCTTGCAATCAATAACGCTTGTAACACATTCCTGATTACAGCTCCTATGACTCTTAAACGAAAATTCTCAGATCATATGACAAGATCATGTTTCATAAACTGTCATGAGAGAGAGACAGAAATCCATATAATGCCCATGTGCAGAGGTACAATTGCATGAATCAAGTGCGTCGGTGTTCGATGGATCACTGAATGTACTTTGGGATTTCCCCCTTCCTCAGCACACCAAGAGCATATTCAGCTGTATCAGTGAGGTCCTTGATATTGTGAACGGATCTCTCCTCGGATCCCAGGATGAAGATGGCACGAACCTCAGCCTTCTTTGCCAGTCTTGCAGCTAAATTCAGAGGCAAACTTGGAGAGTTCAGACTGCGCAATAGTTGTCGGTAGAGAGACAGTACATATCCCCTATTGCTTGCTAAGTCCTCAGCTGCCGCCCAAATCTTCAGGCCTCTCGCTGCCATACCTGAAATGGTGAAACAAAGGAAAAATCAATCGTGAGGAAAAATAAGACCAAAAGGCCAAATCCAATAAAAACCGTCATGAGTAACACATTCACTTAAACAAACTACTGCAAAACCACTAACGCCCCCCAGCAGTCCACCAAACCAATTCCATCAGATAATTCATCGAACACATGGCGTGCGCCTTAAACTTCATCAATTCTCTTGTTAACACAAGCTCAACTCAAGTACATATTCTACCGAAAGAATTTCGCTTTCCAGGTCAAATTTCATAAGCAAGCAAAGACCCGATTCGCCTATTCTATCTTTACTCGTCATAGAACCCATCAAGTACCCAAATTCCAAAACAGTGTAGTCACCCAGGTTAATGATAATGGATAAACCTGAAATGCCAAAACTGCAGCGAGAAAAAGGATCACGGAAGAAGTTCGGATCAATAGCGTCCACACTGGCACACCCTCGTATAGGCTCCGGCGAACGACCTTACCAGCAATCCCGCTGCGACGGCTCTCCTCCAACCTCCCCCTCACCTCCAACAGATTTTGTTCGGTATAACTCGCCGTGCTTGCCTCGCTTTCGCTCTGAAATTATTTGTCTTTGGCAGTTTAGCCACGAAAACTGCACGGATTGGATTGTTAGTCTTTGATGCTTAATTCACTGCGTGAACCTAACCTGCAATCCCAGGTATGGAAAAGGCCACTGGCGGTTGTCTTCAAGCTTAATTCAGGAAGTCCTGAAGAGGGGCTTTGCGCCGCTTGCCTTTTGAGTTTTGAGTCCGACTGCCAATCTCTCGTCTGTGAACTTTCGAATGCGAATGGGACGGGGACGGGGACGGGGACGGAGATGGAGACTCTCTGCGAGGAAATATTAAAAAAAAATTTGCGATATTTCAAGCCCATTTCTCTATTGGGCTGCAGGCTTGTAATGGACTACGCATTCCCGGAGGGAGAGGCCCACACAGGGACCAGCTCTGGATCAGTCTCCTCTCCACTTCCTCCTCTCCGTCGAGTCTTCTTGACTTGGCAGAGAACACGAGACGAGTACACTGAGGTTTTGGAAATCTGCGAGAGAGAGAGAACTCAGAACTGTATATTCAGCAAGCATAGAACATCAATTGCAAGAGAGGGAAGTAGATCGGCAACAAGCCGCAGAATTCTCCGTCTCCGCCCTCTCCCTCCATCTCAAAAATTATAGAGAGAGAAAGAAGAGGCGAAAGGGAAACTTCAACAGATATCTCCCACGTCTCACACCTTCTCCTTACTCTATCACCCTCCGCACCTCGTCCCATCGTCCATCACCGCCGGTCTTCAACTCCCCGGAAGGTACTTCATTTCTGTATTTTAAGAGTGTTCTGTAAATCCCCGTAGGGAGTTCTTTTAATGCCTTTGTGACGAGACTAGGAACAGTAAACTCTGATTCAGTGGGTTGAAATCACGCCCGGCCGTGGCGTCGATGTGATTGAATCGCACCCGGCCCTTGGCTGGGGACGTGCTTTCTACCCGTCTATTTATGGTTCCAGACGGGATCTTAACCTGTCCCGCGGAAAAGCAAAAAGAAAAATTTATATATGCAGATTTATTAGGAAAAAAATGAAAAAAAAGCTTATATATGCTCTAAAATCTGAATATAGTAAAGGGTTAAACTGAATTATTACAAAAAAAATTTCTAATATCAGTTTGTTTACAGTAGTCAAAGATGACAGACAAAAGAACAAAGTTGAAGGTGTTAGTAGGAGCAAGTTTGCCAGCTCCCCACCCAGACCACGACCACCCACAGACAGCAGGTGGTTCTGAGAACCCTAGACAACAACCGGATGGTCACTCGTCTACTGCACCGGCTGACTTTGTGGTAATACGACGTGGGCCAAATGGTCGTTTCACATCTGCCCACCACGCTGATGCTGAGGCTATCCGTAGCAAGAAGAAGAAGAAGAAGCTGATGACGAGAGACGGGACGACAAGAGACGAGACGTGGGTTCTTACAGAGCCGGCTCCTGGCGGGCCTGAGGATCCTACCCTGATCCCTAGTTTTAAGGGTCACGCAGCATTTCGATTGTGGAATCAACCCGAGCTGGCCCGAGGGTTGATCGGGTACTACTCTCATGATAGGGGATTGGATTTCCTCACACGCTACGAGTTTGCGAGCTCCGGTTCCCTGGAGTTGGTCCAGGGCACAGGGTTGTTTCACTTGCGTGAGTGCGTGACGCGCAACCTGAATCTTCCTTTGCTTACGGCGTTTGTGGAAAGGTGGCAGCCCGACACCAACACATTCCACATGCCGTTTGGAGAGATGACGATCCTACTGCACGATGTTTTCCACATTCTTCGGATTCCCGTAGATGGAGAGTTGCTTAGCCGTGGATGCGACTCATTCCCTGGCTTTCTTGGACTCACAATGGACGATTTGGTGAGGCTTGTTGATATTGATAGGGGGCAGAGTGTAACAGCTCATGTTCACCAGCACAGAAACAAGGACTCTGAGGTGAAGCATTATCTGTTATGTTTGTTGGGATCTATATTATTTATGGACAAGACTAGAGACCGCGGCGTTCTTGATACGATCAACCTGTTCGTGAGAGATCACGAGCGAGTCAAGAGGTACGCTTGGGGGGTTGGTACACTTGCTTATTTGTATAGGCAACTTGGCGTCGCATCCCGAGCTATGAGCTATGCAGTTGGTGGTTGCTTAACACTCCTACAGGCATGGATTTATGAGTACTTCCCGAGTTTGCGGCCTACTGGATACGAGCCCCCAACATTGAAAGATGGGGAGGCTCTTGCTTTTAGGTGGAAGGGAGCACCTTTAGAAGGAGGGCACAGGCCAGATGCTAAGCAGTTGCAATACTACCGTCTGATGTTGGACGAACTAACAGCTGAGGACGTGACGTGGCTTCCATATGGTCAAAATCCCGGCCAAGTGGTTCCGTTGTCTTTGTATCATGGTGTGATCCGATTTGGCGATGTGGGAGAGATGTATGATCCCGGGAGGTGCCTTCGACAATTTGGATACAGACAAGTAGTTCCCATTCACCCTATTAAACCAGCTTACGCATTTCGTCCTGCCTCTGGCATGGGCTATGACGTGCGGTTCGATTCCGTCTTGGATAATTTTTGGAGCTACCGTCACCGCCACACGTTGCAATTGGATACCATCTCTGCACCTGCTCAGCCTTTGTGGGAGGCCGACGAGGACTACTCAGACTGGTATTTTAAGCATTCCCACCCGTTCATCGTCAAACCCCACGGTATGGAAGATCCTCGGGGGAATGCAATCGCCTATAAGGTGACTGGTTTTGATAATTTTTTTGCAACTCTTTTTGGTCATAACTTTGAGTATTCCTCTTAACTCGTGAAGAAAAATACTAACATTTAGATTTGTGTATTGTTTTTGGTATGCAGCTGTCTATCCAGATTATAGAGAATCTCCGTCCCATGCTTACGGCCGACGATGACACTCTGCCTCCTCAGTTCTTGGAAATGATTCGTCGTGCTCGTGGATTGCTCGTCGAGTATGACCGGCGGAAAGCACGAGGCCCACCCACTCATAGTAGTCTTGTGTAGATTTTCACTAGTTTTTGGGTAGTTGGTCGTTTTAATTTAGTCCCTTTCTCATGTCGTTTTAATTTAGCTCTCCCGTATATCATCTATCATGTTAGTCGCGGTAATTGGTCTTCCATAGTCGTTTCTTGTGTTGATTTGTATCAAACCAGTGCACCATTTGCTTTTGTTACATTTGGGGAGTATTGAGCTATGGGAAGTGAAAATGCAGAGACATATATATATTCTTTCCAAACAGATGGTGATTGTACAATGAGGGTTCGTGGACCTTTGATTGGCTGGGTGGTTGTGTATCCATTGATATATAGTTATATACACGCAGGAGATGAGTAGTTTGCCCAGTCACTTGTGTACGTGTACATTGTGTAGTCTGCTTGAGCTTTTGCTGAGTCATCAATGACAGTGGCATTTGCCAAGAATATGACGGTAGCCGCCCGTAGGTGAGTGGCCTGTAAGGTATTTGCCAAGAATACTGACGTAAGGGATTACCATTTACCAGTTGCCAAAAACACGCCGGCCGCCGGCGACCCGGCGTTTCTGTTTCGACTTTTGACCTGGAAACACAGCTTTGACAGGCCCACTTATCTGGCCCATTCGGCCCACAAAATACTTTTTTTACAGTTAGGCTTAGGCCCACAAAATACTTGAATGATAAAGAAACACGAGAATCTGCAAATGGCCGGTCGCAATTTCATCCTTCGTTCTTTCTGCTTTGTTTTGCAGCAACGCGTACTTCACAGAATCTATAAATTCACACGGTGGCCGCTGTCTCCGAAAGACTGCACCTACTCAGTAACGAATTCTGCAACTAAGAAGAAAGGCCTGCCGGAGAAGAAGTGATGGCGATGACCAAGGCAAAGGACCTCATTTCCTCCAGCCCCGTCGTCGTTTTCAGGTGCGACGATTGTTTATTTGCGGCGATTGATTGGATTAGATTCTTTCGTTGATCGGCGATCGTTTTTCTGCGGTGCAGCAAGACTTACTGCCCATTCTGCACCTCTGTGAAGAAGCTGTTGTCTGACCTGCGAGCTGCTTATAAGGCCGTCGAGTTGGATACCGAGAGTCAGTAATCCAATCCCTCCCACTAATTTCTTTCTGTTCCTTCTGATTGGATTAAATATGTACCGAGATGCTGACTGATTTGGTTCTGTAATTGCTTCTTCTCCGTAGCGATTCAGCTCTACTTGTTTGTGTTGGATCATTGTTTAATTATGCCTGCTCATGTCTTCGATTGAGATTTGGGAGTTCGTAAATGGTTGTTTCTTGGAGGTTTACTGCAAGGGTAATAGGTCTTCGATGTAGTATATTTGAAAACCTCCCCCAATATGGACTGAATTCGCCTGTTCAAGCTTCGTTTTGGGTTTCTAATTCTTCTTTCTTAGCTGCTGATTTCTGATCCTGCTCCCCTGATAGGGTCTACTTTACTCAGACCGGAACTTGCCATGAACATTGCGATTTCCTTACATGGCTGTCTGGACTTAGTTCCAATTGTTTGTTTTTATCTATCCCATGGTCTTCTTGTTAGATGACTAAGCCACCTTTGAGTTAGCTAACATGTTCGTTACCTACACTAATGGATGGGTTGATTATCTCTGAACAATTAGACCGCAGAACTGTTGATAATGATTGTTCATTTGTGCGTGCTAGTTTCACGCTGTTTGTGATTGTTCATTTCCTGTGCTACTAAGCCACCATCTTTGAGTTAGTTAACATGTCTTTGCTACGCCAATGCATTGATTGTCTCTGATCAGTTAGACTGCGAAACTTTTGATAATTGTTGTTCATTTCTGCATGCTAGGGTTTACGTTGTTTATGGTTGTCCAAACTCTGTGACACAGCGAACAGAACGGTTTCCTTAATTTCTCTTATTGTAGACTGATATGTATGGATATTGGTGGTTCTCTCTTTTTCTGTTTCTTAGGTGATGGAGCTGAGATCCAAGCAGCATTGGCACAGTTGACAGGCCAAAGGACAGTGCCTAATGTCTTTATCGGTGGCAAGCACATCGGTGGCTGTGACGGTATAATACCCCTGGACACCTTTGAAATTCAGATTGCTTTTGCCTGACTTAACTGCCCTTTTCTGGTCCCAATTGCTGACAGTAGACTTTTACACCTTTTTGTTCTTGGCCGGCAGACACGATGGCACTGAACAAGTCAGGGAAGTTGGTTCCTCTTCTTACCGAAGCTGGAGCGATTGCTGCTACTACGGCTTCTGCTTCTTCCTAGAGCACTTTGTGGGTGGTTCTGAATAAGATCGTGTCTGAAGAACCTGAGTAGCGTATGCCGTGGTGAATGTAGTTGCCTTACAGGGCTGTGTTCAATGGGATTGATCGTTTCTGGTTTGTGTTGTGGCTTTAAACTTTATACTCGGTTGTGAGCTACTGAATCTACTCTTGTAAAGTCTTAAATCTACTGTGCCTTGCAGCAAGAGTCTTACTGTGTAGAGCCTATCTCGTATACTAGTCGTGAAATGAACTCGGTACAAAGCTAGATGTTTGCTATCTTTCGAAAGGCATGCTAGCCTATATTTGCCTACGTCGAATCATCGATGAAATTGCGTTCAAATTCACTCTACCGCGAAGGGATTTGGTAAATCATTCTTGTTCAGATTACTTGAATTAGATGCACAAATGAATGAACTAGACAAATTCCCAAGGTCTTTAAGCGCATTGCGATTCAGTGGATATAAAATTCATCTCGTGCTCTATGGTACAGAATACAGATTAGCAATGGACTTTCAGCACTGCAGAGAAGTAGCTACGGACTGCCCGAGTCTGAGAGCATGCACAGTTTTTATAATACAAATTCAACAAGAGCCATGACAGGTGGAAGGCAAAGTAGCTTCAGCACAGACAAGTGGAGGGCAAATGTATCGACCTGGAATGCAAATTCAGCAAGGGCCATGACAGAGGAAAGAACAAAGAAGCTTCAATCACAGCAGAAGCAACTTATGATCTTTTCAACCATTCCCTTTGTTCATGTTTAACATTTGCGAGAATTTGATTGATTGTTCAACTGTTCAGGGGAAGACTGTGAGTTTACAAGAGAGTATCAACTTCATCGAGCTCGAGTAGATGCAACCTAGACCAGATTCCACTTGACGACACTCACTCGTATAAAACCCAGTTATGAATCCTTTCTGGGGGATCTCCATCGTACTCATCTACTCGCCTTCCGTACCGCAGTTGAGCTTGTAATCTGGGCGAAAAACCTCTTCTTTATGGAGGGAGGCGATGGCATCGTGGACGTGGAGGGATTGGAAGAACTAAAGAAGCGGTGAATATCCCTAGACGACATAATGGTGGCGGGAGACACGTAGGCTCGGACAACCGTTGGTCCCCGACCCAACGCCCCACCCTAACAATTAATAATTACACCCTCAACCAAAAAAACCCCAAAAAGAAATAATACAAAGGGAAAGGCAGAAAGAGAGAGATGGTAGTTCCTCTTCCTCTGCTTTTGCGCTGCAGAGACACGGGACACAGCCTCGCCCCCAACAGTTACAATCATCCACCCCAACAAGAAAAGTGCAGAGAAAGAGAGAGTGACAGACTATTGCATTGGCATTGCCTCTTCTCTCCGTCTCATCTTCTCCGGCAAGCCACTAGACTCGTCAAACATTGCTTCTCTTCAACGCCATTCTTTCTTCCACTTCCACTTCTACTTTCCCCTTTCTCTCTCAGATCTTTGTACTGGTGATCTTGTGATTCTGTACAGTTCCGCCATTAAAGCTTTCACGATCCCTCCTTTTCTTCCCACCCACCTGACCCTTTTATAGCTCGTCCCCCTCCCTTGTCTTCTCTTCTTTGCATCAATACCATAATCAATCACTCTATTCCAATGGCGGTGACCGGGTTCAGAGAAAAGGCGCCGTCTTGCCACATTTTGATTCTCTTATTGGCTCTGTCTACTTCGCTTCAATGCAGGTTACTTACTGTCTCCGTGGATGCGATTCTCGACCCTCTCGATTTCCTGGCCCTGCAATCGATTCGGAAATCGCTAGACGACATGCCGGGCTCCAACTTCTTCTCCTCCTGGGACTTCACCTCCGACCCCTGCAACTTCGCCGGTGTCTACTGCGACTCCGACCGGGTCATCGCACTCAATCTCGGCGACCCGAGAGCGGGCTCTCCAGGTCTAATCGGCAGGCTCGACCCAGCAATCGGCAAGCTCTCGGCGCTCGGTGAGCTCTCCGTGGTCCCGGGTCGGATCATGGGCTCACTGCCCGAATCTGTCTCCCAGCTCAAGGACCTCCGGTTCCTCGCCATCAGCCGGAACTTCCTCACGGGGACCATCCCGCAATCAATCTGCCAGCTCTCCAATCTCCGAACCCTCGATCTCAGCTACAACCAGCTCACGGGTCCGGTCCCTCCCTCAATCGGGTCGATCCCCGGGCTATCCAATCTCGTCCTCTGCCACAACCGCCTCTCGGGTCCGGTCCCTCCGTTCGGATCCCAATTACTGACCCGACTCGACCTGTCCCACAACCAGCTCAACGGCTCCATCCAACCACTCTCCTTCCCTCCCTCTCTCCAGTACCTCTCCCTCTCCTGGAACCGGCTGGTCGGGCCGGTCGACACGATCCTCACCCGGCTCGACCAGCTCAACCACCTCGACCTCAGCGCCAACGGGTTCACCGGGCCGATACCGGGTCGGATCTTCGGGTTCCCCATCGGCAGCCTCCAGCTCCAGAGGAATTCGTTCGTGGGCCCAGTCCAGCCCACGGACCAGGTGGCGATCCCGACGGTGGACCTCAGCTACAACAGGCTTTCCGGCCCAATTTCCCCGATGTTCTCCACCGTCCAGAATCTCTACCTCAATAACAACCGGTTCAGCGGGGAAGTTCCAGGGAGCCTAGTGGACCGGCTGCTGGCGGCGGGGATGGAGACGCTGTATCTGCAGCATAACTATCTGACCGGGATCGAGATCAATCCGACGGCGGAGATTCCGGTGAGCAGCTCGCTGTGTCTGCAGTACAATTGTATGGTTCCACCGCTGCAGACGCCTTGCCCGTTGAAGGCCGGGAACCAGAAGACGAGGCCCACCGCGCAGTGCAACGAGTGGCGAGGGTAGTATCGGGTTTTGGAGTGGGAGTGTAGGGGCAGGACGGTCAATGGGAATATTGATCCAAGAAAAATGAGAGAAATTCTTTTGTATTAGTTTTTTTTTTTTCTTCTTACTCTTACTCTTACTGTCACTGTCAAGGTTAATTTTTGGATCCATTCATTGAATATTTTGTGTAGTGTGTGAAGAAGTGGGGGGGGCGAAGATGACTATTCATTGCTGTGAAGGAGGAAGGGGAATAAGGATATGGTTTGGTTTGGTTTGGTTTGGTTGTTGTGTTGTGCACATCTGTTGGCAAATATGTGTAATGTAATGTGTAGTTGATATCATGCCAGCTGATTTGGTACTACCATAACTGGTTCTTCTGCATGTGGATTTTGTGATCACCTCACTCTGTCACTCAGCTTTCCTCGTTTGCTACACCGATGGACAGACTTGATCATAGATGATCGATTTAGGCCGCGAAAGTATTGATAATGGTTGCTAAGTTCTTGCTACGAAATTCCTCACTTGGACCTATCACTGCGTGAAGGACAATGCTTGACTAACGGTTTAAGATTCTGGAAAACGCTTCCTCTGGGATTCCATACATATACATTACATTGATTTAGCACAGCAGTGTAAGAAAAACTGGATTAGCCCTGGATCCCCTATATATAGTGATGGAAAGAGGAAGTAGAATGGAACTACCAACTCAATGAGTTCTTTGACTGCTGCAATTTTGAGTTGTATGCACTCTCCATCTCCTCCTGCAATAGTTTCACGAATTCACGTCTTAACTCTTAACAAGTTGCAAAAAAGGAGCTTTCCAGTCAAGGAGGAACTACAGTGGCTGGATGATTCAGCTGAGGATATTTCAGGTTGAGAAAACAAAGATGACCAGTTATACCTTGCAAGCTTTCAGAAGAGGTTCCAAGAACGATGATCGGAAAAACCTAACAGATTCGCCAAGTGATGTCCTGTCCCAGTCTGTTCACAAGAAATGTAAACTAACCAATCAATGGCTCTTGTCATTGTTGACATCTAATTTCCATCCATTAGAATAGAACAGTATCGCAGCAAGAGTTCTTAAGGGGAGGAAATCACACGAGAAATGCTGATATGAATAGAGTTCAGTATCAAACGGCATACCATTATCCCCTTCCTGCCCCATTCCCCCTGAGTTAAGTTCTTGTAGCAGCTACAAGAAATTTAGGTGAAATAAGTATCCAGGTGGATGAGAGACTTAATAATAGTCCATGAGCTTTGCCATCACGGGAGTTTGATTGGCTTAAAATTGACATATACAGAGTTCTATGTTCATCTTATGAAAATGGACAGCGAATGGTAACTGTTGTAACTTGAGCAAGCTACTAAAGAAGTAAAATGAGAGGATGAAAAACATGTTACTGGACCAGATTATCATACCTGTGAAAGTGTTGGGACAGTTGTAGGATCAAATTCATGGCAATGGACTGGGTCTATTGGTACACAGACACGACCTGAAGACGACATAAACATGCAGCATAAGTAAGCTTTGATCATATTGTTCAAAAAATTGCAATGCACCATATTTTTAGCTTTGATCATATTGCTCCTTCATGTCCCAAGCTCCAATGCAATTTCACCAAAAAATTTGACTGGGGGAAATGCATATTGATACTTAGGTGTACTTACCAGTTTTTGGGTGAACACAAAATGGTGCCTTCAGCAAGTGGTTCATGTGTTTGGAGACCTGGAATAGAAGCAAAATGGTACTGCTTAGGGGAGTTGGAATGTAAGAAGTAATGTTCGGAAAGCCTGTAGCCTCTTTACAATTACACTTTAAAGCAAAACCAAAACAAGCTGTTGGATATTTATATCTCCAGCAAGATAACTTAATACTTAATAATACTGCATAAAAACAGCAGGATATAAAGAGGGATCCTGCTGCACCAACCTCCATATCAAGCCTGGGATAGGAGAAAGAGAACACAATTTCTTCAACACACCTACGCAGGCCTTGTCCCTGGAACAATGAAGATGGGTTCTGGTTAAGTGTACTTATATGGATCAGAGCCCTAGCAAGTAAGACGTCTTCTCAAAAGGTGGTCTTATTTTTCTGTGCAATTAAATTATCATGTACAGAATAATTTTCATCTTTCACTGTTGTGATTCCACAATGAAAGGTGATACATCTTTAACACAGATAAGCAGTTTCTACCTTGTGTCTTCCAGATTGCAGAGTGTGCTTCAGATGCTCCCATCGAACAGCATTAATATCGTCTTTTGAACCAGAGGACCTCTTCTGCCACCTCCCTCTGAGCTCAGCAGCAACAGCTGTGGAAACAGTCGCGGATAAACAAATCAGTTAATCAGAAATATGTCTGACTGTGACTGGTAAGAAATTGCAATAAAATTCAGTACATTCATCTGGAATCATCTCTAGAACTTTCTCGCATCTGTCTTCGGTAGAAAAAATTTGCTGACTAGAGAGCAATGTTTGCTCAAATAAATCCTTTAGAACTTCTGTGTAAGATCTCCTGCAGAGCATTTAAACCAAAAATTATAGCAGCAATCAAACCGAGAGAAAATAAAGGACGAAAGAGCAGCAAAACAGAAGGAAATAACACTGAAAAAGAAACTTACACCAAGAAAGGATGAAGAGCATGGCCGGTCAGAGAAACTTTTTTCTTACTGTTCTCACTACCCTGATGAACATAAGCAAACTACCATTAAATACGTTTCCTGCATAAGTCTCATACAATTTTGAATATAGTATGTGGCGTGTAAGACCTTGTATACTCGAAAATAATCAGCAATAGCTGCTCTCTGTTCATTAGTCAACCTGAATCAGTGCATTTGAACACATTGTTATAACCACACAACAAAACATGAATAAATATGGCCTGAGCTATGTTTATAAGATCCCTAACCTTCTTGCCTTCCCATCACAAACCCAACAATGTACACCACGCCGGCCACTGTAAACCCAGAGAATATGTCTGAAACCAAAGTCATCTGCATTAACAGGAAAACGTCAATATTTTGGGAGTTTTGATGTTCTTCATTGACTAAGTCAGATAAAAGAAAGGGAAAAGGAAAACAAGAACTCATTCAGATGTAATGCAAGTGAGTTTTCTGATTGAAGGCGCAAAAGATAGGGACCTCTGAGGGCGGTGTTGATAACTTTGATAGCTGCAGTCATCAGGGGCCAGCAGTCCAGGCACACATCAGCTCCCGAGCAGCAATATCTGACATCGTCATAGTCTGTAATATCCTGAAGGGAAAATTGATAATTGATTGCGTCATCTAACAAATTAAACAAAACCAAAGATTGTACCACAGAATCCAACAACTTACAATGTCAAAAATTAGCTCCCTCTCCACTGGTTTGAAAACATTCTCGCCACTTTGGGCATAAGCATGCCTTTTGGAAGGCTGCAATGAGATATATAAAAATAAAGATTGTCATTGATATAAAACGATGACAACAAGCACCACAAATAGAAGAAATTATCAAAAAATAAGGTTTAGGTACACTGTTCTTAAGCACAGAAGACCACAGACCAATTCAAGATTATAAAAACTGAAGAACCACTTCTGTGATTCATGGACGGAAGAATCAATGCTGCTGCGGAGAAGCTTGAAGTGCACATGTAGGGTTATGTAACAACAGTGACGAGAAAAGAAAACATTCTTACATCAACGCTATAAACAGGACCAATGTCTATTTTAAATGGACACTTCTCTCTGATGCCTTTCTCCAACTCGGATACGCTGTTGAAGGACAGAAACCTCAGATAAATATCATTCTCAAGGGTGAAAGAAAGCTCTCTCCTGCCAAAGTAAGATTTGTCACAAGCAGGATGCTTTCCATCTGCACATAAACAGTCAAGTGGGGGCGCAGTTAGAGACCAGGAGAACCACCATTCAAGATGCAAGATCGAAAAGTTAGCATGCAAACTAATTACCATTTCCGTAAGACATCCATTTGAAGATATCACCGTAGGGGAAGAGTTTCGCTGCCATGAAATAAGCAACTTATTAGGTTCAAAAGGAAACAGACAGAGAGCGCTAATGGAGTGTGTGGCAAAAGCAATGATATGACCAGTAAACAATTTCAGCATGAGCAAACTCTTTACAATTGCTTCACCATTACAATTGCTTCACCATGCATTGAGCAGTAAGAAGAAAAAAAATGTCTTGAGAGATTTTGAACTAAAGAACATATGAACAGTGGTTTCCCATATGATTTACGATGGAATAGGAGCTTGATCAGAGGAATACCATAGTAAAGATTCAGAAAATTAAGGTTGAATCCACTTGGGAGGACCTGGTCAGCCATTTGACCATCAATCAACATGTCATCCTTCCCATTGACAGCTTCTTCAATCACCATCTCTGTCAGAAGATCTGCTCCAACACACCAAACATACACGTAAGTGAAGTTTTGACTTCGAATTACAAATTTCCAGAACAAGATTAACAAATCGCATCTCCAGATGAGGAGAAACTCTCGCAAAACTCAAGTTCAAGAATTTGGATCGTGAAACCCTAGAATCGATCAAACGGCAAGCAGACGAAAAGGGTTCCTATATTGAGACTTTACATTTCTAAGGGGAATTCATGAAACTTATATTTGTAAGTTTCTAAAGAGCTAGACCTAGCTTTGTCCTAGCAACCGAGATTTTGATAAGTTCACCTGAATCGTGCCCTCGTCACCGACTGAAGAGTTTTGAAAGCCGCCTCTTGTTAAATCGCAGAAGAAAGTAAACAGCGGCGGCGAGGCTCCTTTTCTATGATGTAAAACGCGCGGCGGCAGAACGGCGGCAGTTGCTCACTTATAGTTGAAAATGAAAACGCGGCTCAGATGACTCTTCTTGCTCGCCGACGTCGAGAGAGTGTGTGACAGTGTGAGATGAGTTTTTGAGGAAAGAGAACTGTTCAAATTGTACTCCCTTATCTGGCGGGAAAACCTCCCGCCAAAATCATGCAGAGGATGCCTTCGTAGTTTCTAGTCTACTTCCTAATCCGATCATTGAAGCTGGGTCAACCCTGCCTGTTGAACAGGTTCTAGGCGACAATTAGCAATTCCCTCCTATAATTGGTTCTTCTTCACAGTGATTTTGTGATCACACTAACTATTCTAAATTCTTGCAGCAAGAGTCTTACCGTGTCTGGAGAACTTTATACTTCTAGTTGTGAAATGAACTCGGTAGAAAGCCATACAACAATCATCAATCATTTTTCAAAGAACGTTCTTGTATATGCTTACCTACTTCGAATCGTCTTAAATGTGATGATGGAACTGGCTCTAAGTTCTCTTGGCTGTGAAGGGTTTTGGTTATCCAACCGCATTAAGATTAACCCCAAACAGATGCCAAATGAATGAAATTGACAATTCAGTATTTCACTCTCTTCTCAAATCTCTTTTTTTTTTTTTTTTCCAAGAAATGTCAAGAGAGCAGTTTACAGTTACTTCCCTGGAATCAATCATCCATACAACCTCATACTCAACAAATATAGCAGATCCCGTCAAAAAAACATATATAGCAGAAGATCGTATTTAAGCGCATTGCGATTCAATTCTTTAAACCATAAAAGGTGACTACGCTTTATTGGTGAAAAATGCAGTGTTACTGTATATTATTTTGTCGCTTCCTAGCTTCCCTTTGCTTCCATTTCGTAGATGAGCCGTGCCCGGCTTTGCCCACCGTTTCCCTCACCTCCTTTGTGCATAGCAGTTGAGAATGTACTTTGTCCCCAATTCCCCAGTTGTGAATGTACTTTCTCCCCAATTCCCGGATGTACAGCTCCTTCCCGTCAATCCCCCCTCTACGGGTTGCTTCTCCGACTCTATGGCTCCTCCCACACGCCAACGACCATGCTCCCTGTCCATCTTCCGGCCTCGGAATGCGCGCGGGGTCTAGGTTTTCTCTTCCAGCCTTCCCCAATTTCCTCTCCATTCAACTCTCGCCTACCCTTTCTTTCGGAATCAGAACCCCGCGTAGTCCTGGTTCCTTCTCCTACAGTGCCCGTCCAGCCGCAGCTTAGCCCCCGTCCCCCTGTTTCCTCTTCAGTGATTCACCGCCGTCATCGCAATGGCATCTTCTTCTCAACCCACCATGAATTACACCGTCCTCTCCAAACTAGCGTGGACCGACAACGCGCCGGTTTTGAAATTGCGCCTTCTCCATACATGGAATGCCGGCAATCCATGGCGCGGGGATGGCTTTGTCGAGTTTGCGACGTTGTGGACAGATGAGCTGGTGAGTTTCGTCTCTTCTCTGCTCCCCACTCACTGTGTACCTCCCTAGCTCTTACTGAACGGCTTCCTTTTTCTCCCAGGGTAAACTGGTGCAGGGCCTTGCAGCGCGTCAGCTGGCTTCGCATCTTACCGCCTGCCTCATTGTCGGGGAGGTCTACTTTGTGACACACTTTACCCAGCGTGAATCGTGGAAACGCTGGGCAGCCTGTTCCAATGAGAGGACCTTGCATTTCACTTCCAGCACGTCGTTCGTGCTCTCCGTCCAGAACGAAGACAGCTTCTGCGCTGATTCCTTTGAATTTCGCAGCTTTGAGGACCTCCCTGCCATGGCTTTCCAGCCTACTGCTTTGGTTGGTAAGTTCCCTTTGCTTCGACTCCGCAAATTGAATGCATTCCCCACTTGGATCCTCACACACTTCTTCATTGTAGATGTTGTGGGCCGTCTGGTGTCCGTGACGCCTGTCACTTATTTCCAGAAACAAGAACGTTCTGTTAAGAAACAGACTGTTGTTATTGAAAATGAACGGTATGCTTTCTTTCTTCCATATGATTTGGACACGAATGCCCTGCAATGGTGTCTCAGCTGGACTATCCACCTGCAGGAATTGTCACCTCTCCATCACACTGTGGGCGGACTTTGCGGACAAACTACCTCTCGCTGAACTCATTCAGGTGGATGCTGCTGCACCTGTTATTGGCGCGTTTACCAGCCTCAATCTGTCACTCTGGCGTGGTACGATGCTCTCTTTTCCTTAAACTCAACACAGAATGCATTCGGTGGATCTGGTTTGCATTACAGTTGTCTAACATGAATATATGTTTGTTATGCTTTTATATTTGCTTGCCTCTCCAAACTGAAATTTTGCCGGATAGAACTACAGTGGGATTGTGGTCTTCTCGGCCAACCTTTTACTTTTTAAGCTTTTGAACCGTGGTTTTGAAACATTGGTTAACACTGCTCACGATCAGCGTGTTGCATTGTCTTCATCATAAACCTTTGGTATTTTCTAAGAAAAAACAAAACTTCATGAAAACCGGAATCTACCCCTACCACAGAATGCTTCTTATCAAAAGTAGAACACATGTAACGTAGGCAATGGTTATATGTCTGCCTACATTGCAAAAAACAAATATAAATTCAGTTCAAACCAACAAACTACTCCTACGGCAGTCCTGATCACACTGCGATCAAGTACTTTCTCCTTTGCAGCTCCAGTAACTGAGTGTTGGAGTATATATTCATGCCATGCTTTTCTTTCATAGTGAAAAGTTCCAGGACGTTATTTCACTTGCATAGTTAGTTTTAATGGTATTTGTTCCCGTGTTTTGATTGTAGTTTACCCCATATATATATATATATTTTAAGATTACCCCAGTATTAAGATTCATCAAACTAACCCTATATATATATATATATATATATCTTACCCCATAGTGTATTGATATCCACGTTCCAACCTCATCATTCACTTTTGCAAAGAAACTAAGGCCTGCTATGAGAACCTGGTCATGACATCCATGCGTTTCAGGTTACAGAACATGATCAGGCACAAAAAAAAACTCTTTGACTTTTCCGCACTTGCATTCTCATTAGAAATACCATTTTTCCTTTGCAGGAAATGTTAGTGCTTCAAACACAACTGCCACACGCATAGTCATCTCGCCAGCGGCCCAGGAAACTCAGCCACTCACTGCATTGTACGGGCGCAGTAAAGTGTGTTTATTATGCACCGGTGAATCCAGTTAAACATCTTCCTAATTGCATTTGTGTTATGCAGCTTCGGTGATGCTGTTGCAGCAATCGGAATCGTCCCAGCTGAGTGTGACACCCCTGAAAAGGCACTCACATTATACCGTGATTCCTTCAAGACAATTCCAGACTTGCAGGCTATTCAGGCTGATTCTAACATGGTCTGCTTCTGGCTTCGTTGCTAGCTCCTTCGTCGGCCTTCCTCCCAAGCATGGTCACTTCATGTTCCAATTGCTCACTGTTTGTTTAACCTGCAGGGTGGTAAGTTTCGCTGCAAGGGGAAAGTGACAGACATAGATACATCGCGTGAATGGTGCTATCTCGGCTGTGCTGTCTGTTTCAGAACGGCCATCCGTCGTGACGCACCTTTTTGGTGTGAAAAGTGCCAGGCCACAGTTCACCCACATCAGCTGAAACAATGGTTTGTTCCTCCCACTCAAGTTTTGCGGTGAAACTTCTTTGGTCACACATCACTGACGCATGCACGATCTTTATTTTCTTCTATCTGCAGTTTCCGCATACGCCTCATGGTCCATGATGGTTGCGCGCTTGCTCCTTTTGTCCTGCTTGGCCAGACTGCAGAGAATTTCCTCGAGGTGTCTGCAGGTACTCTGCTTGCTGCTGCGCCGGACCGTGGCGGTGGGTGCCCTCCAGAAATAGAAGCTTTGGTAGGCCAAGAATGTATCTTTTTGGTCAACCTCCCACTGGGCCAATCGACAGACCCAATGGACGATTTCTGCGCTCTAGCTGTAGAGAAGGAATCCAAGCTGGGGACCCTCGGTGGAAAAGGCCACGGGCCACGGTTTGGGAAGAAGGCTACGAGTGTCATTGCCACAGTCCCGCACGGGTCAAATTCGAGGTCTCTTCTGCGCCTTTTAACTTTCTCAGCCCTCCCCATTACTATAGACAGTTTCTAACTGCATCTTCCTCTATCGCTTCGCAATGTGCAGCACAAACCAGTTCTCTCTCGCCTATTCCCCTGGACCATTGAATTTGTCGCCCGCCAAACGCCCTCGACCAGCTGAACTGCAGTACTCCCGGGCCACAATTATCCTCATTTGTCAAGTGTACTGTATTACTTCGTCTAACACTACTTTGCATTTGCTTCTCTCTTCATCTAAACTCTCAGGTACATAGAAGATAAATGTGCGCCTGGGCAGAACACACCACTGCCTGACGCAAGCCAGCTGCTGCAGCCTGTGGACACAGGGTTTGTCACCAACTCTCATTTCAATCTATCCATGCACATATTTTCAAATGTGGCGGCGAAACTGCAGTGGCGAAACATATCATGCCTTTGTGATTCCAGGCATTATAAATGACGTGCACTTCACAATAATTCAAAAAAAAAAATTCTTACCAATTTCCCTCGATTCCAGGATACCTCCAGCGACGGGTACAACCTTAACTAATCTCCTAGCCCCTTCGAACATCCCTGCCACGCCTGCCAAAGAATTGCAGCCCACACCGAGTTCTGCACTACTTACCGATGACCATTCGTCCCCTTCCCCAGGGTATGTCGCTTCTTACTTACATCCTTTTGTCAACCTTTATGTTCTCTCTTACAGAGAATTCTATCCTTTTTTGTACTTGCTCATGCACCATCTCCCACTCTGCATGTACAACTAGCTACCTTTTTATTAAAATGTCTTTTGTTCCAGTTTGAACTCGCCGTTGGCAGCAATCACTATTGAAACCAGGTGCTCCAGTGCGAAAGGCAAGGGGGTTGCTGGCCAACCTTACAATCCAAGCGTGGACCCTGCACTGCCTCGGTTAGTTTTGCGTTTCTTGCTGCGCAACTTGCAACAATGTTGCACGTGTTCAATTGCCTGCATTTAACCAACTGTCTCGCCTTTCATGCCTCTGTATAGTGTACATACAGAGAATGACTTCGCTGTAGGGGACACCCAAGAGGTCCATGAAAAGATAGTGCCCAGTGGAAAGTTGAGGAAGGATATCCCCCCTGCTATGCTTCCCATACGCACGTGAGCAGCTTTATTCCCTTCTTCAAACCTTCTCTTCTTCACCTTTCGTGCAACTTCATGCTTCGTACTTACAGTTCGTACCTTGCCTTTAACTAGGAACACCCAGCCCCTTGCAAAAGTTAAGCTAGAAAAGCTGGAATCCTCTCTCAGGAAGAAGAAGCAGCAGCCAGTAGACTCTGATGACGTGCCTATCGCTGAACTGAAGAAAAAAACCAGCAAGACCAAATCCGCCGCGAAGAAACTCTTCGATTGATGACTGCCTTCGTTCCTTTCCTATCCATCTTTTGTGCTTGACAACCTTAGCTTCTATCCTGCCAAACATCTTTTGCTCGCTGGTCCTATTCACTACCATAACAATGCATCCCATTTCTTCTTCCGTGTACTGTAAACAATGTTTGGCCTCATTGTAGCGACTCCCTGACTTTGTAAGGTGTGTCATTTGGATTTCGGATTATGTAATGCCTGAACTTAGATTATCACGGTTTCTACTAATCTATGTTTCGTATTTTGCTAAGTGGAACGTATTTTGCTTCTGTAAGGGATTCCTGTCTTGCGTTTCCAAGTTTTATCAAAACAGGACCCCAGTACCCTTTTATGTTTACAAGTTGTTCCCTCTCACCGGTGTGTTTGGAAAATGAAACTACCAAAGTATGCCCATGTTTGTGGTCTTAGACTGAAGGAAAAAAAAAAACACAAAATGGCCTTCTATTCTGTTTGCAAGTTTCCTTCTCTACTTTGTCTTGGGTGGAAATTCACGTTCCAAACTTTCCTTACCATGCTGTACTTTTTTGCAGGGTTGGTGGTTCAGACACATCCTTTTATACCACACATATGTGACTGATTGATTTAACTGCCTAACACCACTGCCTTAGCTTGCCACCCCTCTTCCTGATCTTGGACTTTGCCCCTTACTTTTCCTCTCTTCTCTTGGATCACTTGATATACTTGCCTCCACCCTAATACTTACATGAGTTCCAAACTCTTTTTCACCTCTCCACTGTGGTTTCCCAGCATGTTCTTCTCTCTTTTGCAGAATTGAAGGCCTTATAGCCTGAACTGCTGTTGCTCTTGCTGTGGCGGAACATGATCACTTGCTAGGCCAGCTCTTCTCCTGCCTGTGTCTTTTGCAAAAGGTATGCTTTCTTTTTATGAGTTTTCTTTGCGACAGATTGTATTCACTTATGCTCTTAAAGTGCAAATCCAGATACTCTTAATTATGTACTTTTCAATGGCAATTGTGTTATCCTACATTCTTGCCAGTTGAGGTAACGTGTTTTGTGTCTTATGATAACTTCCTTTGTGCAGGCACCTATTTCCTCCGTCCAACTGAACACCATTTTTCTTAACACTTATGCCTAAAAAGTTGCAGGCAAAGCGGCCTCTGCCAGAAATATCTTCGACCCCAACGAAAAAAACTCACACCAGCTCGCCACTAAAGGGCTCAGCAACGCCTCCTATCACCAACCGCAGGGTCAGGAAACCTACCTTCACTCCTGAACATTTTCGGTCTTTTGTTGCAGGCTCGGTGGCCGCATCCATTCCAAGGTACTCCTCATCCTCCAATTTGACGTTTGCATTCTGATCATAAGATTTATTCACCCTATGCACTGAACACATTGGTTCTACAATGCAACAGCAACACACCAACAGAAGAACACCGATTCGATGCTTTGCCAGAAATGGAAGCTTCCCATCTACGACCGACAGCAGGGCTTACAGAACCATCCTCCATGTCATTCTCTGACACACACTCACAGCGCTTTCCTGCTAATACTGGTGGTCGATCAAAAAAGAGTCGAGCCCGTTCTACTGCCACTGCTAGCAGTTGTGCAGATCAGAATGCCACGAACTTTTGGGAAGATACCATTTTGGACTTCGGCCTTCCAGAGTCAGAATGTCCGTACTGTGGAGCTTTGTTCTGGTATGCTGAGCGACTTGATCGTCATCGCCACACAACAATGCCGATTTTCTCCCTTTGCTGCAGCCATGGAAAGGTATCAGTCCCATTATTACAGCAAACTCCACCATATCTTGACAGCCTTTTGGACGTCAATGGTGGTTCAGAAGCACGGCACTTTAGGAAGGAAATACGTCCCTACAATGGCATGTTTTCAATGAGTTCAGTCGGCGCCAAACTTGATCGGCGCGTTACTAATTCATCAGGACCATACTCCTTTGTCATTTGTGGAGCGAACTACCATCATATGGGTTCTTTGTTGCCTCCAGAAGGGAAGAAGCCCAAGTTCTCGCAGCTGTATGTATTTGACACAGAAGATGAGGTTGGTGATCGGCTTTCAAACTTCGCCTCTTCCGGTCTTTCTCTCAAACCTCGCATTGTTGATGGCTTGATAAAAATGTTTGATCAAACAAATGAGCTGGTCAGGAGTTTCCGTAGAGTTGGCAGGGAGGTCCAGGATCCAGTTAATCACAATTTGCGGCTAAGGATAACAGGTGCTCGCGAAGAAACAAACCGACAGTACGCTCTACCCACTGGTTCGGATATAGCAGGACTTATACCTGGCGATTTCAGTGCCGAGGAAGATGGCAGAGACATCATTATAAACCACCGTGAGGAGGGACTACAACGCATAAACTGCCTTAATCCAAAGTTCCATGCTCTGCAATTCCCTATCCTTTTCCCCTACGGGGAGGACGGCTTCCACTTGGGTATAAAGTATAATCCTGTCCATGCCTCGGCCAATTCAAAAAGGAAGAATGTAACTGAACGAGAGTTCCACGCATTTCGACTACAACACCGTGCCAGTGAAGGACAGTCTTTGATGCGTGGGGGCAAGGCTCTACAGCATTACTGCGTAGATGCATTTTCGACTATTGAGCAGAATCGGTTAAAGTTCCTAAGGCTTAACCAACCGCTCCTGCGTGCTGAACTCTACAAAGGAATTCGCGATGCTTACAGCAAGGGTGACACTACTGGAAACGAGGTGGGAACGATTTTGCCAGCAACATATACAGGTGGCCCTCGGTACATGAAGCATCAGTATCTTGATGCCATGGCCATCTGCAGGCGCATAGGAAATCCGGACCTGTTCATCACATTTACATGCAATGCACAGTGGCCTGAAATAACCCAAGCCTTTCAGACAGTTGTTGGGTTGAAGCCGGAAGATAAACCTGATGTGGTTGTTCGTGTTTTCAAAATGAAAGTTACCGCTTTGAAGGAACAGATCCACAAGCATCAGTTCTTCGGCAAATCAGTTGCAAGTCAGTGCCTATTCATATCTCAACTGTTACCGCGAGATCTGTCTTGCTCTTCAACTTTTGATACAGTTAGACACACATAAAACTCTTTCACCTTTACAATTTATGATGTTATATATTTATAATGAAGAGCCATGGAATATAGGAAACAAAAGTAGAGAATAAACCAAATTACAGTAGCTTAGAGCTGATTGGTTTGGCTTCTCCAGACAGTTGTTAGCCCCTTTCTAGGTGACAGATTCAACTTGCTTCCAACAAGACAACCAAATTTGTTTTCGATGCTTTCTGAGTCCATCCACTTCCTATTCATTTGCATTAAAAAAATAAACAAATGCATGTGCATCAAAGCGTTCATTCATGTCTTGCTAAATAAGTTTATGGTTTCCTGTTGTTGCTTAACAGACATACATACGATTGAGTTCCAGAAGCGAGGTCTGCCGCATGTTCATCTTTTAGTATGGCTGCATGAGAATGCCAAACTTAGAACTGTCGAATCCATCGACTCGGTTATCTCTGCCGAGCTCCCAGATCCACAAAAAGACCCTCTTGGCTATGCAGCGGTCACAAAATTCATGCTTCATGGACCCTGCGGTCAGTGCAACCAAAAATCTCCGTGCATGGTCGATGGAAAATGCAAGAAATTTTTCCCAAAACCTTTCAACTCGACGACTACTTATGATCACAATGGCTACATTGTTTACCGCCGCAGAGATCATGGCCAGACTTTTGACAAGGGCAATGGCATCCTTGATAATCGACATGTTGTGCCATACAATCGAAACCTGCTGGTGATGTTCCAGGCTCACATAAATGTTGAGATCTGCCACAAAGGAAGACTTATCAAGTATTTGTTCAAGTATGTGACAAAAGGGCCCGATCGTGCAACAGTCGTCGCAGAAAACTGTCCAAGTGACCAGGCACGCGAGTCAGGAGTTCCACCGCAACGAACGAGGGATGAAATCAAACAATACCTGGACTGTCGTGTTTTGTCATCGTTTGAAGCAGTGTGGCGACTGTTTGAGTTCCCAATACATGAGCGGACCCCGGCAGTTGTTTGCCTTCCTGTCCATTTGAAGGACCAGCAATCGGTAACATATAATCCCGATACAGGCTTACAGTCAGTTCTAGAGGATCCAGAAAAGGCAAAGACTATGTTGACAGAATACTTCACTCTCAATCGTGTCGATCCGGAGGCTAGATCAATACCATACGCAGATATCCCATCTCACTACACATTCCATTTACGACCAAAACATTGGGCGAGACGAAAGCAGGGTAATGTTATCGGTCGCATTGTTTTTATCCCGCCCGGGACAACGGATGTATATTTTCTTCGTCTGTTGCTTACAAAGATCAGCGGTGCTACGAGCTTTGAGGATCTCATGACTGTTGATGGATACCTATGTAAAGACTATGAAGATGCATGCCTCAGGCGTGGTTTTTTGAGCGATGATGATGAATCTCAGGCAGCTATAGGGGAGGTTGGACAGTGGGGAATGCCGACCTTGCTTAGATCTCTGTTTGTCTTACTTTTGTTGCATTCAGAGGTTGCTGACCCGCGAAAGTTGTTTGAAGATAATTGGAAACTTCTTGCAGATGATCTATGTTATCAAACCCGCAGAGCTCTGGACCTACAGTACTTTCAACCACCGCCTGAATTCCTACGCAGTGAGGTCTTGAAGCACATTGAAACTCTTTTGCATGCCCATTCTAAGGAGCTTGCCAACTATAATCTGCCACTTCCAGTCAGAGACAGCGGCGAATTGCTTGGGAACAGGCTGGTTTGTGAGCACCTTAACTATGACCTATGCATGCAACAACGCACAGCAGACGGGATCTTTGCAACACTCAACAGTGAACAAATTGAAGCCTATCACAATGTTATGGAATCTGTCAACAGTGGGGTGGGAAGGTTTTACTTTCTATATGGACATGGTGGTACAGGAAAGACTTATTTGTACAACACAATAGTGGCAAAACTTCGCAGTCAGCAAAAGATAGTACTGGTTGTGGCCTCATCAGGCATAGCGGCGACACTACTCCCAGATGGATCAACTGGTCATTCAAGGTTTAAAATTCCAATTGACATAGATGGTTCTTCCACCTGCAGAGTAAAGAGAGGTACTCACTTGGCAGAGTTGTTGCAACGAACCTCACTCATTGTTTGGGACGAGGCTCCCATGACTCATCGGTTTTGTTTTGAGGCTCTTAGCAAGACACTGTGCGACATCATGGATGTGCCATTAGCTGGTCAATCCTACAAACCATTTGGTGGGAAAACGATCCTCATGGGTGGGGACTTTCGTCAAATTCTGCCGGTCGTGGCTGGGGGAGGCCGGGAAGCAACTTTGAATGCATCAATTGTGCGCTCTCCCCTGTGGACGCATTGCCACCTGCTCTTTTTGCACCAAAACATGCGCATCAATCATGATGTTGTCAATACCAAGATGATATTCAGTGGAATGACATTCCCACAATGGGTGCTTGCCATTGGAGATGGGCTCGCACCAGTGAAGTGCCTCGGTGAAAATGCCGAACTCGCACGGATCGAAATTCCGCAGTACCTCATCCTTCCACCAAATGGCACATCAATTCAGCCAATCATTGATTTTGTCTTCCATGGACTACTTGATCTATACAGGTCAGTTTCCTTTCTTAAAAATCGTGCTATAGTTACACCAACAAACGAAACTGTTTCTGCGATTAATTCTGCAGTGCTGTCACGTATTCCTGAAGAAACAAAGGTGTATTACAGCATAGATAGTTTGTGCACTGAATCCACTGATAGTTCTGACCTTGACAGCCTCTACCCCATAGAATTTTTAAACTCATTGTCTTTCAATGGGTTACCTGAGCATGAGCTTACTCTCAAACTGTACGCACCCATCATGCTGCTCCGGAATATAGATCCACCTGCTGGATTGTGCAATGGAACGCGATTGATGGTTACACATCTTGGGAATAATGTTGTCAAGGGACTCATACTAACTGGCACATACGAGGGAAAGACAGTTGCTATCCCGAGAATTGCTCTGAATTTCAGTGAACATAAATGGCCTTTTACAATGAAACGACGGCAGTTTCCAATCCGCCTATGCTACGCCATGACGATAAACAAAAGCCAGGGCCAGACTCTAGAAAGAGCGGGAGTCTTCCTTCCCAAACCTGTATTCAGCCATGGTCAGTTATACGTGGCTGTCTCCCGAGTTCGATCAGCTGAGGGACTGCGCTTCCTCATTCACAATGAGGACGGGTGCGATGCAACATGCACCAAAAATGTTGTTTACACGGAATTGTTTGCCGAGCTATCCATGTCAGGTAATATCTACTCATTCGTTACTAAAATATTACCAGCCTACCCAAAGTGACCCTGCAATTGACTGCTCAATTTCTGTGTTGTCTAATAGGTTCGGATGTGCCAATTCGTGTTCCTTAGCAACACCAATAGTATCGCCACCATGGCAGGTTTTGAATTCTTACTGCTACCCCTGAACATGGTTTGCCAGTTCCAGTCCCGAAGTCGACCCCCATGTACCACACGCCGGGTAGAGTGACTAAGGAAAGCTTCTGCCGTTCGTGGACCAGCTGACTATGTTTTTTATAGTCATTACCGATGTGCTCTATGACACGTGCCTCAAGTGGTTCTTCTTCCTAACTATACTGTGTTCGATATGTACATGCATGGGTTCAAGTTCTAGAGCTAAGTTTGTTAGGAACTGGGAACCATTTTGTTCTCATGTCAGGTGACACTAAGGGGCTATATGTGATGCCCAAAAATTCAGTTCCAATGCATTTTGCCTCCATATGTTGTGTAACGTTATTCATAGGTTTGCAGGCCAATTTTATGAAAGCCTTATGGCACATGGGCCACTGCTTGGCATGAGTTTATAATTTTTGAAAAACTGATGGGCCTATGAAGCCCCCGGCCCAAAGTACAGCGTATATCCATTGAGAAGTTTGGGGGTCATCCGGCCTTCTAAACTAGAGAGTAGCTGTCATCGATTCCATAGCCAACTCCCTCAAACCCTTCGTCGTACTGCCGGAGAGACGGTCATCATCACCTGCAAATTGGTACTCGATTAAACACACTCACTTGACTGAACTCCTTACACACCTCCTCACCCTGAACGTTGCCCCATTCACGCTACCAAATGTTACCTCATTCATCATGCCTCACCTTACCAGCAAACCCTCTCCCACACTTCACCGTTTCAATGGCGATGAATCTGTTCATCTTTTACTCACATCGGTCTCCCTATCGCTGCCAGTACAGTCACTTCAGTACTCCTTAGTAGACAGTGGCCATGCCCGCTTACCCCTTTTTAAAAACAGGGAGGTTGCCGCTTAAGAGAGAGAAAAAAAAGCATCCATCTTGCCCACCACAGCACCGACGCGGAAATCCTCCGCCTATCTCCACGAATAGCCACGGCGGCGAAAATAGCACGGGATGTCGTCTGACTATAGCCTGAACTTTGCTCCTGAAGGTTTGCCCCTTTTATGTATAGTATGTTTTGCTCGGTTCGTACTGTGTTCCAATTCCCACACTTATACATGGCCGTTTTCCGCAGAACTATCAGAAGCTCCTCTCACCGTCACAAACCTCCGGCTCGGCATGAACGAGCAGCCAATCATATTGAGGCTACTGAACTTCTGGATGCAGAACTCCATTGAACCAGAACCAACTAAGAGGGTTGTGCACAGTATTTGGGTAGACAAGCAGGTATGGCACCAATCTGCAATTCCATGTCAATGTCGTTACCGTTTACTGCAATGCGCTACTTACAAACTGGTCTTCGACATAAATCTGACCGAGATTAACGATCTAAACCATTCCTTGCTGTTTATATTTAAACCTCATTGTCTCACAAACTTCCAGGAGGAGCTGATTGAAGGATACACACCAGTCTGCCTAGCAGGAGAAATACCAGACTTTTTGTGCATTGCTAAGATTTACATGATTCCCTCTGTTGTCACAAAAAGATGTCGTCGGTCCCTACGTTCTTGCACCTCACAAGTGCGCATTCTGCTGACTGAGACAACCGAACTTCATGAACTACCAGAGGACCCAGACTGCCCATGGTTCCCAAAATCTGTCTTCTTCCCAACACCCTTCACTGCTCTAAGGAATCATCTGTATTCAAAGACAGACTTCAGAGGTACGCATGTTCCCTGAAAATGGCGACAACATGTGCCATAGGAAAACCTAACATTTTACAAATGTGGTCTGTAGATATTGTGGGACGGCTGGTAAGTGTTTCGGAGACAGAAACCGGAACCTTTGGCATGCCAACTATCTGTGCACTGCTGGAAGATTCAATGTAAGTACCTCTGTTCTCACCAACTGCATTCCAACTATGTCTTCGCACATTCTTATAGTTCCTCCTTTTCCATTTAAATTGATCGTGGTTGCAGTGGGAACACTATTATGGTCAATTACAAATCCCTCGATCATCAGCTATCTCAGGCATCAATAGTGGAAGCAGAAAAGCGTGGCCCTGTTCTGCTTGCCTTCACGAGCATGGTGGTTGTCGCATCATCAGGTACAGTAAATAGAAGAACATCCTCATTGCATGTCTTCATTGCGTAAGCACACCATAATTCCCTCTTTGATTTGGGAGCTTCTGATGTGCAGGACGTCTGTGTCTGTTAAACACGGCTGCAACAAGGGTGATCCATGGAGCGTATCAGCCACGCTTCCGGCACTTGAGAGATGCGTAAGCATGCCAAGAACCATATGTTTGAAATCAAAGTGTTCCCTCAGTGCCTGGATTTTCCCCAAAAATGGTTCTTACTGCCCTCACGAGCTCAAAATAACATTTTCAGGTTCTCACATGTCCACAATCCGGTGGTCGTCGGCCACTCCCCCACTCCTTGGCCTGTGCACATCCGCTATAAACTACCCGCCAAAACGACTCTGATGAAATTAGGAGCAGCTGAGAAAAAACTATTTCCCCCATACAATGTAAGCTACCTCAATCTTGGTTTTTTAGAAGAATATGTAACTGATCATTGCCTTGCTTTGCTGTGCATCCTCAAAACAGTCTTCAGTTTGGTGCCTCATTACAATAGAAAGCATTCCTACATGTACAAGTCACTGTCACTATCCCTCTGATGACATCACAAACACTGCAAGGTGCGTATCAGAGTAACAACACTAACAAGAAACACAAAGATTGGTCTCTTTTAACATTCATGCCATATCGTTTTTCAGTTTCCAGTTCAATGTCCTCTGTCGCGACACCTCCACTTCCGCAATGTTGCTCTTCAACAATGATGCAGGGATCTCCTTGCTCCAAAAAACAGCAACTGAGTTCTTGGCCCTCACGAACACTGCCAGGAATGCATGCCTTCAATCTGTCAGCGGGAAAACATTCACAGTAGAGATTGACACTGGAGAAGACTCAGACATTGCAAGTTCGGTGTTTGCGGTGCGCACCATATGGGATCCACTTGCATTTGCCATTTAGTGTTCCAAATTTCGCCCTATCTTAGGTTGAAGAAATGTGTTATGTCTGCATCTTCAGCTCTGCCGTTCTCCATCAGCGGCACCTTTTGCAGTAGTTAACTTCCTTTTGTACAATGAGCTGCTTGCATTTTGTAAAACACAACACTCAACTACGTACCCACTTGCCTACTAATTTCAATTCCCAGTTGGTAAACATGACTATGTAATGAGTTTCGCTTTCCTCTGATGCCTCTTCTGTTTTCTTCTTCTTCTACTACTTTTATTCCCTTACTCGAGCTGCTATCAAGTTGATTAGAACTTTCACATTCACTTTCCAACGACAGTCTGTAAGTAACCATACTGTTAACGTTAGTAAACATAATTATCGTTTAGTGCATCTTTAGAAACATATAAAGGGTTTGAGAGATCCACCGTGACCGTGTCCATGTAACCATTGCAACTCTAGCCGGTATTCTCAGATTTTACGTATTTTTTTTTCCTTTTTACACTTTTTTGTGGATAGTACCGATTTCTTAAACCGTTTAGTTTAAATTTTAAAATGAAATATTACATACAGTTTCTTGAACCGTTTGAATCGGTCTGCCTTCGAGAAATTAACATCCAACATCCTGGCACCCCATTTTGCTCCATAACCTATCTCTGCGTGCAGACTGTACTTTTCAACACTTTCGTCGCTCTATTGGACTGCCTTTCGTCTGCTTATCTCCATTGTCCATGGAAGAACACCGGCTAATTTTGTGCATATTGGGTTGTTTGTAGGTGGCGTAGCAGTGTGTTCTGATCCGGTCGGCATGCGCAAAACAGTGGCCATTTTGCTGTCCAAATATGTAAGCCCGAATAATCTTCAGAACATCTCCATTGCTGCAAAATAACTTCCCGCGGCGTAGCCGCGGGTATTGATTCTAGTACATATAAAAATCATCTGATTCTCTGTTGTACAGATCAGCAAGACTTTCAGTGTTGCAGAACAACAGTAGCTACAGACTGAGTCAACAGACTAGTGATCAACAACTGTTTCCCCTTGCACCAATACCTGGTAAATTGTGAAAATAACCTGAGCTAAGTTTATTATAAACCTTAAACCTTAACAAAGGACACTAAACGATGGACAGTTAGATTAACCTTTACACTTTTCCAGGACATCTCTACTTCTGCATAATTGTTTGCAAATCAACGTACAGTCAAAAAAGGAGATATATAGAACCAGAAACAAGAAAGAAAAGGCCTCGATGGACACTCCATGGTTAAGCTATCCACAGGTTAGATGGGGAGGAAAGTCCACTAGTTAGCTCTAGCAGCTGTTAGATTTTTCACCACTTCAAGAATACGACAGTAATCGTAAAACAGAGAAGACTCTCTACCCTCCAGGCCGTCCCTGTGGTGCCTGTTGCTACCAGCTAGGTTGTTGCATGGACTCCCACCGACTACCAGATCGAACCCTCCAACAACGGACATCAAGTGCTCCAGCCGCTCAGCAGTCACTTTCTGCACATCGTCAATGTCGATCAGCATGCCCTTCTGCCCTGTCTGCTCCCACCAGCACTTCATAATCCCTCTGTTCACCTCTGAAATCTCGACAGACACTACATTCTTCAACGGAACGCCAAGTCGGTAGAGAGCCACTTCAGCACCACCAATCCCGGAGAAGAGAGACAGCATATTGAGACCCTTCGGAAACTTCTCCTTCAACACGGACAGGTGGAAGGCAACTGTGTCAACCTGAAATACAAATTCAAAAAGAACCATGAAATAAATCAGATCGGATAACAGACAGTCACAGATTACATAAGGTGTTGTCACGCCATTCCCTAAAAACAAAAGATAGCAGACAGTAACTGCAGAGGCAAATTAACCTTCTCATCCATTCCTTTGTTCATGTTTACATTGCAATAATTTGATTCAGTGGTCACTGTTTACTGTTCAGGGGGAAAGCATGCATTGTACTTTCAGTTTGCCTATCGATTCACCCTAACTACAGATTTCAAATACAAGCTATTTATTCCTAAAGTTGATAACAGGAACAACAAAATCAGTCTAATAAAAGATTCCTATAAGTAACAGTAGCTACTGACCTGGAACGAGTTGCCGAGCGACTTGTATCTGTCTGTCCTACTAATCCCTCCACCCCTCGTGTGGTTTTTTGGGAACCCCAGTAGACTTTCAACCTCATCAGGCTCAAGTGGTGCAACCTTGTTCTTCCCCACCCAAACAAGATTCCACTTGCGGCACTCGTACATAACCCACTTCTGTATTTTTTCTGGTGGATCTCCATCGTACTGCTCAACCGCCTTCCGGATCCTCTCGGTCAACTTGGCGCTACCATATGCGGTCTGCAGGCAGTTGAGCTTGTCCCGAGGATCCCATCTGGGCCAAAATCTCTTTGTAATGGGGATGGCATCGTGAATGGTTTGTGGAGGAATTGGAAGAAGTGGAAATCTTCCTTCAATGGGGAGATTGTGGACGTAGCCTCTTTTCCTTGCAGCAGCACAGAAGTGTTTTGAGTCTACGAACTCTGGCTCAATGTCGTATAGGCAACGTGAAATCGTCTGCCAGACTCCTTTCGGGGCCAGAGCTACATTCTCGTAGTAGAAGTAGGGCGGTCCAGCAGGAATCTTCCGATGAATCTTCCGAGGTATGTCTCCAGGGAGACCAAAGCCAATCATCGGGTTTGGGAGGCTGAGAATCTCATCGTCTTCGGAAGTGATCATCCTCTGTTTTTTCCTTTGAAGGTCTTTGACCAGATAGCTCCTCTTCTTCAGCTTATTGTTCAACAAGTTTGGCTTCGACTGACAAATACAAGATCAACAAACATAATGTCAAAGAGAAACCAGATATTTTATCAAAATGTTTCTGAAACAGAAAGGAAACCTCATGGTATTAAGAGGAAAAGAATCACCTCTTCATCTGGGAACAAAGCATCTGCTTCCCTTGCCATCTGAGCAGCACAAATAAAATCAGTAAGCATCTCCACTGTGGCATCTGGACCTGAAAATCCCAACACAAGACATTCAACTTTGTCCGGGAAGCCCAACTAGATGATCCCAAAAGAAGAAAACAAAACTATGGTGGCATGATAGAATTATACATACCACATCTCTCTATAGCTTTTGCAGCCTCGATTGATGTGTATCCCATCTTTACAAGGGAAGAGACAGTGCCATCTTCATCGGGCTCGATTTTTACATTAACCTGAAAGATAAGAGTCATGTGTTCAAGGACTATTCATAGAAAAGAAACATCAGCTGACAGGATCCTGTTCCCAAATATTTTTCAATGGAGTAGTGTAAAACCATCAAAGTAGGTACCTCACTCTCACAACTATCTAAATCTGAAAATTCATCCAGAAAGCTTCCTTCAAATTCAGCATCAGAATCCAGAGTAGGCTGATCCTCAGCAGGTTCTTCAATGGCCTGTAAGAAATTGGGCAAAATGAGCCATCAGCCACCTTTCTTTTCACATAGTAAGAATCATAAATCATCCAAAACCCAATGCTGGTAATTGGTAAATCCTATACAAAGAACAACAGAAAATTTCATGACTACAAGCCGGTTGCTTCTATGTTCTAGTAAAGCGCCAACAAATCGAGATCCACCTGCAACAGAGGCACTTGTAAAGCGGAAGGACAACAGTCGATTGCTATGGGCTGGTGACTCAACATCTCTCAGATTTCACATCCTCACTAGGCCCACCTCAAAGCTCCAGTCGATTTAAATTTATGAACCAAGCACTTCTCTCTAACTAGTCTCTGGATTTCGCCACAAAACAGCCTGGTGGCACAGTCTCATTACCATCAAATCCAGGGAGGAATTATTTGGTTGGCGCATTCAATGGAGCTTCTCCACAGGCGCACCATACCTATGGAGAGACATCCTCCACCACAGCTGCTTTTCCTTGGACACTCCCTGTAGATGGCGCCAATATTGTATTTGGGAATATGATCCCTGGGCTCCCTATACCGCTCTCTTCTCAATCAAAAGACCCCTTTTTTTATGGTGCTAACTACCTTATGCATTTCCTCATCACTAAAGCTAGATGCAGACTTATCAAAAAGAGACACAGGAACAATGCATCGACCAGACATCATACAGTCCCAATATTGAAAATTGTACATATGACACAGTCATGTTCTTACCGAGTATGTGAGCAGATTTTCCAGTATAGAGTCTGTTTTTTCCTCCCCTGAGAATACAGTAATGTGAGGTTAAGATCTAACAAGAAAAGCTTTTTTCAATGGTGAAAATGACCACGAATATGCAAAAATCTCTTACCGATCTCCTGAATCACTTTGGCAACCATCTCCTTGGAGAAACCCATGCCAACAAAGTGATCAATCACCTTGGAGCCATTAGAGCTTTCAGCAGGGCTCGAGGAGGATGGGCTTTCCCTCAGAAGCGTTTCAAGAATCGCATCTTCATTTTCCTCCCCTGAAAACCCAATTAGGCAGAAAACTTAAAGCCTGAACGTCTAGAAACATACAACTAATACACAACATTAACACAGAAATGCCTTAAAACATCACTTACCATTCTCCTGAATAGCTTCAAACACCAGTTTCTCCGGGAACCCCATTCTGAGGAACCGATCCATCAATTTAGTTCCAGAGGAAACACCATTAGAGCTTTCAGCAGGGCTCGAGGAGGATGGGCTTTCCCTCAGAAGCGTTTCAAGAATCGCATCTTCATTTTCCTCCCCTGAAAACCCAATTAGGCAGAAAACTTAAAGCCTGAACGTCTAGAAACATACAACTAATAGTCTAATACACAACATTAACACAGAAATGCCTTCAAACATCACTTACCATTCTCCTGAATAGCTTCAAACACCAATTTCTCCGGGAACCCCATTCTGAGGAACCGATCCATCAATTTAGTTCCAGAGGAACCAACCATGGAGGCATCCTGAGGAGGGGGATAATACTCAGTCAATAATGCCAAAAACAAACAGCAGACTCCTTTCCCCCAAAATACTCATCCAAACCCGAGAAACGAAAAGGTGGAAACAACCCTAACGCTTGAACAACGAACTCCAGCTATGAAACAGACAGTAACATTTGAACCTTCTTTTTTCCACCCCTCTTCCCCAACAAAAAGGAATTGTAACTCAATGAATTAACCTACAAGGTAACTGACCAAACCAAAGGTGCTCCAATTCAATTGGGAAAAAAGAACCAAGCTCGCAAGAAAGAGACAGAAACAGCATATATCAGCAGAGAAAGCCACTCAAAGCACATGACTTGGAGCCGAAAGCTAGCCCTTTCTGACCAACCGGAAGCACAAACCTTATCCTGTGCAGAGGCAGAATGTGAACCGAAGGAAGAAAAAAATCAAAAAACAAACCTGTTCTCTCCCGGTCACTGCCGCACTAATCTGGAAACTCGACGGCGACAGAGGAGCATCGTAAGCCTCAATCTCCCGCTCGTCATCACTGTTCCAGCAGATATCATCGTCGTCTTCCAGGAGCACCATTTCCTCTCCTCCCCCGAAACAGAAACAAATGGAGCAAACTCTTCCGCGAACCCTAGAAGAAAGAAAGAAACAGCCCGAGACTTCAGCCATTTGCTGCTAGCAACTCTATTCACCAGGCGAGGAATCAGAAATTTGTTCGTACCTAACGAGAAAGCCGGAATTTCGGGAGGACAGGAGAAGGGGGCAGGGGAGCGACCTTCTTCCCTGTGAAAATCCCTAATCGGTGGAATGTCGTACGGCTCTCTCCTTCGGCGTTCGCAGTAGGCAGAAACCTAGAGCCCCATCTCTTTTGCGCGTAGAATCGGTGACTGGAGAAGGTGAGACATGCAGGGGGAATCGGTAAAAGAGAGGAGATAGAAAGGGGTGTACAGTTTTCTTTTTCTACAAGTGGAATCTCACTCTCTCTCTCTCTCTAGAGAGGGGGAACAGCAAAAATTTTGGCGTCAAATGAATTTTTTGTTGAATTGAAACGGATTCCGGCGTTTCGCAGCTACGACCACTGTGAAGACTGAAGAGTGTCAGGTGGGTGAAGTGACAATTACAATTCCATCCTTTTCTTATTGGAAATTGGGAATGGGAATTTATTTTTGCTTTTAACTGTGAAGATATTGGAAAATTGGGGAAATATGTAAGAATATATCAAACTAGTTAAAAAAATATATATACAAACGTTACTTATTTTTATTCTCAAAGGAGAAAGACTCGTGAATGATAAAACAGACATGGATATTTCGATATAGTGGGGTGGTTGGCGATGTCTTATGCAATTAGTGTTCATTGTCCAACAGATGAATTTACTTTTTTGTTAGTTTCGAATGTGACAAAATTATATTAATTGTTATTGATATCTTTTATTTATTTCATGGTTGTTATTGTAAACGTGGAAATTATGCCGAAATAGTTTCGCTAAACAAGAAAACAAAATAAATGTTAGTTTTTTTCTCGGAAGTTGGTTAGATATGCGACAAATAATTGCCTTATCTGTCAATTGTCATGACGATGTCGGTGGGCTAGTGGCGGCAGTGTAAGAATAGAAATGAAAAACTCCGCGATATGAAAATGAAAATGATGTTTTTTTAGCCGTTAGTTGATAGAGTTATTGAATTTGAATGGACAAATTAATGTTACCTATTTTCTCGCAATTTCAACGACAAACATTAAGTAATATGACATTTTTAGTAATTTCAAGTATAATTCATCCAAATTTATATGAATAAAAACTTTAAAAAGATCCATCTTATATAATATTTATTGTCCTCCCAAGCAATATGATGAAACTCCAAAGAAATATTAAAAATTTGAAAGCAAACAATCACTATTCACTACATGGTGTGTTTATTTCTTTGGACTCTATTGAATTTTGCAACACCCTTGTTTGTTTGTTTTTGGACTCCATTATATTGTATTCTCTCTCCTCAATTATCAGGATAACAATTGTCTTGTTTTGAGGAGAGAGTGCTATTATCTCTTATTTTAAATATAAAAATGAAAATTTTATAATTCTTTTTTTCTTTAGCTGCCCCAAGAATTACCATCCATTTTATTCAAAATTTACACTTATACCAGACTTATTTCGCTGGATCAGACCGTGCCACGTTTCTTTGTTAGCAAAAATCACTTATCTTTTTCATTATTTTATGAAAGGGAAAGGATCAATTGTAAGTACAATTATATCCTTGTGTTTCGGATAAATTGTAAGTTGGGATTGGAGTTGGACATATGGTAAAGGAGTAAAAATTTGTGAGCATTTTGAATATGCTAAAAAGGAGCAAAAAAATCAAATGATTTACCGAAACAAAAAGGAGAAACCTTCTAAGGTAAATTTTAAAATAAAACAAAACGGGAGTATGTAGTGGGAGGTGGTGGGTATTTTTTATACAGCTTGCCCGATGAATCTGTCATTCATATTCGTTTTAAATCATGTCGAATTTATTGAATTATTAATTTTTTAATTCATGCTTATTATGAGAGGAAACTCTATGTATTGTTATCTAAATCGTGGAATTGTAAGAAGTGTTTGAATTTGTTGTGTATAGTTGACTCTCCTAATCAACATGAAATGGTAGTAGGGTAATAATATGAAGAAAAATTGATGTCAAATGATAAAATGTAATGAAAAAAGAAGTAAAATGATAATTTCCATGACCACAAATGCAATTCATCACTATTTTTTAGTCTTTTCCTCCCATAGTAAAAGAAAAAAAAAAACCCTCTTTTCAAAGCAAACACACATGGTGTGTTTGTTTGAGTTGAATTCCAACTTGTTTCATTTGCTCTCTCCTCAATTATGAGCAATACTATTGTATTTGCTTGAAAGAGAAAGATTACTATTTTGTCCCTTCTTATTCTTTCTAAGCAAGTTTTTAAAATTTTAGTTCCTTAAATGCCCTTATTCATTGTCCTTCCCTGTATTATTAAATTACATTCTGATTGCACTTTTTCGCTAATTAGCTTTCCCATAATTTAGATAATAATGGGATCGAGAGCATTTTGTTATTGGGCTGATGGGCTTTGTTTCATGTTTGGTGTGAATTCAGATTGAACTCTATGATTTATTCAGGCCTTTGCATCTTTGGGCTACCAATAACCCCAATAAATGCAATTCAAGGGTTGACAGTCCAACATCCAACCAAACAGTCTCGATTTCACTTTGTCTTGATTAGTCGATTTACATTCTCATCAATATTATTCACGAAAATGAAGTCGATTTTATAATTAGTTGTTTGACGTTGTGTGCATTTACCCATGACGAGAGGATAATTACTATCATTGGTATAGACTAGTTACCAACGTAAGAGATATCTTGTTAAATGACTCTTAAACTTGAGCCATACCCTTGATTAAGCTAAAAAAAATATCATTTTAACAGTGTAAATTAACATAGACGATGAGGTGAGGGTGACATACTGTCCCCAACAACAACAACAGTGATTATGAACACAACTTGAGTTGTCTGCTATGCTATAATTAAGTTGACAACGTTAGACTTACATGATTTCTCATAAAATATCCGATATGTTACTATGAGTAGTAAATATTGTAAGTAAAATAATATTACGATCGTTTAAGTGCCAACACATATATTAATTACTCCGTTTACATTCCATAATAATATATAATTTCTTCTGTACCTTCTCCAGCAATATAGATTCTGCATCTGGCACCTAACTCTATTAGCTAACTTCTCGAATGAACAATGATCTGTTTTGGTAGGCAGAATCCATGTAGGCCCAACAAAGACTCACATGATGAACAGTAGGAATGAAACCAATGTGCCCAACGGATGTGCCGCAAAGGCGCAAACCACGGATTTCGTTTTGCGGCTGATTGAGATGGATTAACAATAATTAATTACCTAACAACGGTACCTAATCTAACCAGTAGTAAATAGTATCTTGTTGCTTGAGAAGAATTTCATGACAGGATGGATTTGCGTCTTCCACTCTTCCTTTGGAAACAGTAACAGTTATGTTGTCACCAAAGGAAACCCAAGGATTAGATAAGGGCTAACAGCTTATGGTCAGGCGCAAACATATCGCTCGGTAAGGGCATCCGGGTGATAGGTTGCAGGCGGGTGAGCTCCAATTTTCTTCGACATATCGTAATAAGAAAATAGTCGGTCGACTGTATCGCCGTCGCCTTATCATTGACGTAGAACACTTACTCGAAAGCACCCCCAATCCTTTTCCTGGTCTGTCTTTCGTCGTCAGAATGTGCTTGTACAAGTCCAGCCATAGAAAACCCCTGAAATGCTTGCATTACAAACAGACCAGGAAATGCTAGAATAAGGAGATCAGCATTGTCCCATAGGAACCTGTAAAAACCCAAATGAGCCTGATATCAAGGATCCAACAGTCAAACCAGAAATACCCAGGCACGAGAAGTGAACCGAACCAAAAGGCAGAGTTAAACCGAACCGAAGACAATCAAGCTGGATTATCCCAACCGTGGCAATTATCAGATTTGGGTGGCCTTTCCAGGAGCAATCAGAACTACAGATTTAGCAGCCTTCCCTCCCTATTTTTGCCAGCTCCGTGGTCTGTCATTTCAGCAGAATCTTTTGGAAAGATCTTTGCCCATGTCTATTGCCGCCCTGCTTGGGTTTATCTAATCGCTTTCATTATCCCTTAATTACCCGTCTATAATGGTCTCAAATAGTTGAAGAAAAAACATGTAGGGGACGGCTGTGTCTTTCATGTCTGACAGTTGACATAATAATGTAAACCCTTCACTGTTAGATGATCTCACGTCTTTTGTTATATACCTGTACTTGCTTGCATGTTTTAACAAGACCTCCAAATAATAGTCATTATACTTCTGATTAATAATGCAAGGTCCAATTAGCTCCCGCCACATGACGAGCATTCCATATTCATATCTACTCAGGAAGATCACTTCTAATCCAAGTGATTTGGTAGATTCTAAAAGAAAGATGACTTAGGGAATAATGAGATACACTTACCCCTCAAAGGTGTGGCTCAATGGTTCAAATCGTGTAGTCGCTACTGTAGAGAATACCACCTATGAGGGATATCGACCAAGTTGCTTGCTTCAAATCCTTGATCATTATGAACGGGGTTTCTTCCTTTGCTTCGGCAAAGAGTCACTCGCTATAAAAATAAGAAGTAAGGAGATTAGAACAAGGGAGGGCATAATTTAATGTCTGGGGGAGTCAGACAGTTAGGCTATAGCCGGTCATGCAAGTAACTAACCGAATCAGAGTAACAGAATTCAGAAGCATAAAATAATTCACCAAGAACAAGTCATCAACCCAAATAATTAAACAAAGAGAATTTTCTGTTTTTTGTCATGCTCACAAGTACTGTTCATCTCATGCACCAACAGTAACCTATTAGTTTTCTTGTACTCCTATCCGTGAACTGTGATATTCCCTCTATATAAACAAACATAGGTTCCTATCCTACCTACAAACCTGCAGAAACTCCAAAAAGCAAGAAGCATCTATTCTTTCAAATATTAAGATGGGAAGGTTCTATAATGTTGCATTCACCCTCATCATTGCATCATTCCTCTGCTCTCCAAGAGCTGGAACTTGTCATGGTGATAAAGGGTTAGGCAAACAAAAACAAGCTGTTGGTCGTGGCGGCCAGGGCCGAAGTCTGAGAATGTCAAACTTCATGGGGGATGATGGCCATATGTGGGAGGGTGGAGATATGGATGCACAACCAAAAGGAGGAAAGAAGAAGGGCAATGTCTTCAGTGTATTGGACTATGGTGCTAAAGGCAATGGTCATTCTGATGACACAAAGGTGATGTCTTTTTTCACTTTTCTCCAAGCTCTCCCTTTTGTCTACCATGTTCTTTCTTTTTTGCTTTTCCCTGTTGGTCCCTAAGCATATGGGTTTTGGTAAAATTCAATATAGCAGCAGCAAATAGTGACATCTAGATGACTTGGTTGTGTCTTTTGATGTTCTAATTTGGGCTATTTTTACAAAAATGACGTATCTTTTAACACACTAAGAAAGATTACAAACTAAGGGAGATGGGCATGGTGCAGTCCGGTCCAGGATTGGGCCACAACCAAATCAACTGCGTATTCGATTTGATTTGGTCAATCGAGTAAAAATCTTGAACTTGAGAGTCAAAACCAAACCGTATTCTACTTTCTTCTGGTCCGATTCGATCAAAACATCAAATGGCCATCCCTAAAAGCTAATTGAGAGTACAACTTGAACATTAAACCCACAAAAATAAGACGGAATTGGCCACAAGAAAATGATAACCTGAACTGGTTGATGTAAATGCAGGCATTCGAGTCGGCATGGGCAGAGGCTTGTCAAGTTGAAGGATCAACCATTGAGGTTCCATCGGGCTATGTTTTCCTTCTTCAACCCATCTCCTTTTCTGGTCCAGACTGCGCATCCAACCTCATATTTCAGGTAAATCTCAAGTAAGATTCCTAAAAGAACTCCATTTTTCTGTGAGGGTTCAATGCAATAAAGAAACTTCTATTGGGTCTATTTGCAGCTGGACGGTGAAATCAAAGCAATAGTCAGTTCAGAATTATGGAGTAGCACAAGGCTTTTACAGTGGATAGAGTTCACAAAACTCCAGGGGATCACAATCACAGGAACAGGGATCATTGAAGGACAAGGTTCGGCTTGGTGGTACGACTCACCAGAATATAATCCAGGAGCAGAGGTATGTAAACCGTCTCCTTATGAACCTCAAACAAGCTCAAACCCTGCTACTTCAAAAGCTTCTTAGTTTCCGGTTTTAACTTGAATTTGATTCCCAACAGCTAGCTAGTGAGCTACACAGCAGCACCAAACCAACAGTAAGTAAAATCATCCTGCCGATATTTCTTCTTGGTTCAAGTATGGGGAGATCATTGACAGAGAGAGGTCATGGATTTGCCGTACCTATGCAGGCAGTCAGGTTTTATGGGAGCACTGGCGTCACAGTTTCTGGCATAACCATTCAAAACAGCCCTCAAACCCACCTCAAGTTTGATGACTGCACCAATGTTGAGGTCTCTGGGTTTACAGCATCGTCTCCGGGTAACAGCCCGAATACTGATGGCATACACTTGCAGAACTCCAGAAATGTCAACATCTACAGCACTGATCTTCAGTGCGGTAATTGCCAAATCATTTTATGCATATAAGCTAATGGCAGACTTAAAAAATTGTTATTTGACTACACTCTTCCCGGTTGGCTTGAACAGGGGATGATTGTATCTCGATACAAACAGGATGCTCTAACGTAAATATACACAATGTGAGGTGTGGACCTGGGCATGGAATCAGCATAGGAGGACTGGGAAAAGACGGCAGCAAAGCCTGTGTTTCAAACATCACTGTGAGAGATGTGGAGATTCAGAATACACTAACCGGAGTGAGAATAAAGACATGGCAGGTAGGTAACATCATTGTTGGTCAATAAACCATTTAACCCAAATCCCACGAAACCCAATCCACCAAACTGACCCATTAGCTAACGCCATCTATAATCAATGAACTTTCAGGGCTATTGAATCAAGCAACTGACCTTTCTTTCAATGATCAACTGCAGGGAGGCTCAGGCTCGGTCCAGGGAATCATGTTCTCCAACATTCAAGTTTCTGGAGTAGAAACCCCCATAGTCATCGACCAATTCTACTGTGACAAAGAGCACTGTAGAAATGACTCGTCGGCAGTCTCTGTATCTGCAATAAACTATGTGAACATAAAAGGCACGTACACAGTAAAACCTGTGCACTTTGCCTGTAGTGACAGCATGCCTTGCAGTGGGGTATCCCTGAGTAATATAGAGCTCACTTCAAGGAAAGAAACTGAACAGCCTTACTGCTTGAATGCATATGGGGAACTTGAAACAATCACTGTTCCTCCAGTTACATGCCTGAGAAAAGGCAAAGTGAAACCTCCGGTTTACGGTTGCTTGGCTTAGCCTGGTGTTGCAAGGTGGCAACATGTATTGTATGATACATAATACGTATGTACCAATGAAGTAGGCAATGTTAGCCAGAAGCAAACAAGTGAATCAGTACTGCTTTAGAAAGCTTGCATCCATTATTACTGAATAGTGAATACTAGACGAAGATGTAGATAAAGTTTGTGTTCTTTCTATCAGATTAAAGTGTTAGATATGTTTTTCCAATGGTTACAAAGAAATGTAAGAAAAAGGACGTGCAATAAAACAACAGATGATATTACAGCAACCGGTTCTCAGAAAAATGTGTTCTTACAAGAATATTGGTACAAGAACCTATAGCATATTCAATATATCTGCCGACCCCAGAACCTAGAATTTCCATACCAGCAACTAAATTACCCTATCACTTTTAACCAACAATCTATCTCACAAAGCATGGTGATGCTCGGTCCACTTGCCAGCTCTACATAGTTTCTGAGTGTGGCATAGAGAAGTGGCGGAAGCTTTGATGATGATAATAATAACATCAAACTGAACCTGGGGTTCGAAATTCACATAGTTAGACCAAGTGACATAAGAGATAGAAAGAAACAGGTAAATGAAAGTTAGGTCTGATTTATGCTTTCCATGATACCTGATTATCTGCCTAGGCCAAGTGTACAAAATCATGACTTTCCAAAGCCCACAGCAACTCTTTTTATTGGTGCTTGTACCTTTTCAGGGCTAGCGAGTCCAGTTTTGTCTTCGTACTTCTTTTCTAAGGCCTGACAAATGCAGTAAAAGAAAAAAGAAATGTAAGCAATTGCGATGACTGGAAATTAACCATAAGCTTGGTAATCAGTGTCATTCTTACACTGACCTGTAGCTTTGCAAAAATAGTTTCGAGTACTTTTCCTGTCATTCTATCAAAGAAAAGAATCCCCTGCAAGTGAAGCCATCTCAGCCAACAGATTCATACTTGACACCAAACGACTGATACCGTAAATCAAGAGTACTAGGAGCTTCAACTTGATGTAATCATTTGATTCACAGGAAAAAAATTTACTCGAGTTTCAGGTGTCCATAGCAAATACTTTCACGTGCACAACTTCATCAAAGCTAACAAAGGACATGGCACTCCACTTTTGAAAAACAGAATTCATTCAAGATTTGAATATTTTATGTTAAAGTTAATAAAGCTGAGCTGTTGACTATATGAAGCACCTCCAAGTGGTCGAACTCATGCTGGAAAACCCGAGCTGAAAGCTCCGATAAGCTGATACTAAACCTTGCACCATTAATGTCCATAGCATCAACTTTTACAGATTCAGGTCTCTGTGAGAGAACAAAACAAAAGAAAGTTTGAGTTACCCACACTGCAACTTATTTACTACTTATGATCATGGTAGCACCCAGAAAGACAAATGACAAATAAAAGAATACCCACCTCTACATCAGCATACATCCCAGGAAAGGAAAGACATCCTTCATTGAAAAGCACCCTCTTCTTTGAGATCTTACTAACTCTCGGATTAACGAGCACAATCTCCTCCCCTTCGCCCGGTTCACCAGCAGGATTAAAAACCATTAACTGAACATTCACTCCTACTTGGGGTGCTGACAGTCCAATCCCATCAGTTCTGCCAATAAGGAATACCAACAAGTTTCAATTTTTATCCTATCTCATTGCTTAATCAAAAAAGCACCAGCGAAGATTGATATGCATTCAGCATAGTGAAACCAGAAACAAGAGCTTCCAAAACTAAAACCAAGAAGTTCTTTTCGCATATGGATTTTGGAACTGTTGAGAAACTTACTTGTACATAACACTGAACATCTCGTCAACCAATTTCTTCAAGTTCTCGTCAAAAGTACCGATTTTTTTGTTCTTCGCTCTCAGTAGAGGGTCTGGGTACTCGACAATTTTAAGCGGCGTCTCGAATTGAAGATCAGAAGCTAGTAAAAAAGATTCCCCGCCAAATGAAGAGTGAGACAAATCGAAAGCAAAGTCAATCGCCGCTAGCTCATATAATACTTAGGGAGTTTCTTACCAGTAGCTAGTTCGTCGTTCTTGGACGAGGACCCACCTCGCTTGGTCTGGCCACCGCGAACGGCCACGCAAATTGGTGGTTTTGGGCGGGTAACGGCAGTGGTGCTGGTGGAGGAATTGAAGCGAGAAGCTGAGAAGAGTTGGAAGAACGACGGACGGGGATGGGAAATGGGAAGAAAGAGAGCTCGTCGGAGTAAAGAAGAAGAACCTACGGAAGCCGCATAGGCCGCCATGGTCGCACCAGAGCCAAGCTGAAGCAGAAGCAGGAAGCTGTAGCCTGCGGAATGTGGATAGTAGGCACTACACTAGGTACCCTGGGTTTGAAACTTTGAATGGAAAAATTACTATCTGCCTCCTCAATGTTATAGGAACTGCCCATGCGGTTCGTGTGTTTGTGTAAATATCTTAATTGAATCCCTATGTTTTATTCTTTTCTTTTTATCAGAAAAGAATAAAGCGAAGAGTGAGAATGTCGTTAACATTGTATTTAATTTAAACATCAATAAAATAGTTGGTTGTTAGGTCAAGGTCTCAAGGATGAGTTGTTTGAAATTGCACATATTTCCCTAAAAAAGATAGTGGGAAATCAACATTCATTGTTCAAAGTTGACACCATTTAACAACCAAATACTAACTAGTTATCATCAAGTAATGAAACATTTAACATCAAGAAAATCACTTAAATATTTCAGTTAAACATCACTAAGTATACTATTTAACCTCTTATGGGAACAATAGCATTGTTCAAAGTGGAAGCAATCAACGAACAAAATAAGAGTAATAAGTATAACATCACAAAAATAGTCAACCATTTGTAAGATATAAGAAAATACACTTATTACTTAAACCGTGGAATATATGCATTTATTAGCAAAGATGCAAACACTCGAGCCCAAACTTTTAGAGTAATCGCAGGTCCATCGCTCTTTTCGTATTCAAATTGTCTATCACAACAACTACATCTTGTTTGTTTGTGTAAGTCGATAATGCTAAGAAACAACATATATCAAGATTTATTTAGCATAGATACAATGATAGCTTTCAAAGTTAGTTTCCATACCCATTATATATTCTGGTAACACTAGTTTCCTCGACAATGATTGGCTGGAGATAAATAAGCGCTCCCAACCATGCTAATTATAGCGATTCGTACACTACACCATTTACTTAAAAAAAATGAAAGTCATGACATAAAGCAAAGCGAAAGACATTAAATAGAAATATGATTTACTTTGAATTAGGAGGCCAATTTCTTTATTGACGAATTTCTTTCATCGATCACGAATCATGAAAAACTTTTATTAAGGAAATTTTTTCATCTATTAATCGATCACACATCATGAAAAATGCTTTACTAACGAAATTTCTTTCATCTATTAATCGATCACACATCATAAAAAAAAACTTCATTAACGAAATTTCTTTCATCTATTAATCGATCACACATCATGAAAAACTCTCGGTCTAACTAAAAATCCATGATTACCAAAACCAACCCATTAACCATACCGTATCATGTCAGTCGGTTAAGTGGCATTGGCAAGCTGCCGCCGGTCAGCCCAGAACTACACCGGCGGGCGCCAGCCAGGTCACAAAACTTTTCTAAATATCTGAAAGTGACGTCAGCAAACTCCAGCCAACTTCCCGGTTATAAATATCAGAACTTGCGCGTCGACCATCTCTTCTCCCGCACTCTCTCTCCATCTCTCTAGCTCCATCTCCTCCCTCTGCACCGCGTATCGTCCCCCCTGCGGACTAAGGGAGAGAAGCGAGCGAAAGAGGCAAAATCGAGAGAGAGAAACAAATATATAGACGACGACGAAAAAGCTCTAGGCAGTTCACAGCCGCCCAATTTCTCATAGCCACACCTGCCGTCCGTGGAATCTCGCCACCAATCGATCTCTTCTTCTTTCGGTACGATCCTCTCTCCGATTCCGATTTCATCAAGCATTTTTGAAGTTTCCCATTTCGGTTAGCACGTCTCAGATCTGATTCTTCTTCCGTGCTCGTGGTTGTTGGTTTTCCCTTCCTTATCTCGTTGGCTTCCCTCTGGCCGGCGGTAGAATCCTAGGGTTTTCTGCTGTACGATTCGGTAGGGTTTGTGTGGTTCTTTTGATTTCTGGGTCCATGAGGGGAAATTAGGGTTGTGTATTGCGTTTATATGGCCGATAGATGAAGGTATGGTTCATTATACGTTGAATTGGAGGCATACTTCTCATGTATTGGTTTTCTGATAAGAATGAGGCTGGAACGGTTGTTGTCTCAGTTACTAGACGGAACTTGGTTAATTGCTTTCTGTTTTGGTGTATATATCTGTTTGATTTTGTTCTGATACGAGCTTGGTTAATTTGAATAATCACAAGGCAGTTCATTGTTTGAATGTTTTCTTGGAAATGAATGTTTGTGAGATGTTTTATATCTCCGAATGTTTGCATGCGGATTTGCTGTACGTATCTAATGCTTTTGCTGAATTGGTTGCATGTAGTTTGGTTGTGGGATCAAAGTTGTTGGTTTCTATCGACATGGCTGCTGCTACTGCTGCTGCTCCACGGTTTGCGCCAGAAGACCCTACACTTCCCAAGCCCTGGAGAGGATTGGTTGATGGCAAAACTGGGTACCTTTATTATTGGAACCCAGAAACTAATGTGACACAATACGAGAAGCCTTCTGCACCATCTCTTCCATCCAAGCCACCTTCGGTGCCCATCAATTCCTCAGTGCAGGTACAGCAGCCTTCTCGCCGTGCGTATAGTCCTGAAAAAGAAGATGATAGGTATGGGAGGAGTAGCAATGGTGCACCAACTAGAACTGAAACTGTAGCAAGGAGTATCCAGGTCCGTGTTAACTTGCCATTCCCACTTATGTTAGCCCAAATGTGAAGTTCTTGTTGTCTTTCTTGGAAGTGATTTCTCCTTTCCCATTTGTAGATAGGATCATGTATTTTGTTTTCTTTTGGGTTTTGGGGGATGATGCACGTATCACATTCTGAGAACTTTGGATTATTGAAAAATAACTTGTGGCTCCTACGTGCTTTCTGTTTTATGTATTGCCATTATCTTCTCCCCCGAAACAGAGGTGAAGTTTAGAATTATAAGTTCTATACTAATTTGTGCTTTTCGTTGGCTACTGTGCTTTTTTACCCCTCAGAATGAAAGAAGTTTGGTTTCACAAAATGGAACAATCAATGACTCTGTTGGATTTGCTGCCAGAGGACCTGCACCCTCAGCAGGTGGAAACAGTTTATCAGCAGAGGCATACAGGCGTCGCCATGAAATTACTGTCACAGTGAGTCAGCTTGCTGTACCTTATTACTTTAATCTATCCATCTAACTATTGTTCTTGGTCTCAGAGTGATTTTTACCTTGTCATGTATTCCTTGTGTTTGTATTCAGTAGTACTCAACCTGATATCGAGTAACGATTCTCCTTCATTAATTAATTTCCTGTGGAAAAATGGTACCTGGTCGATTGCTGCAATCAGATCCGAAAAATGAGAAATTGATAGTCAGTTGCATGAATAAGGCAAATTTAAAAAAAAAAAATCTCTCTTGATTTCTGAAACATATGCAATTAGACATTAGTGAACCCAACTTAGTCCTGGGTGATAAGAATACGGAATGACAAACTTTATTTATCAGTTATTTCAACTTTTTAAAGGATTCGTATATCTTTCCTTAATTAAGGATGCAGAAACTTGAACTTGTCATTTGTTCTTTTTTTTATTGTAAATGACTAGTATTCTTCAAGATTGCGATTATAGTTGTTGATCTTTTGTTACGATTGTTTTGCAGGGGGGTGATGTGCCACCACCTCTTATGTCATTTGAAGCCACTGGGTTCCCTTCCGAGTTACTAAGAGAGGTATGGATTTATTTTTCAGTTTCTTCATTCTATCTTGGCCGAGTAAACATATCACCTTGAGTTTGTAAGTTAATGAAACTATGAAGTTGCGGTTTCATGTGCTAAGATTTTCTAATAGCTGGGGACCGCAATGCTCATTAATAATTTTTTGCAATGTACTTTTTTGTCGCAGGTGCGATATTTGCTCCTGGTGGAGCTAATGTCGTACGCTGTGTTGCCCTTTCTTTGGGGGTCCCTTGTAATTTGGAGCGCCCTTATTTTGCTGGACAAATTTTGAGAAGGGCTTTCCGAATCCCCAAAGTTCGTGGCTGTTACTGCCAATTGGTGATGATATAGCACGCCACTCGGTCAATATCAGAAGAAGAGGCCTCCTCCTGCTAGAGCTTGCATTTAGCAAGCGCTGACGACTGCATGTGGGGGATGGTGCTTCTTCTGCCATTAGCCACTCACTCCATCATAGATCTGAAAAGAATTCAACCAGAAAATCTTGAAGCCAGTCGTGGCCTTATTGAAAATTGCTGGATTTTTTCTTTTTCCAGGTATACAGTGCTGGGTTCTCTGCCCCAACTCCAATTCAGGCACAGTCCTGGCCTGTTGTTATGCAGAGTAGAGATATTGTGGCCATTGCCAAAACCGGTTCTGGTAAAACCCTAGGTTACTTGATCCCTGCCTTTCTCCATCTCAAGCGTCTTCGCAATGACCCTCGAATGGGTCCGACTATCCTGGTATTGTCACCTACAAGAGAATTGGCAACACAGATTCAAGAAGAGGCTGTGAAGTTTGGGAAGTCATCAAGAATTGGCTGCACGGTGAACTACTTTTGCCTTTCCTTTTTGATTTATTTTTTAATATAAGTTGTCTGCTTTACAGTTCAGCTTGCTTATAGCAGTTCGGTACCGAGTCCTTCTCACTTGGTAGCAGAGTATATTTGTGTGCTTGTGGTGTCTAGGGTGTAGGGTATTCTTTGTAGTGCGACTATCTATTATTTGTCCTGGGAGAGTTATATGTAATTGGTATCTGTAACATGTCCTTTATTTCAGTGTTTATATGGAGGAGCACCTAAGGGTCCACAACTAGGTCAGTTAGACAGAGGAACTGACATAGTTGTTGCAACTCCTGGTCGTCTGAATGACATTCTGGAGATGAGAAGAGTAAGCCTTGGTCAGGTATCATACCTAGTTCTTGATGAGGCTGATAGGATGCTGGATATGGGGTTTGAGCCTCAAATACGGAAGATAGTTAAGGAGGTCCCTTCCCGTCGTCAAACCCTCATGTACACAGCAACTTGGCCAAAGGAGGTTCGGAAAATTGCTGCAGATCTTCTGGTCAATCCTGTCCAAGTGAATATTGGGAATGTCGATGAGCTTGTGGCAAACAAGTCTATCACACAGGTCTGTTGGTCTATGAAAATTTTGCTACTTATGATTTGCAGAGTCTTTCTACTAGGAATTTTGTTCATGCAGAAGTGTTGAAATACTGATTGAAAAGTGGACGATCTTTTTGCAGCATGTTGAGGTACTGGCATCCATGGAGAAACACAGGCGTTTGGAGCAGATACTACGCTCCCAGGAACCGGGATCTAAGGTTATCATCTTTTGTTCAACCAAGAAAATGTGCGACCAACTTGCTCGTAACCTTTCTCGTCAGTTTGGAGCTGCTGCTATCCATGGAGACAAATCACAGGGTGAGAGGGATCATGTGCTGAGTCAGTTTCGATCAGGGAGGGCTCCTTTGCTTGTAGCTACTGATGTCGCTGCTCGGGGGCTGGATGTAAAGGATATTAGGTTGGTACCGCTTTCATTTTCCTTCGTACTTTGAATAAACCTCTGATTTTTTAATTGCCGTTGCTTGATGACACTCGCTTATTTTGTGGGATTTGGTGAATGACGATTCGGTGATCTTATTAATCCGTGGGTGATGAGATAACTTCGGAAGGTTCCTACCCTAGTTTGAAGGATTTGATGAGTGTGTAAATGATTTTCCTAATGTATTTTTTGTGTGCCACCTAGGGTATTATAATTAACATGGTCTATGCTTGTGTCTGTATTTTTCTCTGGCTTTAAATGTGAAAAATATTATCCTTTTCTTTGAATTTGCAATTTCACTTAATTGCTTCTTTTTCTTCTTGCAGGGTGGTTGTCAATTATGATTTTCCTACTGGCGTGGAAGATTATGTGCATAGGATTGGCAGAACCGGAAGAGCTGGTGCTACAGGTATAGCTTATACATTCTTTGGTGAGCAGGATGCCAAATATGCCTCAGACCTCATCAAAGTATTAGAGGGTGCAAGCCAGAAGGTTCCTCCGGAGATCCGTGATTTGGCCTTGCGAGGTGGTGGGGGATTTGGTAGAAATAGACGATGGGGTAACGGCAATGGTGGAGGTCGTGATTCTGGTGGCCGTGGTGGTGGTGGTCGTGGTGATTTCAGTTTCGGTGGGAGGGATGCCGGCAGGGGCAGTTGGGCTCCTAGTTCATCTAACAGGTACACTATACCTTATCATCCTCAATATTTACTAGGAAGTTAAAAGACCCAAGGTTTAGTTTAGCGATAAAGTGGGATTATAATGTCCACCACCTCCTGGATTCAAATTTTGTAGAATTTCTCCTGTCTAAGCTTGTGTTGTAGGGGTAAGCAATCTTTAGGTTAGACCGGATTGAATTGTTGATAGTTCAGACTGAAAAAAGTAGTAATTGGATTTGGTTCTGATTCCCTACAATTTCCCAAAGAAAATATTTTGGTTGGGCTGAATTGATACCAGGCTGGAGTAGATCGCATAGAATGCTCTTTCATTTGTATTCTGGTCCTGGACTTCCCTTTTCATGTTCTTGCCAATACGGCCAGATTATTGATTGGACTGGCCATTGCTGCTCACCCCTATATGAAAGTGGTAACTGTTAGTCTGTTACTAATTACTTGCTTTCTTATTACAGGTATGATAGTCGTCCTAGTGATGGATACGGAGGAGGACCGGACAAGGGGTCTAGCTGGAGCGAGCGCCCTGCTAGTAAAGGGTGGAGCCGCGATCGCAGCCGGAGTAGGAGTCCCGGACCTGCTGGCGGTCGTGGAAGTTTTCACATGGCGATGATGGAGCGTAGCAGGAACGGTGGTGGTGGTGGTGGTAAAAGTCCGTAGAGACAGATGGGAAGATGTAGTGATTACGGGGAAGATGGCGAGGAAGGCATGAATCAGGCCTGAACAGGTCTCACCACACAGAAGCATCTCGGGTGTTCTACTATTAGCAGTATTATCGCTAGTACTACTACTACTAGTACTAACCAGGTAAAAGAATCTGAACAAGGACGGTGGTAATTCCATTTTTTGTACGACACTTCCCTTACTCTGAAGGTCATCTTGGATGGGGAGTGTCAGAAGTACGGCAAATTACACTCTTTGATGAAAATTTGTTTAGTTTGGGAACTCTGTTTTGTTAGTGAACTCTGTTTAAAGGTTGGGAGGTAAACTATGGGCATGTGTATGTAGTGTGGAAGTTTGGCGTCACAGACAGAAATATGTGTTCATGTTTGTATTAAGTTTAGGTTCTGTTTGGAACACCGCCTTTCAGTCGTTGTACGTACTTTTCTTCGGACTGTTCGTCTATCAGGGTTTCTGTTTTAGCTTCAGGTAGTCTTGTAGGGTTTAATGTGAGTGGTGACTGGCGAGCCATATCGTAACTAATGACATATGCTAAGGTAAATTTCATTCTTCTATTACGAGGACCATGATGCATATGTTTGAGGAGGCTTCTTTGTCCCTAACGAATGAGGGTAATGCAAAGATCATGTGGTTCGAGTTATAGCCTTGTTTGTGGCTACTGGACACCCTAATACAGTATGTACATGCTTCAAGTATACACACTGTACAATTTCGTGCTTTGTTACGAAGTATGAGCGTGTGACTGGCTCTAAGGGGTCGTTTGGAAGTTGTGATTATTCAAATTGATGTATTAGGTCAATTAGTGTATTATCATTTGATGTATTGATTCAATGCATGTATTATGAAAATACTTTGTTTGGAAGGGCAATGATGAAACAAAAAGTAGGGTAGACAATCCCTCGTTAACAATCTCACCTTTTAGTAGAGATTTATAATCATTCATTTGGAGTGATTGTAGGTGGGCCTAACAAAAAGGTAATGCATGCACTCTAACTCAAAGTGAACCAAAAAAACGACTTAATCTTATCATGACATGTATTTGCTAAATACCTCACTTCAAATCTCAACCTCCAAACAACCCCTAAGTTGATTTCCGTCCCTAAGCCTGTTGAAATAATCGATTAAAAAATACCCTGCAAGTATGTACATGCTAATCATAAGATAGTCTGCTGCTTGGAGCCGTTTAAGAAAGTCAGAACCTCTTGGTAGTGCCAACTGCGTATGTCCTCTCTCCCTGCGCTGTTGCGCATTGAGATGAACGATCATCAAAGCAAATTAAATAAAAGTGATACGAGCATGGAGCTGATGTGTGTAGTTACAGTCAATCCTCCTTCATACCTCTCACCCACTTAAGTCTCTCTTTAAATATCAATCCAATAGCATTTTTTTTCTTCATGTCGTCTCTTCATATAATTATATTGTTTCCTTTTCTTCTCTCTCCCTCTCTCTCTCCCACCCATAAAAAAAAAACCAATTGTGTCCCCAACTATTTGTCTGTGCTTCTTTCCTCCTCTTCTTACGCATGGACTTCAACACAAAACTGACGAGAGACGAGTTCCCTCACATTGATGATCACCATCACCGTCCCCACCAAACTCCAATCAATGGGTTTCTCGACTACTGCAGTGGTGCTAACAGCTTCTCCACGGAAGGATTCCCTTCTTCTTCATCGACCCCATCTCGAAACAAACCAAAATCGTGTTCGTCCGTCAGCTTCCCAACACCACCTTCTCCTTCGAGTACCGATCCCATTCGAGATCTAGCAAGGGGGTTCTCACCGTCATCAACCAACAACAACCACCATCACCACTACCATTTCCATTACCATAGTCACGAACTGCTCATTCCAACTCGTCCCGACGAGATCAATTTAAACAATGATCCTTCCCTAAAAAGGATTGACGAGGATGGCACGATGGAGAAAGATCAAGAAATTCAACAGGAGCAAAGTAATGATGACGAGACATCAATGCTAGTGATGAAGGGGAAAGATGGATCATCTTTATCAGGGCAGCCTTCGAAGAGATCTGCATTCAAAGGCCAATGGACCCTTGAAGAAGACAAGTTAGTTCTCTGATTTGATCTTTACTATGGTCTATTTGGGATCAATCTCATTCATATGGTTTTTTTTTTCAGAATGCTGGTTCAATTGGTGGGCGAGCATGGACTCAAGAGTTGGTCTCAAATTGCGAGGATGCTTGGTGGCAGGATTGGAAAACAATGTAGAGAAAGGTGGCATAACCATTTGAAGCCAGATATCAAGGTAATAACATTAATTTTTTTTATAGGAAGGTAATAACATTAATGACTTCCCCTTTCTATCAATTATCTTATTGCATTACTTAGTTTTCCATAAAAAAAAATAAACATTTGGAGTCTATGGCATCATCATCATTGCATTGGTGGTGTACTATGTGATTCAATTTCAAATTTCTCAAAAAATAATTTCAGTCTTTGTGCATGTTAAGATAAAAAAAAGTAACGCTTCTTCAAAGCATTTAATTCTTCAAAACTGAAACCACGTGTAATTTTAACAATGAATAGTTGACACGTGTCATGTATGCACTGGATGTCATACGTGGAGTTCTCCTCTATTGGTATTTTTTTTTACTAGGTGCATGAGAGTAATGAGTTTACCATGTGAGGCCAAATTGTCTTTTTGTGGAGTGACAGCTAGACGTAATTAAAACATTAAAAGGAGTTCCACAATAAACGTGAACATCTGATTACTATTGTTTGATATGTTTGCATATGGTAATATACGATACATTTAGGTTTGGTTGTATTGTACGTACTAATGTTATAAAGCGATCAATTTAACATTGCGTGAATTAATCATGAAAATATAAAAAATTACAATTATTGTGAGATTTGAAATTTCTATTATGTCTTAGCAAACAATTATTTGAGGCTTATTAATGGTTTTCATTTTTCACCAAAATGGGCTTGAGATAATAAATGATGTGAGTTGCAGAAAGATGCATGGAGCAAGGAAGAAGACGAGAAGCTAATCCAGGCCCATATGGAGATGGGAAACAAATGGGCCGAAATCGCAAAGCGACTCCCGGGCCGGACCGAAAACAGCATAAAGAATCACTGGAACGCCACCAAACGGCGCCAATTCCCTTCCACCCGCCGGAACTACCGGTCCCCTGAACCCTCCGCCTCCGCCGCCGCCCTCAAGGACTACATCCACGCCGTCACCTCCCTGTCCTCTCCCAGCGTGGAGAAGAAGATTCTCACTCCCGCGCCATCGAATTGGGCGAAAAAAGGCAACTTCGCCGCAGGGTCGTCGTTGTCTAGGGAATCCGAAGCTCCTGCCACCGCCGTCATGTACGATCTGAACGAGGCGTCGGAGCCGCCGTTCCTGTTTGCCGGCGACAGTGATTCTGAACTCGGCAGCGTTAGGTTCGGGTCTGCTATGGAAATGCAGGAATCTTCGTTTGCTGATAATCGTAATGCGAATTCATTTGGGATGTCGATTGATAGTTACGCCGGCAGTTCGGCGATGGTGAGGCCCAGCAAAGGCGAGGAAGAGAGGGAGGATGCGGTTGAGATGGATTTTCTGGATATGCTGATTCACCAGTGTTAATTATGTCAATTTTTCCTTTTCTGAAAACAGGTTAGGCCCCAGAGGGAATTAGAGGATTAGATTTAGGGGTGACATCTCAGGGGAAGGCTGGGATGAGTTGAAATGGATTCATGAGTTGAATTGAACTGGTTTCTTGATTTCATGGATTGTTTTTAAACTATATATATAACAAAAAGCCAATGTCCAATCTAAAAATCAAGCCAACAGCAAATGACAACCAACAACTAGAATCCGACTGAGCTGACTCTAAATGAAACCGAAGGAAGAACAAAAGTACAGAGCAAACCCCAATTGGTGGCTCATGGCGCACAAACAGGGCACCAAATGTGGTATCGAGAACAGCAGTGACGGAATTGACGATAACAGAGATGATCACTGCAGAACTGGGCTGATGAGGGAGTTGTTGGTGGTTGGTTCTTGCTACCCGAAATCATCACCAACCTTGAACACCCTTGCAGCTGCTGCTTCAGATGTGGCTACTGAGTTGTTGATCATCAATTCATCATGACCAAGGGTGCTGCTGCAGCAGCAAGGATGGTGGAACTGTCGGAGAATAATGCTTGCTTCTTCATTTCCGCTGTTGATGGATGTAAGCAAGAATTTCCGGGTGATTGGGGTTTGATCTCTGCGAAAGTTTGAAGCTTTTTTGGCGAGGGAGGGAAAATGTTGAACTGGGTTGATGGAGTTGGAAAAGTGTGAGGGATGATAATGGATGGGATTTTCCTAATCCATTTTGACATACTCAAATTCATATTTTGTCCCGAGTATCGAGTCGATTCATGTTAGAATTAAATCGAATTGAGATAATATCTGATTAGATTTAATTTTGAACCATTTTTCTGCCATACTAACTTGTTGAACCAAAACCGAATAAAAATACATTCGGTCCGATTCGACCCAGTAGAAATAGTGATCGGATACAATTTGATTTGGTATAGACCTGATGGTTGTCCACCCCTACCCATGCCCATAATTCATAAGGAGGGAGGTTTTGCAACCTCATCCGCATATTCACGATTTTAGATAACCCACCCATCTCATACATCCAACGTTGTTGTAACTAAAATATATACATCTTCAATTATAATACTATACAGACCTAATAAATTGTGAAATCAATATAAAAACAACAACTCTTAATACGAATTCAAAGGATCCAATCCAAAAATATCAATATCAATCTATATGAAAAAGTACAATACTATCCAAATAATTCATTTCTTACTCTGATACATCTACTAAACAACAAATAAATAAAATAATCTTTTGTTAACAAGGAGAAAATAAGTGAAAGAGTGAAGGGCGAATTGTGAAAAAGAAACTTGAGTTTGGTTTGGGTGGCAACTCACATAGCCACATCGCTTTGGGTGTTTTGTGGGTGGTTCGGTTTTAAAATATATTTCAGCAAATCATTTACTCGCCCCGTCTCTTACCCCCTAAGATTCGTCTTTAATAACTCTTTAACAACCTTTCCATTCTTGTGCTTTTTTAATTTAATTTCTTGCCTTTTCTCCTCAGTCTTACATATCTCCCCGGCCATATAAAAAGCGACTCTATGTTGTACTATTGTTATCACTGTATCATTCTGTTTTCCCCTTTTCTTCTTCTTCTTCCTCATCTTGTGCATGGATTTCGACGCACAACTTAGGAACGATGAGTCACTTTCATTCACTAGTCTTCTCGTCGACGAGAATTATCCAATACAACAAAAACCGGAACTAGAAAGTATCGTAGGAGGGCTTCACAAAACACCATTTTTTCCCTCCTTCTCTTCTTCCTCACAGTCTCTTAATGACTTACTTGTTCAAGAATTCCCTCAAGTTGATGGTCAAAATCATCAAACCCTCCAAACCCCAATTAATGGTATTCTTGGCTATAGCAATAATCCCATCTTCCCATCCCCACCAGCCAAGAACTACCATTTCCCTAACCATTATAATGGAAAATTTATTCAAACTCATAACATTGAAATCAATCAAAATGATGGCCCCTCGCAACAGAATAATCTGCACTTTCCGAATCCTTCCCGGAAAAGGATTGGCGAGGATGAGGTGGGGAATGAGAGATCATCACTATCAGTAAAATCTCCAAAGAAATCTATAGCCAAAAGCCAGTGGACCGCTGAAGAAGACACGTTAGTTATCTAATTTTCTTATTATTGTTGTTTTGGTATAGATCTCATTCACAATGACAATTTCTCCATGAATTTTCCCCCAGAAAGTTGGTTCAATTGGTGGGTGAGCATGGAGTCAAGAGTTGGAGTCAAATTGCTGGGAAGCTTGATGGTAGAATTGGGAAACAGTGTAGAGAAAGGTGGCACAACCATCTAAAGCCTGATATCAAGGTAATTTAGACATCAATTCCTCCCTTCAATATGATCTATCAATCATCTTATTCAATCTATTGTTGTGGACGTACATATCAGCATTCGGTCAGAATTGACTCCTATCCTATTTTTCTCAGTTTTGGAATTGTATTTTTAAAAAAAAAAATTGTATTTGATTTACATTTCAGAGTTCGATGATGCATGTAAAGATACATAAAATACTACTGTAACCGTAATTTTAGATGATATTTTACATTTGTCATGCATTCATTGGAGAGTCATACGTGGAGCTCGCGCATCTATTTTGTTGTTAGATTTTTTTATTGTTGTTTTCTTGGTGCATAAAGGAGTAATGAGCTTACCATGTGAGTGAAATTGTCTTTTTTATATATATAAAGTGACAACTAGAAGTAATTTAACCAGTTGCATAATAAATCGTGAAAGTTTGTCATGAAAGAATCACGTTTACCGTTAACAAAAATATGATAAGTTAAAATTACTCCATATTATATTTACAATTTTTTATGATATCGTATCACATCGAAGAATGAACCATAAAGAAATCGTGTTGCTCGTCAAAGTGCTACGATACATAGAAATAGTCTTTATAGGTGGCACAACATGGTCAAACAACCATATCACAATTTACCAGCCGGTTTTATTCGGTATTATAGTGCTACTATTGAATGCATTATCTTATTTGAACATAATTTGTTTAATCATCGATTAATTTAGGCTGTCAGTATGAGTCTTCACCATATGTGACTGGTAAATATCAAATATGTGTTGGTTGTGGGCTGCAGACAGATGCATGGAGCGAGGAAGAGGATGTGATATTAATCCAGGCCCATAAGAAGATGGGAAACAAATGGGCCAAAATTGCAGAGCTACTCCCGGGCCGGACCGAAAACAACATAAAGAACCACTGGAACGCCGCAAAGAGGCGCCAACCCATTTCCACCCGCCGGAACTACCGATCCGCTGAGCCCTCCGCCTCTGCCGCCGCCCTCAAGGACTACATCCACGCCGTCACTTCCCCATCCTCGCCGTCATTGACGGAAACAATTCAAAGTCCCGCGCCGTCCAATTGGGTGGCGAATAGCAACTTCGTCATCGGCTCGCCGTCTGAGGCAGCAACCGGTCCGCCTGCCTCCGGCGCCATGTATGATCTGCACGAGGCGTCGGAGCAGCCGTTCCATTTCGACGCCGACAGCGATGGGGGATTCGAAGGCGGAGGATTCGGGTCTGCTGTGGAGATTCCCGAATTTTCGTTTTCTGATTTCAGTAATACGAATTTGTTTGGGATGTCGATTGATAGTTACAACGGCGAGGTGGACGGTCCGGCGATGGGGATGGTCGGCAACGGTGGGGAAGAGGCAGAGGGGCTGGGTTTGCTGGATATTCTGGATGGCAAGTGTTAATTATTTTTGGTGTTTTTTAGAATTATGTTTGGTAATTTAGTTATGGAATAATTGAGCAATTAAGTTTTGATAATTACATCAATTAATGCAGAATTTGTTTGGCTGTTATCATAGAAACTTATTAATGCATTACTCATTTGGGAAAAGGGGATATCTTTTTCCATTAATAGCATTAAAGGTATTTTTTGGAAAAGGAGCCATTAGGGCGCTCCAATCTTAATAATCACTAAAATTAATTAGTCGAGGCATACTAACCTCAACTAAGTCATAATACAACCAATAAAATAACGTCGGGTAAGGGATAGTGATGTCGTGATTGTCCGATGGGAGGCTATGGCCTAGAAACGCCAAATAATCGGCAACAACATTACCCTCCCTGGAAACATGAAGCAGCTCCACCTCCCAGTTCTAGCCAAGAAGTCTTCGAGCTTGCACAATCAAGTTTGAGTGTGGATGTCGAATTCCCGCCGTTGTTAGTAGCTGAATAGCTACCTTTGAGTTTTTTTTTCTCGAAACTAAGAAATGTTATGAGTTTGATTAAGACTGTTTTCTTTTTATAATAGTTTTTTTTCTTTTGACACTTTCTCTTATTAAAATACTAAAATAGTATGGACCTAAAGTATTTGATAAATGACCATCTATTCGTTATAATTTATTATTTTCTTTTTTATATTTATCGTAATTATTTTATACCATAAACCATTTCCATAACTAATTCCTGTAAAGTTTCACATGCATTCTTTTCATTCATTAACTTCATGATATATCAACAAATTGAAGAAAAAATTTACACAATTCAGACAGCCTTGGGCTTAGGCTTTATCCTTTTAGCTCTAGAGTACAAACCCACTCCTAACAGCGCCATTGCAGTTCCTGGACAAAGTTAACAAACCAAACCAGTAAGAGAAACTGAACTTCCTAACATGTAATCAAAGGGTAAGCAATTGCCTGAGACGCAATCAAATCAAGTTCAAAGATGAAAAGTAATACCCAGAGAGTTGATTGGAGTGACTGGAGTGTGGAAGAAGAAGATAGAAGACACAATCACCACAACCCTCTTCAAACAATTCCCTACTGCATGGCTCACAGGATTCACCATCCCCAGTATCATGTAAGACACCTGCAGTTTTCCAATCACCCGTTTCAGTATCCCAACCAATGGAAACAATGATATGCAAGTGAGGCAGGGGAGAAATGAGGCCTAAGAGGAAGATTACTTGTTGGTAGCTGTGGAAGCAGAAGCCAGCAAGTAGAGATCTCAAGCAGAGCTGCTTCACATTCAACCCTTGATTCGCCTTTCGTCCAAAAACAGTCATTACAAGTTAGATCTCTCATCAAGTGGATTAGTCATCTGGAAGCACATTGATGTGTAGGGGATGTTAGAAGAGACTCACAGCCGACTTGAGATATGAGGGTGTGAACTTGATCCCTTCGATGTAGATCGCCGAGGGAACCAACAGTAGAAACGAGATTATTGTTATTACTGAGAAGAGGTTGACATTGTCCAGAGTTTCCTCTTTCTGAACCATAAGCTTCTTGCTGAGTACATTCCTTGACTGGTTTGTGACATTGGAGGCCATTGCACTGCAGAACCCTGTCCTGTTTTGCACAATAATTCTTTCTGTTCATATAAAAAGTAGAAGAGAGAGGAAGAGAGAGTAATGGAGGTTTTGGTTTTGGGTCTCTCCTTACCAATTGAAGGAAGCTTCTGTCAGTGATGCCAATGCCACTCCTCCAACTATGGGCAGAAGTGAAGAGAATACCCAAATTGTGGGTTTCTGTTGTTGTTTTGTTTTGGCCCCCGAAAATTAGCAAGAAATGAACTTTTTGGTTCATTAACCATAAGAAGAACTAAAAGAATGTTGGACCCATCTGATAAATTAATTTACTTTACCTTACCTCCCCAAGGAAAATGGCAGCAAATAGCACAGTGAAGAATGGTTCCATGGCCTTGATTGTGTGGGTGAATGAAACAGCAACTTTGCCAAGGCTAACATTGGTCAGAAGGTTCCCCATTGTGTGTGCCAGAGCCAATGGGATGATTGCTGCAAGCTGACCAAAGTAAAGTCACCAATAAAGAAAAAGGTAGACATCATAGTGAAATCTACAGTAGTATAAGATGTATTGTTCATCCTATTGTTCAACAATTCTGAGTTATAGAAAGAATCTGCTTTCAAATTAGTAGACTTTGAATACTTAGTATTCACTATCTCTCATCCACTTGAGTTATTGAGTATGAATGAATACGATTTTACCTTTTCACTACTAGAACAACTAGTCTTACCCATTCGATTTTCGACCTGGTTTAAAAAAGAGCTGCTGGTATACACATTTGATCAGAGCTTCTCTAAGGAAAGTTACCTGAGATCGGGTGAGTTTAGGGACGTGGTAGAGTTTCAACCCCCACATTGTGAGAACCATGAGAGTCCCACACCCAAACTCGAAGGCAGTCACCGTTGCAGGAAATGGATACACCTTCAGAACCTGAAGAAATGTAGCCCCCCCACAGAGAAATTTTTTCAAAAAGATTCAATCTTGATCTGATAAAGGAGGAAGAAGAAGAGAAATGACGGTGAGAATTGAGAACCTGCTTGTTGAAAATGTTGAAGTAGATATTGAGAAGGTACCAGACGCCAAACATGGCTCCCAGCTTCAACGTGCGAGCTAGCCCAGTCAATTTCTCGCCGTCATTGTCGTCTTCCCCTGAATTCTCCGAAAGGGCTCCGGCGGCTCTGGCCGCCACCGTCTGGAATCTGCCATTTCCAGGGAGAGAGACTGGCGCGAGGAACAGCCATTTCCGGCATGGAAACGGCCGAGGAGAAATGGGTTTCGATTGGTTAAGGCAAGTGAATCTCTGGTTGGAGAGGCTTCTGTATGGAAGTTTTCGTGGTTTAAGCGATGGGTTTATTGAAAGAGACGCAGCGGATGCTGTTATGCCCTGCATAATTCTGGTGGTGGAGAAACAATGGGGTTCCTATAAGTTAAGGCGACGAGAGATTTGGGCATTGCAGCATTGTGATTTGAGCACAGAAAAAGATCTTTTTGAAAGGGTTCCTATTGACTATTTTAGTAGTATTTGCAGCTCAGTCTCTGTGCCTAAACTGGTGGCTCGGTGGTTCTTGCTGTCCTTTCTGAAGTTGAAACTGGGAGTGCTGAGGTGTCACGTGTCCATTGGCCTCCAGTTCATTTTTACAAAGAAATTATTTAAGTCTTAGATAAATTCTTCTTAATTTTTTGAGTATGACCATTCTGTACTAGAAGATTAGTCATTGTTGTCTTTACCTACAACATTTGCCAATTGCCATAAATGGTGTGCAAATTTGGAGGGGGGATGGGGGATGAATGGAAAGTGTGAAATAATGGGATTTGGTTGTTGCCACTTTGAGGTCAATAATAGGACCAATGCCTCTTTGCTAGGAAAAGTGGGAAATGGAAGGTACAATGGTCTAAGATGAGACTTATATTCCATGGACCAAAATCTCCAATAACTAGCAAGCATCTCATAGTAACTCGCTAGAAACACACGAAAGTATGTAAAAATAATCGTTTGGCCCTTACAAATGAAAATTCCAGAGTCTAAATAAGAAATATTAAGTTTCAAACGATCAAATAATAAACAAAAAAAATTTCATGAATACAAGTGGCAGTTTGGGTGTTCTACCTTGATATGATTGCTAAACAAACACCATCTAAGTGCTAATCATTACAAACTCATGGCATTATCTAACAACAACCGTTTGGCTATGTGGAATGGAAATGCCATCCAAAGAGGCATAACAAAATATAACAGGTTTCAAATGATAAATATGAGATCTATTTAAGACAAAACATGAATAATGTAATAAATAATATTGTGTATTTCTTTGTGGAACGCATACATATGGTGGTTGGGGTGATCTACATCCATATGGTTGCTAACACCATCCAAAAGTTAGTTGCTACATATCATGACAATATGTAACAACAACTATTTGCCTTATCAACTAGAAATGTTTTTAACACAATCGTGACCCAAAGTAACATGTTATCGAACCACGAATATTAAATTTTCAAAGATGAAATGTGAGTAGTATGCGAAGAATAATAAAATTATTTGCCATGTCCATGCATACATGTGTGATGGTTGGGGTGTTTAAAGTTGAACCAAAAAAAGAAATTGGTTGCTGGAGATATGTGTGGCATGTGTTCCTCTAGGCCCAGCCAGCCAGCATTAACAGCCAGGAATGGATGGACCATCCTCTATCCTTAAGAGAAAGATTGAAGATCACAGTTAGTTTTGGTAGTTTGCTTTGGCCAATTAGGAATTTAGGATAGTGTTCATGGAATTGGAGCAAGCCAATATCATTAGGGTAGATTATTTCAATCATGTGACCAATTGATGGATTCACTGACATGAAAAACAAATAGATTGACTAGCTGAAAAGAAATATAGAGTCATCATCTAACAATAAATATAAATTCAACGGTAACGAATTCAAGAAAACATAAACGATTCGCAAATCCTTCCAAGAAAAAAGGAGGTGGTGGTTGACTGGTTGAACAGACTGACCGAGTTGTATGGATGATCGGCTGCATTTGTACTCTTTATTGTCAACTCAATTTTTTTTGCTTATGTAATTAAATAGTGTAAATACAATATAGTAGCTAGAACTATTAAGCAACGAGAAATAATAGCCACAACTATCGAAATACAAATCATTAGCCAAACGTTAACTTTCTGTTAACAATTCCATTAATAATGCTGACTAAACTTTACAATGCTGAGCTGCTCCCACGTGGCAGTCACCCTACCACATCTTTTATTTTAAGAAAATGAAAAACCTAAATAAATTTTTTAAGAAAATAAAAAACCCTCGTCTTCCTCCGCCCTCTTCCCCTATCTGCTTGATAGCTACTTCCTTGCCATTGGGAAGCACTCCGAACCCACCTTGTCCAAGCAAGTTAGATACCCTGTTGCTGCTTAGGTAAGTCAGATGCTGAGGTGGTAGTGGCTGTCTCGCAAGCACTAGTGGCCTAGGTGGCGATTTTGTCATAGATGCAACCACTCGATCCGGCGGCGACGAAGCTATCTGCTGCCAGTTCTGTTGCTATTGGCCGTCGTACACCATTAATAAAAAACCACTCCATCAATTTTCTAGAATCTGGTATGAAAATTTTCATAATGAAGGAGCAATCTGATTAATTTTGAGCCAAGTCAAACGTAGTGAGGGGATATTTTGGTTTTTCACGACAAAATTTGCCAATTCCAGTTTGGAATTCAAAGGAGTGAAAGGAAGGAGAAGGGGAAAATCGAACCTTTAGGGCCATAAGAAGGCGATGGTGGAGGAGCGTAGTAACCGGCTTCATTGTCTCCTCTTCTTCTCCTCCTCCTTCAAGGAGTAAACCACCGGAAGAAGACGGCGGTGAGCGGGCGGAGCGAAGCGTGGAAGGGGTGACTAGGGTGGGGGTGGATGGCGGGGTCGTGGAGGAGGAGGAGGAGGATTGCGGAGAGGCGAAATCAGGCAGAGAGGCTCATGACCGGGTGGGGGTGGATGGTCGGGTCGTGGAGGAGGAGGATTGCGGAGAGGCGGAAGCATATAGAGAGGCTCACGACCCTTCAATTTTTAGGTTTATTTTTATTTTTTTATGTTTTAAATTAGGGTTAATATTTTCGTATGGCCTGAACTTTGATCAAAATAAACATTCTGGCCAATCTTTTCGATCTATAACATCCTGGCCCGAACTATACACCAAAATAAACAATTTGGCCAGATCCGACTTTTGACCGTTAACTTGGACGGTCAAACGCGTTGACCGTTAGTCATAATTTTACTCAAAACAATAGTTATGGCTATTATTCCTTGTTGCTTAATAATTTTGGCTAATATATTTTATTTACCCAATTAAATATTATGTTTAAATTATAGAAAATAACGTAAAAGAGAGAAGAATTAATGTAAATTTGTTCCCTATTTTTTAGGCCTTTTTGACTTGCACATGCAATTGCATTTTTTGCAAGCTTGAGAATATGCAATTGGTAGCCACATCAATGCAATTGGTTTTGCAATTGCAAACACCCATGTCATGTCATCTTACAATTGAAAATGCAATATCAATGTGAATGCTATTAACTGTTAAACCGGCTAGTCCTTATAACCATAACTGATAGTGGTTTACAAATTTCAATAAGTCAATCACTAATTCACATTACTTAACAAGTCAAGCCATTTAATCTTATAATTGAAAATGCAATCCCAATATGAATGCTCTTTACGGTTCCACCGGCCAGTTCGGATAACCATAACTTATAGTGGTTTACAAATTTCAATCAAGTCAAGCACTTAGTTAAAGAGACCCGTACAAAGCAACTGTCCTAAAAGGAAAGTTAAAAACTGATAAAAATGACCCATATTTATCTACTAGGTAAAAATGGCCCAGGTTTGGCATGAAAAAAAGGCCCATCTTCACAAAAAAATGGCCTAGTAAACAGAAAACGAAGTGGGTGGAGACTTGGAGTGGGGATGTGGCGCTGACGTGGCTGCGTGGGATTCCAGCAAGTATTACGTGGCATAGGTCTATTTTAAAAGCCTTTTAATATTTATTTATTAAAATAAAATAAAAAATATATTATATACAATATAATATAAAAAAAAAAGAAGAGAGCATTGGGCTGAAGTTCGTGGGTGGAAATTGGTTATAGTTTAAGGAAATTGAAAGCCCAATTTTGATAACCCAAAAGGCCCAAGTGCTTAATTACCCAAATACGTGGGGCATACGCGGGTTGACTTGGTCAACACAAGTTTGTTGCGACGTGTCCAATTTGGGACGTAGAAGTTACGCATTTAGTACTTCCGCTACACGTTTTTGGGTAATAACCGACTCCCCAACGTTCTAATTTACAATTTCTATATATACGTTGCCAGACTCTTCATTTTGGAACCTCATCCCTACTAGCTACTGCTTGCAGAGATCCAGAGAGGTGCTTCCCGAATTGAAATCTTGCCACAATGTGGCGGCGCGGCGGTGGTGGCAGCAGGTTTCTTTCATTGCGATCGGTTTTAGTGGCAGGTAGAGAGTAGTGGTGCCTCTCCCTTTCGATCGGTGTTGGTGTTTGCGGCGGATATCCATGTCAGAAAAGTTCTCCTGGGGTTTATCGGTGAGGGATTGGTCAAATTCTTCTCCTTCTTCCTGTTGCCTCCTCGTCTCTGCTATTCTGCGCATATGCTCTCCAGATTATCTGGAGAACCAGTTCTGTCGCTAGAGGTAAAGTTTCCTTGATTTTGTTGAAACTAGTTGCGTGGGTAAACGAACTCAGAATCTGCGATTTTTAGTTTCTTTGGAAGCCCTAATTTCGACGGTTTTAGGGTACACGAGTTCTGGCTCCATCTTTTTGGGTGATCCATCTAGGGAATCTGCAAAAGTTGCTGGTAATGTGGGAAATTGGTGGTGATCCATATACTCGTTGTTGGTCGGTTTCTTTGACAATTAGGTTTCCCGTTTGATCACGCCAGTTAGGGTTTTGGTGCGGCCATGACTGTGCACTCTGTTGCGTTAAGAAGGCTGGAATGCGGCCTAGTGTTCTCAGACTAGACTACTACATGAGATGAGTGGTCTATATATGGACGTTTCATCGCTAGATGGAGAAGTGTTTTGTCTGAGATACACTTGCTGTTACTACAAGTGAATATCTTTTGCTAAAGTAGACTAATACCTGGTATTGATGTTGGCTTTTAGTGCTTGATTATGGGTTTTCAATTATTTTCGTTGTCATCTTGTTGTGCAGTATTTCTACACCTACGAAATGTTAATACAATGACTTTCTTGGATTATATGCATCATGCTTATAGAGCATTAATATCAGCACCATGCGTTGTGATTGGGAATATATAAATCATGCGTAGTATTAATGTAGGTCGCCTGGGATGGGAACAACAAATCTTGACTAAGTATGCTACTCATCCGCATGCCCCCCTCAGTAACATTCTTGTACACAGATTTGATATAAAAAAAAAACAATCTTGTAGAGCCTTGCTCCTCCTCATAAATCTTTGTCTGCGTTCTCCCTCTATTCAGCTAAGTTTTATCACTAAATTGCTTCTTTCAAGTTCTGCAAATTGCAATAGATAAAGTAAATTTGACCTATGCAATGTTTACATTCAATCATTGGACATCTGTTGCCATTGTATTCTGGTGATCCACAAATGGTAATATGTGTTGCCATGCTGGTTTTAGTGGAAGTGACCATTTAGTTACCTCAGTTGCCCTTCTGCTCTATCTTTGTTAAGTGAAAAGTTTAAATGGAGTCCTAGAAGGGAACTGTGAATTGTGAAATGACTAATAGAGCAAACCGACCGTGTTTTCGGGTAAAGAAGTTGGTCTGGAAGTTGTGTCCCGTTGTCCCTACAATTGAAATTGTGTACAATCAGTTGCCCTTCTGCTCTATATTATTAAGTGGAACTATAAATGGAGTCCTAGAAGGGAGCTGTGGAATGACTAATATGTGTTGCCATGCTGGTTTTAGTGGAAGTGACCATTTAGTTACCTCAGTTGCCCTTCTGCTCTATCTTTGTTAAGTGAAAAGTTTAAATGGAGTCCTAGAAGGGAACTGTGAATTGTGAAATGACTAATAGAGGAAACCGGCCGTGTTTTCGGGTAAAGAAGTTGGTCTGGAAGTTGTGTCCCATTGTCCCTACAATTGAAATTGTGTACAATCAGCTGCCCTTCTGCTCTATATTATTAAGTGGAACTATAAATGGAGTCCTAGAAGGGAGCTGTGGAATGACTAATAGAGGAAACAAAGTTAATACATTGGACTGGTGGCCATGTTTTCGAGAAAAGAAGTTGGTACAGAAGTTGTGTCCCGTTGTCCCTACAATTGAAATTGTGTTCAGTTGCCCTTCTGCTCTATATATTATTAAGTGAAACTATAAATGGAGTCCTAGAAGAAGGAATGACTAATAGAGGAAACAAAGTAAATACGAGGATTGGTAGTCAAGTTTGAGAAAAGTTGGTCTGCAAGTTGTGTCCCATTGTTCCTTCAGTTGCCCTTCTGCTCTATATTATGAAGTGAAATTATAACTGAAGTCCTAAAAGTTGGTCTGCAGTGAATGGCTTTGTGGACAATGCAAGGTTGGTAGAGCTTTATGCTAAAGAAATGAATGAGACTGAGAGTGAGTGTTGGTACCTGTTTGATGGAATCTTACTTTGCTTGCTGTATGTGTTTGTGTAAGCTGGAGAACATGGATTAATAAACATGTTGTCTTTTATTTTGTTGAGCAATTAATATGTTGTCCTACTTGTGACTATCTCTCCCTTGTGCTGAACTACATTGGAAGTTTCAGTGGGAAGTAAAATTTTGTTTTGTGTTTGCTGCCAGACCAACCATGTTGCCGATATCTCCATCATCTTTAATGGGAATGCCGACCTACAGGTTCTTGCTGTTATTAAGACCAAACAAGTACTATATTTGTAATGAAATGACTATGTGGCTGGTCATCCAGGGGTATGGTTCTGGAATTACACTCCAAAGTGATTTTCTTAATAATGCGTCTTACCTCATGACCTGTGGGTTGTGCGGGGTTTCAGCTTTTCTTGATTGAGGGCGACTACATTCAGCTAATAGAAGGGGCACAAGAGATGATAGCTGCTACAGCTGCATCCTCCACTCTTTACTCGTCTTTCTTGCCTACAATCTTCCTAACCCAATGGTGCAGTCTCAATGGGCCAAAAAGTTTCCTTCTACAGACTCCAGCCACCTAAATGGTGCTCATTTTGGTGGCCCTGGTTGCATGTAAACGTGAAGATACTAAGCAAATCGAAGGACACGGGATATGAATGTGGGAGCTTATTTGGATAGATCCAGTGTGGGCGGCAGTGGTCAGAGCAAGGTTGCAACTCATGCTAGACCTAATTACAGTTTTGTGGGGAAGCAGCAGGGAAGGTACAGTCTAGAATCCCTTCCAAAAGTCTTGTTGCCGAGATGGTTTATTTCTTTATGATAAAGGGCATAGACATTATCTGTCAGTTGATGAGTTATTGATTTTGTGTTTCTTTTGCCACTGTAAGCATCGAGACAGAGAAAACAGAATTATGCAAGGGAAAACAGTTTGAATCTATTGAATGATGATAGTAATTCTTTGGTCTTCTAGGAGGTAATGTCGAACTGTATGCGTCCTTGTAGAAGATACTCCGTCAGATCAGTGGCCGGTTGTGGTTTTGTTGAGTGAAGGAAATCTTTTGGGAATGCTTACCTGCTGGAATATGAACGATTAACTTATTGGATGTTGAGGGAAAACATGATCTTTCGGGAAATTTGTTAATTTGTTGTCTTCAGTATGGTGACTATATACCGATTTGTGTTGCGTTATCTATTTTCGTTGTTTTTCTGCACTGTCTTTTGGTGCGTTTACAAAACCGAAAAGGAAATTCTGTCTCGCTGCGTCATGGACATTCTGTTGCAATAGTATCTCTGCACTTAATATCTGCAGTGAAGAAAAGCTACAATGACTGGAATACATTGGGTGGTTGCTTTGCATAATGTTGCATTTTCAAGCACCATTTGGTCATTGACAGTCTTTTATCACTGAATTCCCTTGAATTTCCTCAGAATGTTGATGCTTCAACTTCATTGAGACTTCTGCATGTTGTTGAATTTGACAGTCCTCTCTTTTCTGGTTAGCCCTTTCACTCTTGCACAATCCTGAAAGATCAGGGAGTTTTCGGCTTGGTTCTAAAATTATGCTAACACCAGTGTTCCAGTTAAACGTAGTTGGTTGTGCTGCAGTTGAGTTTGGCTAAAATCAGTAGTTCTGTATAGATAAGAGAAGAGGTGTTATCAGGAGAAGTAGAACAGTTTTGTGGGCATACAAAGTCTTATAACTAATGTTCTGCATTAGTTAGCTAAGTCATTTCTCTCTTTAATGCTGATCAATAATCCAACCAGAAGGTAATCTGACGATTTTTGAGTGAGTATGCAGCATATGAATTTGTAAGTTCGTCTAAATGCCTGCTTATTTCCTTTCTCTGGGAACAACATAGAAGTTGGTAATTCTCTGTTGCACCCATCTGGGTGCCTTTCCATCTTGCCTCGCCTTCCCCTAAAATTGATGTGTCGTTGGCTTGGCTTTAGTAGATGAGTTAAGTCATAAGTGGATCATCAACAAGCTTGATCGAGGGACTTCCAAATTACACTCCGAAGTTATTTTCTTTCTAATGCGCTATTGTCTTACCCTAATACTTGTGGGCTGTGAGGGTTTTCAGCTGTTCTTGATCGAGGGAGACTACATACAACTAAGAGAAGGGGCACAAGAGATGATAGCCGCTACAACTGCAGTTGCTAAAGTAGCTGCTGCAGCAGCTGCATCCTCCACTCCTTACTCATCATTCTTGCATACCATGTCCCTAACCCCAATGGCGCAGTCTCACTGGGCCAAAAAGTTACCTTCTACGGACTCCAACCACCTAATTGGCGTTAGACATGAAGATACTAAGCAAATCGAAGGATAATACTCAGGATATGAATGTGGGAGCTGATGTGGGCGGCAGTGATCAGATCAAGGTTTCAACTCATGCTAGGCCTAATTCCAGTTCTGTGGGGAAGCAGCAGGGAAAGCAGGGAAGGGTCTCCGGAAATGTGCCAACTTCTATAAGATAGTAAGCATCGAGACTGAGAACGAGAAATTATGTAAGGTAAAACATTTTGAATCTATTGAATGATTATAGTAATTCTATGGTCTTCTAGGAGTAATGTCGAACTGGATAGTCCTTGTGGCGGGTACTCGTGCAGATCAATGGCCAGTGGAGGTTTTGTTGAGTGGAGGATATCTTTTGGGAAATGCTTACCTGCTGGGGAAATATGAACGATTAACTTATTGGATGTTGATGAAAAACTGCCGTTTGGGAAATTGGTTTCTTAGCTGTCTTCAAGTATGGTTAACTATATTTCGATTTGTATTGCGTTATCTATTTTCATTGTTTTCCGGCGCTGTCTTTTTGGTGCGTTTACTTTACCGAAAAGGAAATTCTATCTTGCTGCATCATGGATAGGGGTGGAAATCGGTACGGTATCGGTATCCCAATACCAAATACCGAAATCCCGAATACCGAATTACACCCTAAAATCAATCCCAATCCCAATCCCTAAATAATTTCGGTATCCCAATCCCAATCCCTAAATAATTTCGGTATCCCAATCGATACCTCGGTATCCCAATCGGTATTATCGAATACATAATTAATTACCTTTACAATTAATAATTAAATATATAAATTAGATTTTATTGTTTAATTTAGGGCAAAGAGACTAAGCAAATAGTCTTGAGTTGCCTAGAGCTAACATCTCAAATTCTTGTAATTGGTAATCTTTAATTTGACGAATTTGAGGTTGAGAGACGACTAATACTAGTGTGAAATAGTGATGTAATGATCTATGTATAATTAAATGACGAATTTGGTGGTTGATGGTCGCGTAGTAGTGAATGAGAGTCTAGTTGAGAGGATTAAATACACACTAGCTTATATTTCGGTATTGATCGGTATTTCGGTATATACCGATCCCAATCCCGTAATCCCTAATACCAAATAACAATTAAAATTCAATCCCAATCCCAATCCCACAAAATAATACGTGTATTCGGTAATACCAAATATAGACAAATTCGGTACGGTATTCGGTATATCCCAAATACCGGTACCAAACTTCCAGCCCTAATCATGGACATGATGTTGCAATAGTATCTCTGGACTTGATATATGCAGTGAAGAAAGCTACAATGACTGGAATACGTTGGGTGGTTCCTTTGCATAACGTTGCATTTTCCTAGCACCATTTCCTCATTGATGGCCTTTTATTACTGAATTCCCATGAATTCTGCCTATGATGTCCATGGATAAGCTAAGCCTGTTCCCTTGGGTGTACTAGAACTTTGAATCTGGAAATAGAGCCACTTGACCAACACAAAGTTGCTTCACAAAATCAACAAGCATGGGGCTTAGCCTAAAAAGGGAGGGGGATTGACGGAGATAAGTTCTGGTGTTGTTCAAAGTACATTTGAATGCGACATTTCAGAAAAGCTTAGTGGAAGTCCAGACATATACTGGTGCTCATTGGATCAGAGCGTTGTAGCAGCTGCTGCTGCTGCTTTGGGGGGTTCATCTGAAAAGGATGTCGAAGAGCTTGAAGGTACATTGGTTGCTGTTGCTGCTGCTGGGGCCATTCAATTTGACTTATGCCTGCATGTAGTGTTGTTGTTGTTGCTGCTGCTCCTGTTGCATCGACGCCATCTGAAATGTATACATAAACACAGACACTAAGAGAGAGGATTTGATAACCAATTTGTTTGAACATGAGCAGTATAATAAGGTTTATTTAGGTTCTTCAAAGCATTTACCTGAATTTTGGTGGTGGTGGCGGTGTCGTCGTCCTCTGTGGCTGTGGTGGTGGCTGAGCATCAGCAATCTTAGCTAGGTACATCAGGTTCTGTTGTAGCTGGGTTTGCAAACTGATTCAACTCCCCGATTGCATATAGTGTTGAAAAGAAAGAAACAGAAGCTAGTTATTCTTTTCTGCTACAAAGTGATTCCAAGCACAATGGTTGTTTCCAAAATGTGTAGCATCACACTTGCTGATCCACTTAACTCATCTACTAAAGCGAAGCCAACGACGCATCAATTTTAGCGGAAGGCGGCTTTTAAGGCGTGGCAGAGAATTACCAACTTCTATGTTGATTCCCAGAGAAAGGAAATAATCACCTTCTGGGTGGATCATTGATCAGCATTGAAGAGAGAAATGACTTATTCTAACTAATGTAGCACATAAGTTATAAGACCTGCATGCCCCACAAAACTGTTCTCTTATCTTATCCACAGAACAACTTATTTTGGCCAAACTCAACTGCAGCACAGCCTACTATGTTTAACTGGAACACTGTGTTAGCATAGCTTTAGAACAGAGCTGAAAATTCCCTAATGTTTCCCTGTGATCTTTCAGGCTCGTGCAAGAGTAGAAGGGCTAACCAGAAAAGAAAGGACTTCCAAATTCAACAACAAGCATTAGTCATGCCAATCATTTGAGTCTGGCAAATGTCAGATAGCCAGTATGACCTTTAGCTTCCGAACAAGGCTTGGTCATCACTGGAAGAGCAGGAGCAAGAATACCACCATTGTCCCCCTGCAAACTGCTTCTATCACTGGAAGGCTGCTTCCTCTTCCCAGGACGAGAACCAGTAGAGATGCCTTCGTCTCCATCGAAGCTGTCCAGTTTGCCTTGTCGAACTTCGTACGTCCTCAGGAGTATCTCAAACGTCCTTATATCTTCAAGACAAGATCAAAGAGAGAGAAGAGATACATATATTTAAATGAGCCTTGCAACGGAAAATCTGAGCTAAAAAGGTCGGCTAGACCCATATGAATTACTGACATACCTGCATATGAAAAAAAGGAGTAATTTGTAGCAAAGAAGCAACAACTTACCAGTGAAGTTTGATCTCAGGGTTTCACAAGAGCGCTGCACTTGCTCTATGCAGGGTGAGAACGAGCACAACACACCATCTTGTCTCAACATTTTTGCGGCAGAAGGAATGGCCAGCCACGGCTGTGGTAGATCCAAGAACACAGCATCAACTGAGCCGACATGTTCCTCTGGAAATCCTTGACCCTGAATATCCCTAACCCCTACAGTGACATAGCTGCTGATTCCTGTCTTTTCAAAATCTTCCCTATTCAGAAAAAAAATGTCAGTTCCTTCACAAAGAACAAGAAGACGCTAGTACAACTGAAAGCTCAGCATCAGCATTGTGCATCAAACTTACTGCAGTAAGATCAGTTGCTAATGAAACCAAAATGAAACGAACTCAAGACAGCCTTATTAACAGACTTCTTTTGTTATATAATCACAAAGGCAACGAGGACAGCTACTATAAAGGACCGAAAATCAAATGAAGTCAACAATCTTATCAGACAACACATGAATGACAGTCTACTCACCTAGCTGAGGCAGCCCTTTGTTCATGGAAGTCAAATGTAAAGACATGTCCAGTTGGAGCAACAGCACGTGCAAGCGAAGTTGTCAAAGAACCACTACCAGTTCCAGACTCGAGCACCACACATCCAGGAACTACCTCCAAGTACATTATCACAAGCGAGATATCCGCAATGTAGAGAATCTGGGTTCGGTGGCTCAACACAAGAGTCCACAGTTCAGGTGTTGGAGCCAGCAAATGAACAAACCCACCCTTGTTGCTGAACACCTTGGAACCAAAGGGCTTCCCAATCCAATCCGAGTGCTTGAACATGCCAAAACGGTTCTGAAGCACTGAACTCTCGCTTACTTTTACCGCCTTCATACTGTCGTGCTTCTCATACACAATGACCAAATCACCATTTTGAATGGTGCGAGTGAAAGATAACTTCTTCTCAGGATCGACAAGCAACATTTAGCTAAATACTAAGATGACCCTGCAATGGGCATATGATAGTGTGAATACTTCAGAAGCTTCATCACCGCAGACAAAACTTCAGAAACGTTCATTAACAACTGAAAACCAGGCACACAAACACAATAGCCATGCCCAGATGGAAATAACTCTGAAACAGAAAGCAGTTTAAGCTATACAATGCTTTCAACTAAGCATAAAGTAAACCCAAGTCGTAGAAGAGGCAGCAAAGCATACAAACGCTCTGAATGAGGAGGATGCAGACAAATTGAGGGATACGATTGAAGTAGAAGGAAAAATTGAAACTTTAGACCTACCTTACTCTGACGGATGAATTGAAAGCTGAGGGATCACTGCGGCGGCGGCGGCGGCGGCCGACTACTGACGGAAGCAGAAGGAGGAAGTTCCGGCGAGGCTAAAATTTTGAAGAATGGGGAGAAGACTGAGTGCAGAAAAGCGGCGGCAGTTTACTGTTTTCCGGGAGCGAGGAGAAATGGAGAATGAAGACGAAGCAGCGGGTAAAGAGTCCGAGCTCTGGAAGGAAACCCAAATAGAAAGCCTATGCATAGCTGTCCAGCCCAAATACAAGGCCCAATTATTTTTACATTTTAGTTGCGGTTATTAATCCAAGAGGCCTGCTAGAAGTCCGCCACACTCGACCCAGAAAACAAGTCCGCCAAACTGAGAGTTAGTTATAGTTCACTTTCCTCGGCTTCCCTCTCCAATGGCTCTCATATCTCCACCTCCAACTCTTCCGTCGCTGCTCTGAATACCAGACAGTAGCCATGGCGGCAGTTGCAACAGTACTGCTACCGTCGGCAATGCACAGGAGCTCCCCGTCTTCACTCACCCGCTCGTTAGCTTTCTCGATCGGCGATGATGGTTTCCGTCTTCGATCCCCATTCAATTCTCGTCGCGTCAGGGATTCCTCTTCCGGTAATTCTCGTATTGCAGTTCACTGCGTCTCGAATTCAGGTTTGCAGAAGTGTTCTTCATTTCTATGCAGTAATTTTTTGGATAAAGCACAACCAGTTAGTGGCATTCGGAGTGATTGATGTATAATCCTTTTGTTGATATTAGGCACGTCAAGGGATAAGTTGTTCCCTTTCACCTCCACTTCGACTTCATTCAGAACTATTCAGTCTGGGTTCAAACAGTCCTTTTCGCGGAGAGAGTTTTCAGCTCGATTTGTAGCTACGGAAGCAGTGGCGAATGAAGCAATTGGGGTTCCCAGTCTACCTCAAGAAGAAAAGCCTCCGCAGGTGTACACTTGGCCTTCTAAGAAGGTGCGTTTTGGCTTACTGATACCTGTTCTTCCCCAGGTCTCAGTTTTGGAAGATTGTATTTGATAGGAATTTCAGTTCACCAAGAAACAGATCTTACTTTAACTTCAACTCTGGATGATCAACCCATTTTTTAACAGCACAGCTTTTGATTGCAATGCTGCAGAACCCGAGGGTGTGCATACTAGGTGGTGGATTTGGAGGCTTATATACAGCTTTGAGACTAGAATCACTCGCTTGGCCAGATGATAAGAAACCTCAGGTAATGACTGACTAACATTTAAGTGCAATATTGAATTGAATGTTGTCCTGAAGAATTAATTCTGTTCTAGTGCTTCGTAATTTAAGCATGATGGGTTACTTGATGCGCATGTTGTCCCTGGTGTGAGCATGATACTTGGGTGTTTCATGGATCTGTGTCCTTAAATTTGTTTCATCCACGGTGTCTCTTTCTTTTCGATGCTCTATCATCCCTAATTTTTCCAAATTTGCTGATCAGGTGCTCCTTGTTGACCAAGCTGAGCGTTTTGTCTTCAAGCCCATGCTGTATGAGATTCTTTCAGGAGGTACTAGCTATTTCTTTCTATGATCATTCATTCATTTTAGGTTCTTGTTGGGTTGCATTGAGCAAATTGGAATGGATTTCACAAAGTAACCGACTAAAGAATTCCAGTATCAGTGCAGAAGTGGATTCTTGGGAAATCGCTCCCCGCTTCTCGGACTTGCTTTCAAACACTGCTGTGCAGTTTGTGCAAGACAGAGTAAAAGTTCTACAGCCATGTGATCACTTGGGAATTAATGGGTCGGCAAAATCTAATTCTGCTGGTACAGTCCTGCTACAAAGTGGCCTTCTGATAGAGTATGACTGGTAAGTAGTTTGTGCAATAATTTGCTCACAATTCTTGCAACACTCTTGTGGTGAACCTGTTTACTGGATGGGTAACAAGAACTCACTGTCTCCTTTAATGCACATAAGCCTCGTTGCTGAGAAAAAGGCCTAGAAGTGTCGACTAGTTTGACCAGACTCGTCCACCAAAGAAATCTAGTCTGCCCAAGACTTTGTTAATATAGTTGTAGCTGTGGTATTTAATTCACCTTGAGGATTTGCATATTGATCACTTACTCGAATCTATGTTAATTGAAAAGATTGTTTCGTTTGTTATGCAAGTTACAACGTCCTACCTGATTCTACTCCCTATCCTATTGGGCAGCCAGGCTGGTTCTTGCTCTGGGATCTGAAACAAAACTTGATGTTGTGCCAGGGTCAGCAGAGTACGCATTGCCATTTTCTACATTGGAAGATGCTCTTGTAAGAGTTCAGTTTTATGATTTACTGTTGGAACATTGGATCCTAAGTCTTCTAGGTTGACCTATTTTTGCAAACCTTTACGTTACTGCAGAAGGTTGACAGTAAGTTAAGACAACTGGAGAGGAGAAATTTCAGTAAGGGATCTCCAATAAGTGTATGTATTGTCGGTTGTGGTTATGCTGGAGTAGAGTTGGCTGCTACCGTTGCTGAGAGACTGCAGGATAGAGGAGTAGTACGTGCTATTAATGTGGAAAGTATGATCTGCCCAACTGCTCCACCTGGCAACAGGGAAGCTGCACTTAGAGTAAGATTATGGATTACGATAAGATAAAATTTAGCAACTCTTTAAGATTTGTGAATGACATCAAGACTCAAGAATCATGCCTGAAGTTAGCTTGTTGATACGATTTTGAACTTCTTTTTTCGTTCCTGCAACTGAAGCTGTTTATCTAACATAGTTTTTCTATTGGAGTTAGGTTCTCACTTCCAGGAAAGTTGAATTGCTATTGGGTTACTTTGTCCGTTCCATCCAAAAAACAAGTGACTCGGATTCTGAGAAATACATTTTGGAACTGCAACCTGCTGAGAGAGGAATGCAAAGTCAAATTCTTGAAACAGATTTAGTGTTATGGACTGTGGGGTCTAAACCTTTGCTTTCTGAGCTGGAACCCTGTGAACAGCCTCTCGAGCTTCCCCTTAACGCTAGGAGCCAGGCCGAGACAGATGAGACCCTTCGTGTCAAGGGTCACCCACGGATATTCGCTCTTGGTGACTCATCTTCTCTCAGGGATTTGAAAGGGAAGATACTTCCGCCAACTGCTCAGGTAAACTTTTTTCCTGCAAAGATGTAAATGTTGAACATCCATCTTCAATTTGTATGTTACTTCCGCCTGATGTGTCTGAGACTTGCTTATGTTTTCCGTTCAGGTTGCTTTTCAGCAAGCAGATTTTACTGGTTGGAATCTTTGGGCTGCAATTAATGACCGTCCATTGTTGCCATTTAGGTTGGTTAATGACATAACTTCTGAATTCATCCTATATTATCGGGCTAATAATATTTGTACTGTGTGGTTTATCCATCTCTAGTCAATCCAATTAGTAAAGAGGCACTGCACCGTGCCTAGTAAATACGAATTGGATGACTCACATGCCAAAGATGTTAAAAAAATCATGTTTTACCGGCTCTTAAATCCCTCACCTGCTCGATTTGCCTTGACGAATGTGTTGACACCACTGACAGGTTCCAAAATCTGGGCGAAATGATGACTCTGGGACAGAGCGACGCTGCTGTATCACCGAGTTTCATCGATGGGCTAACCTTAGAAGGTCCTATCGGCCATACCGGTACACTACAGTCTTCTCTTCTGGCCATGCTATCCTTACCAGCATATACCCTTTGTTTACTCTCTCTTGTCTTCATTACGAGTTAATGTGATATTTCTGTGATGATGCAGCAAGGAAAATTGCGTACTTGATTCGGCTACCAACGGACGAGCACCGGGTTAAAGTCGGGCTGAGCTGGCTGACCAAGTCTGCCATCCAGTCGATTGCATCAGTTCAGGACACCCTTACCAAGATTGTTTCAGGATCATAGCTGGCCAAGTCTGGAAGTAATGTATAACAGTATATACCGTTGGATATTTAGTGAGGGGTTGAATATCCTCTAGTGGCATATAGGTGATTCACGTGTAAGGAACTGGTACTCATGAATCTTTTCGCCCAAATATCGCCAATTAGAATCAGGAAATGTCAGCAGATGCTCAATATGACAATATCTATAGCACAAGTCGTCTTAGGACTGAATGAAGCTCATTTCGCGGTAAGTTGTTTATCGTTTCATGAAAGATCCATGTTGAGGAATATCTGTATTGACGGCAACTTTAATTATACCGTAAAGAAATATTTACTTCTTTGTTACACTCATTTTTACATTTTCTCGTTGATTGTTAATATCTGTCGTGCAAGCTTCGTTTATAAGTGGAATGATTATTCACAGCTATCAGGAATGCGTCAAAGCCTGGCTCGTTCTTAACCAACGTTCTGTTCAGCATGGTAACTCAAATTTCGCTTACTGAAGTAGTTACCTTAGTCCTTACAATACAAATACATGAAAAGGAGGAGAGGTACGTGGAAGAAAATAAGAGGGGGAAGAGGTACGTGGAAGCAAATTAAAGGATGAGATGAGATGAGCAAGCAAAGCAAGTTGCAGAGGTGTGTTGGATTTCGGGCGCACTTTTGGCCCTTCGCTTGGATATTTCCTTATGCTTCCATGGATAACAGATTCATTAGCCATTACCACTTTTTTCATATCCTCTCTTACTCCACGCTTCTTGTGTATATATAAGCTATGCAATGCAAACAACACAAATATCCCACACACCACCTAGTATCTTGGACTTGGACCCAAAATATCTCTTCCCCAAGGGAAAAAAATCTCCCCTCCCCTCCTCTCCCTCTCTCTGTTTCTCTCAAGATGTGCAGAGGAGGAGAAGAACAGCAGCAGCAGCCACTGGTCCCTTGCTTGCGCTGCCAACCACAAGAATGCATCAGAATGGTAAACCTTACCCCACTGCAGTGATCTAAATGGATACATATCCTTATCTTTTCATGCAGAAATTATTGGCCCTGGAGAATGCCATTTTTCTTTGCTGAAGTGTGATAGTGTAAATTGTTGCAGGTTCAGCATTTGATAGAGAGGTGTTTGATACTTCGCATGAGCAGAGATGAATGCGCCACCGCACTCTCGAAGCATGCCTGCATTCATCCAACAGTCACACTCACTGGTAAGGAATCGACACAACGCTAATCTATGTGATTAGTGTCGCGCTTTCTTAATTACCTTTCGCACGAGGAAATTAAACTATTGTGACTACATTTGTACTATATATCGTAGTTGTGTCTTGATAGTATATCTCATATAACCATGTGCTGTTTTGATTTGATTTTGCAGTGTGGGAAGGATTGCTGAAAGAGAATAGAGACTTCTTCCGGACTTACTCTAGAATTATTTCTACGGATGATCAGATCATTAATTAATTTCTTTCCGCCTCCTTGATGGCTTTGCACATGTCATAACCAGTGATTTTGATCATTATCCCTGTGGAAGAAAGAGGAAATGATTGATCGTAATTCATAATTCATATCATTCTATAAGAAACTCTGTTGTGCCATTAATAAGCAGTCCAAGGGCCTAGCTAGCAGGATCGCTAATTAAGTTGTTTAGAAGTAAGAAGCAAAAGCTAAACGTTAACGACAGCAAAATTCTTTTCCCTCCTCCTCCGCGTCCTCACGCGCCGCCGGATGTGGCGACGGCGGTTGGTTGCGCGCGAAACTCAAACCGCACTTGCCGCAGGAAACCCTGTCGCCGTGATCCGCCATGAAATTCCCCGGTCCGCACTTCGGGCACTCCTTCCTCAACCTCTCCAGCACACCTGCCGAGTCTTCACCCCCGCCGCCGCCCACGACCTTGTAAAGCTTCAGCACGGGGAGCTTCTCCTTCTCCTTGTCCTTCTTCTCCTTCTTGGGCGTGCTGAACACCTTCTTCTTCCTCTTCTTCCCTCCGCCGCCGCCGAGGAGCCGCGGGAGGAGATTGACTGTCGCGAATTGGTTCCGGATTCCGTACTCGGCTAGGGTTAGGCCGTCGTCGCCGAGGAGCTTGCCGCCGTGGATCAATTGGTAGTACTGTTCGCTGACAGGGTCCGAGATTGAATTTGGTCCTCCGCGGGATTGGATTGCAGATTTGAGGTCGGCGATGGTGTCCGACGGGGTGGCGGCCAGAGTTAGGGTTTGCTGCGACGGTAGATTTACGAATATCTGCATCTCGTCCTGTCGGGTTTTCCGAGCGGCGCAGGGAGGGAACGAAAGATGAGTGGTTGCGGTGGCGGGAGCCGGGGGAGCTTTAAAGGTGTGGTCTCTGAAAGGCGGTGGCGCTCCAATATTGGGCTTTTCGGGGAGGTAATAGTTTAGCCCAATTGAACTTTTGGCCCGTATTGAAAGGCTTGATCCATTATCTATTTTACCATCATTATTTTTTTTTTGATGAATTTTTACCATCATTATTAACCATGATTAGATGGAGTTATTTTGGGATCCCTATCCTTGTTGCACTTGTATTGTATCCCAAGAGCGGACCCAGGTGGTTTTAGGGGTGTTCCGTGAGTGAAACCTCTAATTTTTTGGGAAACGATTATCTAATTTTCGGTGGTAATTTACGTATGAAAAAAAAAAATTTGATAGTGAGGGACACCCTTGAAATTTGAAAAAATGATTATCCTACTGTCAATTTTTTAATTTGTGTATAGGAATATAAGTGGTAGGTTGGGTAATTCAAATCTAGAACACTATTATTATTAATAAATTTAATTTCCACTGACCTACAACTCATTTGTTGTTCGATTTTGAACACTGTGTAATAGTAAAATGTCATTCTCTATCTCTAATTATTTTCAAAACCTAACAATTACACTAATTTCAAGCTACCCTTAATTTGTATTGATTTTATGATTCTACGACAAGTGTTGAAATAGTCTTTCAACTTTGGGTTACATCAAGAACAAGTTTACAAATTGAATATGCGATAAGTTTGTGAATGATTGTCTAGTAGGGTATATAGAGACAATTTTTTTTAACACGGTAGACACCAAGTGTATTCTACAATTATTTCCAAATATGAAAAACACATCATGAAGTTTTTCATTTGTACGAGTAAGGTATTTTTCTTATCTATGATTTTATTTTTATTAAATTTATTTTTTAAAAGAGAACACCCCTGTGGAAAATTTCTAGGTCCGCCACTGTTGTATCTCAACTCCCAAGCTTGTCGACCCACTCAAAGTCTCAAATTGGTCACAAGCGACAATGTCAAATAACAATAGAGTGATTTTTAATTTGAGATTCACTCTGATGATAACATTTCTAATTGATAAGACAGTAAATATTATCTCTAAATTCTAATATGTTCCAATTCTATTTATCTTCTTCCTCCTCCTCTTACCTTAGCTTTGGCTCTATCTCTTCTGTTTTCACTGATCTTATAGATATAAAAAATGAGGGGGGAAATGCAACTTTAAAAATTTAGCTATTGTCTATTACCAAGACATCATTCAAGGCAAGGACGGCAAATAGATGAAAGCTTCCAAGGTTGATTTGGAGGTGGATCTATTATTGGAACTTCCCAAATTAGAATAATATATACATACTGTGTTTGGAAAATGGTGGGCTCTGGTTCGGATCATATAATACACTTTATGGTCTAAATTAAGAGGCTAGAGTATAGATCATAGATCATATCACATATTAGTTCATATCAAATAATGGATGTGCAATCTGGTCCAAATAAACCACATTGAGTAAAAAATGAATTAGTTGTTTGGTCAACCACATGAAAATTGGACTAATAACCAAGAAAAAATATTTTTTTCTTAAAACATAAATTCCAACATGTATGATTAATTTTGACACCCTATATCTCAGTAAATAACTAAGATGTAGAGTCAAAGCATCCCAACTCGCACCATAACTTCAAACATTAACATGACGTCATACGGAGACACAATCATCTCTACTCTCTAGCGAAATCTGGGTGTGAATGAAGGAGGGGACGATATTCTCAAAATTAGGGCTGAGAGTTGGGTCTCGTTAAGGGAGTTGGGAGAGTGGTCCCGACTCAGGTATGCAGCTAGCGAAGTTGGCTGGTTCCACGGGTTGGTCAGATAAACCGCGGTCTAGACCAGAGCAAAAGATAAATACATAAAATAATATAGACCATGTAACGGACCGTTCTTAACGATTTACGATTCAGACCAAACTATGCAATATGATCTTATTCACAATTTTTCAAACGATCTGGTCCATTTTCTCAACTCTAACAAATATAGTCTCTAGCTGATCGAACAATTGAGATTCATGAAGATATATGGATGGTGTTAAAAGATATATTTCATAAATATTTGTTTATCTCGTCAAATAGAAGGACATACATTTCCAACATATATATACAGAACTATCATTCGTCTCATGTTCATCACTGATCGAAAACTATATGACATCCACGTGTTCTATGCTTATGAAGAAGATGAGTCATCCTTTAATTGTTGTATTATTCCATGGGATAACGTTTATCAAATCTTTGAAACCCTTTATTTTAATACAAAGGATTATGACACCCTTTGTTAGGAATGGCAATGGGTCGGATTGGGAGAGAATAGTGCATATCCATTACCCTACCCAAAATAGTTTGGGTTTTACCCATACTCATACACACATAAGAAACGAGTAGAAAATCAAAATCATGTTCATACCCGTTCGGGTATCCACGATTATCCATGAATAATAATATGTCTTTATAACTCCAACTAATATGTTACCATTCACACATGTTCTCCCATTACATAAGCGGTAAAAGTACAACAATAATTCACTAGAATGAAGAAAATTAATTAAAACAATCCCATTAATTAAAATATTATATTTGTATGCTAAATATAAAATATGTTAGAGAAAATTAATGATTTTTTCTAAACAAAATACATACATATGTTATAATCGGGCGGTTGGGGTTGGATAGTGAGAAAAGTGAAAACCATGTCCACCCATTACACGCAATATTCGAATTCGGCTTTTACCCGTACCCACTAAAAAATTTTCGAGTTTAAATTTTACCCTAACCGATTAGTTCGCATTCGGACAGATATTCACAATTACAGATATCCACAGTTTTCGTTGCTGATGATAATCACACCAAATGATGATAAATAATTTTTTTTTCCCCATTAAATTAATGATGCATGTGGAGTATTCTGAAAACCCAATTTAGTAAGGTGGGCCCAAATGCTCAGTTAATGGGCTTTTATTATTTTAACCCAATTATCGACATGAAAGAATAATCAAAACATTGCGCGACTTTCCCACCTTACAGTTTTCCGTTTTCCTCCCTCCACAAATGGAAGAGTGCTCTCACGCCTTCCATTGAAGCGAAGTCCTCCACCGCTTGAGAGCTTGCCGGCGATCGTCTCTCTTCCATTCCACCGCCCCCGACACGACGAACCCACCTTCCTCTTCACTCGGCTATTATAATTCCTACCATCGTCGCCTTTGAATGTAAGAACCGCTGCTCCCTCTTTGCTGATTCTTCTTCGTTGTTTGTCGTTTACCGCCATTCCAATTCGCTCTCAGATGGTGGGTAGCTCGAATTTTGTTGTATCTTGAATGTCAGTTGGTTCCTAGCCGTACTTCGCTCCATCTTCCGGTCTTTTTCTTGGTGCCCTGCATTCGAATTTAATGCAATCGATACCCATCTCCAAACATTGATGTTACGTTTGAAGTAGAATTTCTTCTTCAACAAGATCCAGTTTTTACCTTTCACATGCGATTTCTCATTGGGGTTTTGAATAGCTTTCACCAGTTTGATTGGCGGGTTTTTGTTCTGGCAGCACGATGATGCAGGGTTTACTGGCTTCTTCTCCTGATACGACCAGCTTGAGCTACTGGTTGAACTGGAGGGTGTTGCTATGTGCAACGTGGGTTTTAGTGCCTTCCGTTGTGGCAGTGTATATTATATGGAAATACGAAGGTTTGGATCATTTGGGATCTTGCAGCAGGGAGGAGAAAAAACTTCAGCAAGAGAAGGAGAAACCCACTTTGTCACACAGTGATGCTGTTTGGAAGCCGTGTCTCGACCAAATCCATCCTATTTGGTTGTTGCTTTATCGGGTTGTGTCGTTCTCTGTGCTTCTGGCGACTATGGTTGTAAAGCTTTCCAGCAGTGGAGCTCGCATGTATTTCTATTATACACAGTATGGTTCTTTCACTATGAATCTCAATGAACTTTCAGTACAATTCTATTATACTGGGGATGTAGGAGTGCGAGTTCTCCTTTAGTATGGATTTTGTTTTCGTCAATGCCATGCTTCCTCTTGGCATTTTCAGCCATTTTGATTACATTCCAACTTCAACTTTTTAACTTTTGGGTTCTGGTGGCAGGTGGACTTATAATCTTGTGACAGTCTATTTTGCGGTAAGTGTTTTCGCTTGGTTTGTTTCTTTATTAACATTCTGCTGAAAGTTGTAAGGCGATTCAATGCAAAGCCTTCTTTGTAAGAATATACACATGAGTTTGTTATCCCAATGGTGTGCAATAGACCTATGGTGAAATGTAAGAGTCTGTCTGAAGAAGCATTGCCATCTGGGCACTTGCAGCATTAAAAAATATTTGCTCTACCCTGAATGCAGTCTGGCCTTTACTTGTAGCTTGGATCACTGCTCTCGGTTTATGGATGCTACCGATTTCACAAGTTGAGGGTCCATTATGATCGAAGGGATTACGAGCAAGGGTATATTGCCCCTCTACTAACTGAGGAAAGTACAGATGTTCGTGAATTGAGGAAAAAAGCAAACGGCGGAGGAGAAATTTGTATTCAAGAAATTCCTATTGTTTACTACATATTTCAAACCATATACCAGGTAGATAACATCGCAAGCTGATTTCCGCGAGGCTTCCTTTTGGGTTGTGTTACCACCTCACGGTTCTTCTGATCTCTTTCTTGAAACAGATATGTGCTGGAGCAGTTGTTTATACTGATTCCATTTACTGGTTCATTATATTTCCATTTCTTAACATTGCAGATTACACTGTCAACTTTGTAAGTACCGCTTGTCAACTGTATTTTTGTTATACTCACCACATTGCGGCTTTTGTTTCCTTTACCTGGAATTCTGATACTTTCATTCATTTACTTTACAGGTAACTATAGACATGCATACACTCAACGCAGTCTTGCTCATTGGTGACATGGCTATGAATAGCTTGGTAAACTGCTGTTGTTTGATTTCTCTCTCTGTTCCTGTGAAGTCTCATTTCATTTCCGTTCAATAATATCTGAATTGTATATGATATACTTCATTTCTTGCCAGCCATTTCATTGGTTCCGGATAGCTTACTTCATTCTGTATACCGCTTCTTTCGTCCTTTTCCAATGGGCTGTTCATGCCTGTACATCTATTTGGTACTTCCTATATCCTAAAATCTTTCTTCCAAACCCAAAAGCAGTCTTATGCACATATTTTGTTTTGCTAATCTCCATGAATGATGTTCTCTGTAACTTCAGGTGGCCATACCCATTTTTCGACTTGGCTTCACCTTATGCTCCATTGTGGTATGTGTCTCAAGACTGAGTTTTTAGCTGTGGTTATACATGTTCTGATTTCCCTCACTCTCTTTGAAGGTATCTACTAATGGCGTCTCTCTCGGTCACATGCTATGGGCTATATGTGCTGGTTTTCAAGATTAAGCATTTCCTCCTCTCAAAATGCTTCCCCCAATCCTATCATTGCTTGATATAGTCCCAAACACATATACCTGATCTGTCAAGGTGGCGGTCAATCGATCTAGCACTGTGTTCTTCGTGGGTGATTTCAAGATTGTGCGCTCTAGAATTCATCAAATGGAGCTTCCAAGTTATAGGCAGGATGCAGAATTGCAGTAGAGATTCTTAAGAGCAGGGGAACTATTAGGCTAGAAAGTGCACAGATTTGGAGAATGCTTATGCTGAAAGACCATTTCCCCTCTACATGGGGTTTAAGCTGGTCTTCTGTTTCCCTGTATCTAAATCAAACCATTTTCCGTTCTGTATATACTCCTACCCAATAAGAAAGATTAAAAAAAAATTCTTCCTTCTATTTTTTGGTTCTTTACTAATTTTGTTTGTGCAATGCTCTAGGTTCAGGATATAATAACAAAATCTTGTAGGAACTGTGACGAAAACTCGTGGATAGAAGCATATACCAGCTTCATCATCAAAAAGCATAATATATGAGCCGTAACATTACAATATATCTATACAAAAAGTGTTGGCAATTGGCATCACCATTCGACCATCAAGTTCACCAAAAACAAGCAGGGCGCCTTGAACAAACACCATGAACAACTCCCTTCAGAAATCTGTCAAGCTCATAGCTTTTACAAACCCAGTAAACAAAGGAACTTGATATCGCAGAGCACTACAAGACCAGGAAGTTTCTAATTGTTGGGCTTCACGGCATCTCCTCTATACACCCTCCATGGACCAGTATAGAACTTTGGAGTCATCAGAGGCACAACTTCCCCTGGGTGTTCTTCCCAGTACTTCTCCTGCTCAAATTCCACCCAAAAATTACCCGCCCACAAATTATAAATCGTTCTGTATGAAAACACAGGAAGCGAATTGAAGTGGGTGATCCTTAAAAACCAGATCCAATACCTTGTAACGCTGCTCAGTAATGGCGGCGCCGACGACCCCTGTGTAGAAGGCGGCGACGTAGATGGTGACGAGAGGGGTGAAAGATTTGGGCCGACGGTAGGGATCGATCATGTCCCAGAGAATCGTTCTCTCCCATTTTGTGTACAGATAATCCGCGTATTTCCTCCATAGATAGCTCGTCATTTCGCCGCCGGCGGAGGAAGAAGAAATAGGAATGAAGACTGGGAGAGGTCGAAGAGAAAATAGTACGAGAGTTGGCTGTTGGGAAAAGAGAGAAAAGAGTGGTGGAGAAGGCCGAGGCCCAGGGCGGAGATGCCTCCGATGTGGCCCATTAGTTAGTGGACTGGGTGGGCAAGCTAGGACTAAGATCTTAGCGTCAGGCCCAACTTCATTAGCTTTCGGATGAAACTTACCCACCCACGCAAGCTTGTGCCATCGAACTAGTAGTCAGTAGAGGTTTGTAAAGTAGGGTGAGCAATGGTATTGCGCTAGTTTCGGTTATTAGGGGTACATGTTCCTAATCGTGGCGAGTTAGTCATTATTGTTTGAGTATTAATAAAAGTTATACATTCTACATTTCTACTAAACAAGACCACTATTAATTGCCTCAAAATAGATAGAATAACACGTCATATCAAAATTATCAATCCATTGCCAAGAGTTTTCAGTCTCTTCCATCAAAACAAAGGAATATAATTTATCATCCAAAAGGAATTGGGCAAAAAGAGAAAAGTACCCTGTTTGCTTTCTCAATACAAGCTAAGCTTAGTCTGAAGTAGTGGGAACTTTCCAACCAAACAACAAACACCCAACTACTTTACCCTACTAATCACACAACACATTTTGGGCAAAAACAATTATTTGGATTAGTACTAAAAAGAAAAAGAAAAAAGGACAAACAAGTGTAATTCTAAGCCAATAATGATTATTGTTTAGTTAATCATAGCCTATGGACTTAGTTAAAACTTAAAAGGGTCAAACAGGCAAGGTGCCATAAAACTTTTGAGTAGCTAAGAAATCAACAATAGAACATTGATATTTTAACAAATGTGCATGTAAGTATGTAACTACTAACATATTCTTAATAACAATTTTCCTCTATTTTGACAGGATTTTCTCTCCACATTTTCTGAACCGTACCAAAATGCAACCTGAATCAAATTATTTATAGAACTTGTCATATAGGACTCAGTTAGCATACATGGACAGTTCATTTTAATCCATACCCAAACAATCAAAACCAAGCTCGCTACCCTACCCAATTGACCTACGTAACCTGAAACCATTGGAATGCTTCCTCCTATCCGGTGATTGATTAGATTGTCAATATGTGATTTATCATTATTAATTTAGATGAATTAATAGAAAGATCTGAAATTTTTGGAATGTTTATGAAAATGGATAAAGTACTCATACAATTATATTATTTTATTTAAACTTCAATAAAAACACGCTAATTTCAGTAAGCGTCAGTACTCACTCGTACAATTTCATGATCCCTTAATCCTTATACATACTATCCGTATCATAATCACATTTATCCATTATCATCAATCCATATATAATAACGATGGAGGTCCATTCACACAATTTCTTCCACGTTTCAACACTCAAGAAGTCCCATCCCATCGCCCTGGCTAGAATGTGGTCTGTGGAAGCGGATGTAGCAGAGCAGTACTGAGAATACAATTACTACTCATACTTCTCTTTCCCAAGACTCTTGTAGATGGAGAGAAATGAGAGATCATTAATAAATGTTCTAATATGGGTTTGTCTTCTAAACCTCTTTTTCTCCTATAGTTGAAGCCGGCCAGCCTAAATCCATCTTTCTTAGCCACAAATTCCTCTTCTCATTGGTTCAACGAAGTCTCTCTCTCTCTCTCTCTCTCTCTCTAGTGGTGTTGCATGTTCAAGAAAGTTTTGTTCAATTTGATTTCTCTTAATAATTAATTATAGGTTGGATGGAACCCTTCAACATTTCAATTCCACGATGGTTGTATCACATGCAAATGCCTCCTTTGTCAATTTGAAAGGAGAGAAAGAATGGGAGAGAGTAATTTTCACCCACTTGGGGTTTCTTTGTCGTCTTGTGAGAGTTTGATAGCATTTGAGACAAAGATTGAAAACCCTCTATCAACGGTTGGATCAGAAAATCTCATGCGGATAGTTGGTCTGGTATTTAGTTGTATGAAACGTTTAAATCACAATTTCGACATAAAATATCTAATTGTTGACTTTTTCGTAACAATCTCGTGTGCGATTTTAAAATACTTTATTTGGGAAAGTCTAGAACATAGTATAGTTCTACTACGCTTTAGTTCAAGGTCGTTTGTGATAGTTAGATCGTATTTTAATCATAAGATTAGGGATTTGAGATATAGTGATCATGAGAATGGGGCTTTCTACTTAGACAATCATTTATTACATTATGCGATCACTCATGGCGAGAGGTTAATTAATATTGTTGGCGATAGATATAAGCTCTGGTGTACCTTTCATTTTTTTATAAAACGAGTCAGATAACGTAGTGACTTCAGTTATATACATAATTGGTAATTATAATTTACCTTAAGGATTTGTTAGAGTTATGTTGGCTTGGTCCACTCTCCGTATTTGATTGCACACAAGAACACCAGAAATTATGTTTGACTGGCTTCTTCACAAGATGGCTATTTGTGTTACGTTCAAGCACTCATTCCACCCGAGGTTGGTGCAAAAAGTAAGTGCAGTGTGATGCGGACATACATGTCTTGTTGTATAGTCCAATGCAGTCAAAAGCGCGATTCTATCTAGAAGCGGAAAAGGGGTAAAATCGTAAAACGTAGAATCAAAGCGTAAAACCGTAAGTTTTTTACGCATACTGAAAAATAACTAAAAATCTATTAAGTAGGACATATGCTATGCAAAATATGAATGCACAGAATTTAGATAAGTTAATAAATACATGTGATTCATGTTTAAAGTAGAGCAACTTATAGCATCTTAATAATAAGTTCGTAAACATAAATTTTAACGATAAGCCACTTTTCCCTCTATGCTAATGAATTTGGGAAAACCTTATTTGGTGAATTAGATTACTCTATGGAAGTAGAATGCATCCAAGTACCTAGTATGTATCTTTTAATCTCAAATGTATCATATTGTTAGTGATTTGCTTTAAAAATATACTTTTTATAATTAATTTCATGAAAAGAATACTCATGTAGCGAACTAAAAGCGTAAAGCATTTTGGTGAACTAGAACCGTAAAACCGTAAGTTTTTAAGTTTTAAAGCGCAATTTAGTCCGATTTTATACACTTAAGTTTTTATATGGAAACGAAAGCGTTTTGGTGACCCAAAAGCGTAAAATCGTAAGTTTTTAAGTTTTAAAGCGCGATTTTGACTGCATTGGTATAGTCAACAAATGAATTAACTCGAATGACGCGAGGTCATGGATTCATAAACATTATTTTCATTTATTTATAGTTAAGTTTACGATTGGGCAAGTAAATACAAGCAAAGAGGAAACAAAATAGTTAAAGAGTTAGGGAAAGTGACAATTGGTTAGGAAAAGTACTATAATTATCACTTTGGGAGAGGCTATAAGTTACTTAATAAGCTACTCAAAAGTACTTAAGTGCTTTCAAGTCATAGTCTTTCATAAGGCCCTCTCAACCAATTGGGATAGGCCGATAGGGCCTTCCATATTGGGAATAAAGCCAATCCAACTTTCCCCTATGTAATGTCAAAATAGACACAAATATGGCATTACAAAAAACAAATGATAAAGGATTACTTTGGAATTAATCCTCCAATCTTTATTTTTTGTTTGTAAAATGGAGCACTAGATGGATAGATAGTGTTAGGAATCAGTCTCTTAATCAGAGCTAAAGGATACACGATAGAAATAAGTACAAGCATGCCCCATCACTATTCTTATCAAAATTAATTAGATAGCTATATTAATTCAAACTAAACCGAACCAAACATCATCACATGCTTTTCCCATAAATGTAACACGTATTGATGATCATTACACTTCCTTGGACTTGGGATTGTGTGACTCATAATTTTTCAGAGCACCTAATTCTTCCGTAATTAATCATTCGACTTCTGTCTTACTGTCAGTATGGATGTATAGTTGCGTGTACTCTAGAAAGTACTAGATTCGTTTAGTATATTTGTTCTTGAGGTTGTAGCGTGTACATGCAGTATATATGTTGGGCAAATTGAAAAGTTATGAGATTGTTGGTTATATGTTAGCCCATTCAAAGTCTAGTTTCGATCTTTGAAAGAATGAGTTGGCACAACATACTTATGAACTCGACTCTTATTACTTATTATTAAATAAAAATGCATACCAAAATCATTATTCTTGAATTTTCTTGATGTTTATGGGCTTGCATATTGCGATCAGTATATGTCATTTTGTATGTAATCAATGTCAACACACTACGAGATAATCAACTCCTCCTATGAAACAAAGCGAGGAGAAGACAGACACCCTTTGATGCAATTGAACATTAGAATTAATGTCGATAATCCACTTCAATAATAATTTGTGTGGTCTCAGAATTTTCTTGATTAATTTGAGTTTTGAAAAAAGACAGATATTATTAGCTGTTTCCAATTCAACTTTAATTATGACGTAATAGTTTTTATTAGCTAGTCAGGAGAAGTATATAGAACATAATTGTGTTGTGTCCTGCTGTCATGTACTTAGTTTGTTCCCTTTTGTTGTTTTCTGGGTTTATGTTGTGCTAGCTATTTCACCCACAATTTTTACCACTTATTGGTTCCAACTTTCAAGTTTCAACAGTGTGATTAACTGAGAAAATATATATGTTGGGTTGAATTTTACATGTGCTCATACATTTCTTATTTGAAGTATATCATAACAAGAAAAGAGTTACAAAAAGAATTAAAGAGATAGGGAGAGATGATTCTTTCATTATGATGTGTTGCCAATAACTAAATTGTACAATAATCGCATTTCATTATTTCAAAGTAAAAAAAATAATAGAAAAAAAGAATTTAGGTAAATAAGTAATTGCTGACTTTCATCTCCTTCTCTCTACTCCATAAAACTTATAGAGACTCAATGGCAAATTCTACGTCAAGTACTTGTTCATCTTCGTTACCAAACCCTTCATTGGATGAAATAAAATTCCTTTTCCATTTGCTCAATTGTTGCAAAAAAACATACTAATTAGCTCAATTAACAAAAAGTGAAAAGCTATTAAACGACAAAGAAGATAAATCAAGTTGACTGCATGCCGACGATGGGATGTGACTTCACTGTTTCCATGACTCCATCCAACCGCACTGGAAACCCTAGCTAAAAGGGTTTGCTGATTGAGTACAAAAAATATGAGCATTTTGATATATGACAAATCCATGCACTTACTTTGACTAATAACAATATTCAATTAATCAGTGCACTGATCTCATATTGTGGAACATTCCATTAAGTATCACCAAATTCATCACATTATCTTTGACAAAAAAGTCACCTCATAATTTTCATTTTTAATGTATTACTTATAATTACGTATAAATTGACGTACATTGTAACATTTTTTTTACCAATTCTACGTAAAACTTCTCTATGCAAAAAATTTCTATCTCATAATCAGAATTAGTACATAATCAAATTCAGTTCATCTCAAACATTAAGTTCTAGTAGTTTATAAATAGTTGTAGGTGGATCACAGGACTCAATTGTTTGGCGGATCCAATCGAAAAGGAAAAGACTTTGTAGAAGTGGACTTCCACAGTTTCATTCCAACTTCCGTAGCCAGCCAGCCATAAGAGCAGAACCATTGGACTGAAGGAGAATTGTTATAAGTGGTTGCTATCATGGTTAAAAAGGCTTTCTTGCGAACTATCCATTGGGCTTTTGGCCCATAAATATGAGGCCTTACAGAATTCGGCCCACAAGAGTACTGTTTCTTTGGTTTTGAAGTTCAAATTTGAGTGTCAATAAAGTTACTGCATGAAGAAGGACAAGTTCTAATTAATAGTGAAGTGTTAATTGAACTCTCTTAGTAGAATAATGCACAAAAATGAGAGGAAAATAAAAAAAAGAATATATACTCAATTAGTTAAGAGCTCATGCATGGACAAAGTGTATTAATCAAAAGTACATTACTAATTAAGAACATATATATAGCTAATTATTCCAATTAAGCAAATCTCTATCAATAAAGTAAAGTAACAAAACAAGAAATGAAAACCAACATAAAATATCTGATGAAAATTACACCAACTGCATGAAAAGTTTCTCTATATAACCCAAGTTGGCTACCTCCCCACTTTACTTATCCCATTCTCTCTTCTTCCCCATCTCTCATCAAAGGAAGAAAAGAAAACCCTCTTCTATCTCATTCACATTTCCCTAGCTTCTTCCTCTCCTTCTTCTTCAGAGAAAAGGAAGAGATGGAGAAAAAGGGATGCGGCTCGGTGGAAGCAGAAGTGAGGAAAGGGCCATGGACAATGGAGGAGGACTTAATACTCATCAACTACATAGCCAACCATGGCGAAGGTGTCTGGAACTCCCTTGCTAAAGCCGCTGGTACTTTAACTTCATAATTTCCACCTTGTTTCGCTCTTTTCATGAGGAATATATATATATAGTTGTTTTCAGCGATGGTTTTCTGGTATCTGATCAAACGTTTTTGTTGCTGTATGTATATGTAGGGCTTAAGAGGACGGGGAAGAGTTGCAGGCTGAGGTGGCTCAACTACTTGCGCCCGGACGTCAGGCGAGGGAATATCACCTCTGAAGAACAGCTCCTGATCATGGAGCTTCATTCCAAGTGGGGGAATAGGTATATTAATTTCCTTCTTCTTCTTTAATTGGTTGCTGGTTTTGGGCTGTGATAGATAGATATTCTTTGGTGCTCACTGATGTATCCGTACGTAGATATTTTGGAAACGGAGAGTTGAAGTAGTTGGCGCTTCTCTAAGGTGGCGTAGGGTTTCTTTCCATCTCACGTTCTTGTCAGCCGGAAATAGATATGGTGATGATCTCCTATATATGGAATTCACCACGTTCTAGTTTAGGGTTTTGTAGATAGATATTTTTGTGGTAGCGGTGGTGCTGCCGGCCATGATCTATAGAATATCCTCCACGTACGATCGAGGAAAAGATCTCCCCCCCAGAAAGATAGATCCGCGTTGGGTGATGAATCATCGACAACTGCAACTAGGGTTTCCCGGGGAAAGAAATAAGGAGGTCGTTAGGGTTAGATATTTCTCCACAGAGAGACCAGATGGGTAGATGGAGATATTTTCCCTCTTTAATGGAACGTGCTTGCTGTGTTTGCTGATATATATCCATACAGCTGCGATGAAGGATCCAGAACCTAGCTCCTTCTTTCTTTCTTTGTTTCTTTCTTTCTTTCTTTCTTGAGAGAGAGAGAGAGAGAGGTATGGATCCACAATCCAGCTCCTTCTCTCTCTAAAACAGATCTCTTCATCTGCTTCTGCTTCTGCTTCTTCTTCTTCTTAATCTTGTTCTTGAGCTGGGTTTTGGTTGTCACCTAGCTTAGATAGCTAGGGTTAGGTTTTCTCTGAATCAGCTGGCGGCCGGTGACAAAGGATTTGGTATGGCGTTAATTATTTGACAGCTACAGTTCGTAACTAACGTTTTAGTATACTTGCTTTACTTTGGCGTTTTGTGATGATCGGGAGCGATAATATTGTCTTTTGGTGCTGTTATTGTCATTATATAATTATCATGATTATTAGTTCAACACATGATCAGAAATTTGAGATCGATCATGATGATCAGTGGAGGAAACGACGAAAGGATAGGAAGATAATGACGATAAAAGCTTCTGTTTTTTTTCCAATTAGAGGCGAAGCCATGGCGATTAGGGCACATGTTAAGTTTCCTTTTTTAATGAAAAACCAGCACGGAGTTAGGTTTTCGGCTTTTGGCCCTTAGATGCCGACTTTAAATCCTTTCTCTGTCATTCATGGAGTTAGGTTTTAATTAAGTCGGTTTGGATTGTCTCTCGTCGGACGACGATCTATTCTTTTATTCTAGTTCTCTTCTCGATCGTTATTTATTATGGCATTCAAAGTTAGACGACATTAGAATATGCAACTGTGTACTTATTCCGCCAAATTATAGTCATCCATTTCTGCACCACAGAACATGCAAATTAGAACCACTCCATTTCCCACCACCTTTCTCTTCTTCATTATAATTTATCATTATGATCACCATACCGTATAATAACTTTATTATTAATCAAACCTAAATATACATGATCATCAGGTGGTCGAAGATAGCGAAGCATCTGCCTGGAAGGACCGACAACGAGATCAAGAACTACTGGCGCACGAGGATCCAGAAGCACCTCAAGCAGGCCGATCAGCGGTTTCCGGCGGGTCAGCAGCAGCCGGGAATCGGGTCGGACCACCACCATTGCATGAACATGGGCAGCTCGAGCCAAGTCTCTGCTGACACCATGGAGATGGATTACTCGCCTCCTGCTTACCACCACCACCCTCTTGAGGCCTTCCCTGCCGGAGTGGGTGCCACCATGACCATGGCCGTCGGCGGGTCGAGCAGTTCGACGGCGAACATGCCGCCACCGCCGCCGCCTGAGTCGGCTGAAGGAGGGTACTGGAGCATGGAGGAGCTTTGGTCCATGCAGCTGCTCAATGGAGAATGATAAATAATATAATGATTAAAGAAAAGTTGATGAGCCTTTCAGGTGAAACGATGCCGTTTTGGGGGCGGGGGTCTTTGCATTAATGTCTAGTGTTTGTCTATAGGGTTTGAAGCTCCTAGTGTTTTTTTTTGTTTGCTCTCTCTCGTATAAGTATAAAAATATGGGTAGATTGTGTAATATATATATACATTATGCATGAATATGGGTCGGGTTTGTAAGATATAATGTATTTTATGTGATGCGATTTATGTAGACGTACATCTAGTATTTGGTGTGTAAATAATGGGGAAATGAGATTTGAAGAGGTGACTTGATATATATAAATATATAGATAAGCTTTCTTTTTCAGTACATATATGAAATCTTGTTTTTTTATTGAAAATAATGATATATGTTTTCATCTGTACGTATTAGATGAATGCTGGATGTTCTCCATGCAAAATAGAAATTATAATAAATTTATTTGGATTTACAAAAGAAATTATGTTTATACTTTATATTATGGTGGTGGCCATTCTTCCATATAATTACCAAACTCAGCCAATGGGAAGTCGATACGTATAGGCATTAGGCAGGAAGCTCTGTGTAGAAAATCTATTCTTAGCATATGTCATCGTTGTCTTTTGGATAAATGGTCTAAATCTATACATTTCTATGCCAAATCAAACCCTAGCATCGGCCTAAACTCTTGCGTACTTTGCAAGCAAATAAGTCTTCGCATGTGCCTTGCTCCCTCTTCCTCTCATATTCCGTTCGTCAACTTGTTTGCACTTATAAGAGTCATCTTATTATCGTTCTATTCAAATTACATGACTACGCATAGTACTCTTCCTACTAGGTGTAAAAGCAACGCAACAATATCTCGGACTTTACATCTATATCTCTCGGAGTTCTCTTAGATGTATATACAATCTTGGATATGATATAAAAGTAATGATACGTGATTTCTGGCTTGATACACAAGGAAATACAAAATGAACATAGTAGGCGGATAACTAATTATCGTACTATATATAATGTAAGCACGTTACTTGATTACAAGCTTGAGCTTCATGGTAGAGGAGATCAGAGCTTGTGATGATGAGTACCCTTAATCCATATCGATCCCTTATAGCTTGATCTCCTCACAGAAAGCTTAAACATAGTGTGTCTAACTACTTAGGATCAACTCTCTTAACCTCCTCTATATATAATGGAACAAGATGATGAGATGGAAAGAGAAAGATGAAAGAGTAATGGAGTAGTGCTAGCTAGCTCCCAAAGTCAAGTGACGACACATGATAATGGCAAGGCATTTACCATGTACAAATCACGTAACTTTCTTTTTCCTAACTCTTTCTCACTTTTCATCTCCTCTTTTTCCCCGACGTACATGTACACAAGTGCATGTGTGTGTATATTTCCTCTCAAAACACTTGTTATAAGCTGGAAAAGAGAGAGGAGAGAAAGGAGCTTTGGGGAATAGATCCAACACACAATTGGTTGGCTGTTTCCAGTGGCTTATATAGGAAAAAGAGAAGTTTACGAAGCCAAATTCGCAACCTCTCCTGTTCACCCCCATGTTGATGAATTCAGTCACATGTTTTATATGTTGAAATTCGCTTAACAAGTTAGGTCCAGTCTTTCACCATTCACGTGAAAGTGAGAGAGGCCAAAAGGACGGGGGAAAAGCACGTGGTGTGGGTCGGCCATGATGAGAATATTTAAAGTAGTACTACTGCCCAATGCCCATGCGTGCACTCCAGAAATGCAGAAATAGTTCATCAAAGCCATTTACAAACGTAATAAGGTTTATTGAAGGGTTGAGATTGATTCAATACTATATAGGGAGCAGCTAGCCAGCAGCATGGCTTAGAGCTTCTAAGTTGTAAACGTTCAAATATAATTTTCACACGTTTAATTTGGAACGTGCGATATTGCCATAGCCATCAAGCCATGTAGTGGTATATAGTACGTACAGAGATAAAACGATAACATTATCCTCATGTCTCTTGGTTGGAACTAGTTTATGGGGCTTTTTCACATGTGTATTACATTGTGTAAGGCAGACCATTTCCATAAGGACACGTTTCCCGTTATAGCAAAAACACATGCAAGTCATGACCTTTTGGAGAGGCACTTAAGTGATGAAAACGATCGATGGTGTAGTACTCTTTTGCTTTGGAGGGGTATCATCATATCACCCACGTTATTGATTTCACACGTTTATCTCGATCTCAATTACCTTCTTTCCCTGTTTTTTTCCTTTGTTTAAATTTAAAAATTACTGGTTAATACGATGATGAGTCGGCCGAAATTTTTATAGATTTGATAAACATATTCAAATATATTTGTATAATTTATGATACTTAAGTCAAATGCTAATTGTTCACCCACGGACGTTTGTTTAAGTTAATGAGGATAGGGACTAATTTGATAAAGCGAGTAGCTAACCAAAAAATACTTGGTTTGGTAGTAAAAGAAACTATCCATTCGTAGTTCATGAATCAAATAATAATATTTTCAATAATTTCTCTATTAACAACCATAAACGGTACTCATGTTATTCAAATTCTCGATTTCTTAACAAACCAAGCTATACAAACTTTATGGAATGTAACCAAACTTAATGAAAAGCATGTGTTTTTTTATCTTATAATAGCTATTTAATTTCGAAGGCTACAATTATCAACATGTCACTTATTAATTCAGTCAGAAGTGAACATGCAAAAACGTTTAGTAGTACTACACGCATTCTGCTCGGATGCTGCACTCTCTTTAATTGGAAAAAATGGAACATCGACTATCCATAGAAATTTGCAACCACATGTTTGAATTGAGTCACATGTTATATGTGTTGAAATTTGAAAAATGTTAGATTGAATGAATGAATGGCCACACTACGCATGTGGAAGTAAGAAGGTGAGGAAAAAACATATGTTGTGGTTGGCCATGTGGTAATAAGATAGCTCATGAGTGCATTCATTAAGCACAACGTGTTGAAATTCTAGCAGTAGTACTAGTCTTTTTAGATTGTACTATCAGAAAATTGTCTGAGTTCTAGTTTGAGAATCGTCATTATTTAGTGATTTTTTTATATATATTTGAAAAGTATATCTTAAGATTGTTGGATGATTGAATTAATTATAACCATTATAAAAATAAAAATAAATGTCAAAATGACATTATTATTCTTCAAAACATGCCTTCTATGTGTCTACTGTCTAGCGTATTTTGAATTTCGGTTGACCATCAAATTCATTATTCTATTTGAGCAAATCATCAAGAAATTTAATGGTAATTAAGTTGCTTAATGATCTAGGTCATGAATGAATTTTCAAAAGAAGCCCTGAGATCAGTTATACGTATTCTAGTTAAGGGGCGACCTTCAGAATCTAAATCAGTGTTGGACCTTGAAGAGTGACTACATCTTCTCTCATCTTAGTTAGTTGTTAGTTAAGAAATTTGATCTATTCTCCTTCCCAAGGTATGTCATGATTCCTTATAAAAAATGCATGTCGTGAGTCGTTCGGAGACTTTTTGTGCATCTTGTGATCGCATTTTTTTTGTAGGAGATTATGATCACCCCTTCATTTAGAGGAAATTGGATGGAAAATTAGAGTTTTTATTCTTGCTTTTTCCCAAGGCTTGGAGGAAGATGCAGTCATTTGGGGTTTCTTGATTAGCCTTCCTTACTGAAATGAAGAACGTTTGGTTAATAAAGAACTCATCTTTTGGTCTTTCACTCTTCAATACTATGAAGACCTTCGAACCGTGCAATGACTGGAACTGGTGCAATTATTTATCATGGTTCTGAAAAGCGCTCATAGACACTCTTCTAAGCTCGCCTAGGCACAAGTCAGAAGGAAAACACATTGTCTGGGCAGAGAAGGGTCACGATCTCGTTGTGGCTTCGGTGGTGCCTAGTAAGCATTAAGTTGAACCTCAAGATTATGTCACGATGTCTTTTTCTACCTTTTGATATGCTTCTAGGGAGGACGATCTTGATTTAATTTCTATATAGTTAGGCTAGGATATAGTTAGAGACGATCATCTTTAGACTAGCTTCGTCTATCTTTTTTGTGCTTCTTCACTCTCAATCTGCTTCACTATTTTCCAGCTTCTTCTTCCTTACTCATTTATCCACACTATGTATTATGTTTTACAATGTGTTTGTTGATGAAAGTTTAGAAACGAGAGTTAGATGCAATGATATTAGTACATAAACTAGTGATTTCTAGGCCAGTGTGAAATTTTTGCTGCATTTACATCTAACGGTTAGGCACGCCTAAGCATGCTAGGTGCAAGACAGATGCTCAACTCTTGCCTAGGGCTTTCTTGAACCTTGATATTTTTTGAAGTTGTTCTCGATTATATATTGTCTAAGATATCACTTACAAAGGGTTGGCTTAACTTAGACTAGTTTGTTAATTTCATGATCCATCATATGTAGATATTATTTCGTACATTGGTAAAAAGATGATTGTCTTATACAAATTTTGTTAGTCTCATGTTCGTATTTGTTTTAAACTTACTAATTAATATAAAATATCTTTTTAATATTTTATCGATCTCAACATTCAAACACATAATATAATACATCTTATCCTTTCGTACTATGGTGTATCGGATATTATTGATAGTTGGCTCTAAAACTTATCTCAAACTTTCCTTTTTGCTCTTGCCATGCATGTAAATCTCTAAACTCGTGAGAGTAGTTGCAATAAAACGGTGCCATGCATGCATGGATCTCCTGAATAAATAAAATCAATTGAAAGAAAACCAAAGAGATAAAATTCCACAAATTTCCATTTCCACAATTATTTGTTTATGGAGTGGATATATATTTGAAGGACGATTTTGGGTTAGCCAACTCTATGTGGTGGAGAGATGTCATAAGCCTCATCCACAAATCTATCTCTCCCTCCCTTGTGGCCTTATCTACTTGAAACAAACTGGAACCACTTCTCAGCTCATACAAACAACATCCTAACCCAAGTACCCAGCACACATTAACTCACCAACGAATGCAAATTTCATTATTTTGTCTTCATCGTATCAAATGCAGACAACAACAAAAATGAAGAAATATGTAACCCACAAAACAAAAGTTGTAAGTAAATTCCGTATGTTGAGTGGAGGAGTTATGTGTAGTTTAGAGTGGGTTGTAATCCCTCTCAATATTTAATTTTTGATTATAATTTGTAGCTAATACGAGAAACAAATATTGATAATTGGTAGGATAGAGCTATTCGCCCCCCATCCAAGATTTTAACGATTTTTTAAATAATTTCTACCCCTCTTTCATTATAAATCTCACCTTCGTCACCACATACGGTTAGTAGTTAGTGGAAGGCAAAGCCATAAATCTGAATGATAAGGGCTGACTTGAATTGTGGTAACTAAGTGAGGAAGCTCAAGTCTTACAATTATTCTAGTTCCTAAGTTTTACCCTAGCTTCAATCTAATTCCACCATTGTTAGCAGCGTTGTGAAGTCGAACTTTTTTCACTATAAATTTCATGAACGTGGTTGTTGATTATGTAGTTTGAATTTTGTGTGCATATATAATATTTATGACCATTTAGGCATGCAAATTATTTGGTATGACTACAAATTATTTGTTAACCATTTACAACAATAATCTATGCACGAAGTTAAAACCTATACCTTAGGGATGACAAAAATATCCGTAACCGTGGATATTCGTTCGAATTCGGCCTAATCGGGTAGGATAAAACCCGAACCCGAAGGACATTTAGTGGGTACGGGTGAAACCCGAACCCGAATATTGCGGGTAATGGGTGGGCATGGGTTTCTGACTATCCAACCCGAACCCGCCCGATTATACACATACATATGTATTTTGTCTAGAAATAATCATTATTTTTCTCTAACATATTTTATATTTAGCATATAAATATAATATTTTCATGAAATTGTGTTGTTTTAATTAATTTTCTTCATTCTAGTGAATTATTGTCATACTTACGTAATGTGAGAATACATATGAAGGTTAAAATATTGGTTGGAGTTATGAAGAGAAATTATTATCCATGGATAACCGTGGATACCCGAAACCCGAACGGGTATGGGCATGATTTTAATTTTCTACCCGTTTCACATGTGGGTATGGATATGAGTAAAACCCGAACTACTTAAGGTAGGGTAACGGATATGCACTATCCGTCCCCGACCCGACCCGACCCATTGCCATCCCTACTATACCTAGCTAGGGCTCCTAAATAACATAAGCAAAAACAATATACATCATAGTTTAGAAATGATCACGTTTTCATCATCGCAAGTTCGCAACTATTTACTTTTGCGTATGATTATCATCGATAACTTATGTACTCATAAGTTGTCCTTTTGCGAATGTATAATAAAATTGAATTAAGATTTTTCTAGTAATCCTTTCCACTACTCAAATTATTGAGATGAGTTCTTATCCTGCATGGTATTGTAATTGTAATAACCAACACTCTTAATAATTGAATTAAATATAAAAGTGGCGATTACCACATACAAATTTCATACTAAACATTAAACGTTAATGAAAATATATAAATCCTTCAATCTTAAGAGGGGTAACAGTTAACACACTTATAAAAAAGAAAACCTGTTTTTCTAATAGTATTTTTTTTAACGTTATCATCATTCTCATTCTCATCATCATCGGCCATCATTCCTCCAACTTGGCCGCCACCCTGATCTCCTCTTCATATCATCATCACGTTTCCCAACGAAACTTTGTCACCGACGTGGCTGAATCTCACTGGTTAGTCTCCAACATGGGTTGACCCCATTACGGCATCTGAACCATCATGAACCTTCGGATCACAGTCCGTGGGTCCGACCCGACCATCTTGTGATGGTATGTTTGACTACAATGCAAGCTAAGCTCGGGACTAACTAAGAACGCAAGGAACGACCCTCTAACCGGACGGAACGGATGGGTATAACGCCGTTGTAACGTGGTTGAAAACTCTGATATAGTTCCTGAACTTGTCTTGAGTTGTTGAGACGGTGCACAATCTTTTTTCTTATGCTCAACATGGTCATTGACATATTTACTATGCATGATTCGTTCAAATGGCCTACCATGACCTTGAAATATGTACTACGTACCAATACCATGATGTGGCGTGTACCATATTAACTAGCTTTGATACATCAAGTTATACTCCAAGTAGAGTTAATATTACCCAACATCTGGCGCATGTAAATCATACGTAAAGTGGAATTACTCTACTACATACAATGGACAAGTATGGTTTTTTTTTTGTAGTTGTATGGCGTTTATACATGTATATTAGAATGACCTAGCTAGCCAGCTTGACCTACTATGGCCTTAGTTACAGAGTAAGACAAGGTCTATCAAGCCTAGGCTTATCACACTCGAAATTATAAGTTTGCATTGTTGCTATATTAAGTGGAAAAAATAGTTATAATAGGATAAGCTTGTTGAGAATGATCTTGTGCATTCGTAAAATGTTGTGATCATCACTTATAAATTTATAATACACATCGATAGAAAGTTATAGCAAATGAGGATTGTTTTTCTCCTTAAAACTGAACCCTGGGATGAGGAACTGTTCATTATTGTCTCATTAAGTTCTTGTAAGGGATTCATGTAGACGTCAACCATTCTCCACCGTTCACATTATCTTATGTATGTATTTTGAAACTACACATGACATTAATCTTTGGGGGGTTGATTGGCCAATTTAACAAACTTAGTGGCTATAATAGCGAAAAACAAAAGTACAAGGGCTGAATCGGCAAACGAAACATACATGAAGCCGAGGGAACGAAGGAAGGATTAACGGACCAAAACCAAAACAAAATCAAACGTGGTTCAGTTTCATTTGACATTTGTGGGAGGCGCGAGAGGGCACTCCCAAAGAAGAGCGGAGAAGGAGAAGAAAAAAAGGGGAAATTCGGTTTTGAGGAAGAAGAAGAGAAATTGGCGGAATTTTTATAGATTAGATTAGAATTTAGATATAGATAAGATTTGATGGGAAGAGCATTTGTTTACGTGATTCTGGGAGGTGGAGTAGCAGCTGGATATGCAGCTCTCGAATTCACCAGGAAAGGCGTCGCTCCTGGCGAACTCTGCATCATTTCTGAAGAACCTGTAAGTTTTCCCCAAGAATGATGATTCCTGTTTCTTCCTAAAAATGGAGGGCTTTGATTTTCTGAGTTAGTTTCCCGAGATGGGTGATCAGGATTCTTGTTTTTCACGGTGGAAAGTTTGCTTCTTTCAAGCCGTTGAAGGTTTCAAATTTCAGTTTTGTCCGTTATTGCTCGCCAGTTTGATTGCATGGAGTAGATAGGTGGGTTTGGATGGGATTGTTGCAGATGAGGTTCATTCGTTGAATTACAGCACAGAAAGAGCATTGCTTTTGATGGAATTTGATTGGGGTTTTCTTGGTTTTGCATAAAGATGGTTCCTTTAAGTTAAGGCAATAAGCCAATGACTACTACTACCCCTATGTCTGCAATTTGTTTATCTCTTGAATCTAGCTTAAGTTTAAGGGCAGTTTGAGGGTGAGGAAGCTTAAGGCCGATGCCTAATCTCGATTTAACGATGAAATGGGAACTTTTCGTTGCATTCATGTTGTAAGAATACTGTGGAATGTGATGGGGTCTGATGTCTTTCAAGCCTATGCACTGAGAAACATTGCTGCTGGAATTCCTTCTATTGTAGGGTTTTAAGGTTTTAAATAGCCCTGCATAAATGTGACAAGGTTTACAACTTTCATTCAGGTTGCACCTTATGAGAGACCTGCCCTGAGCAAGGGCTATTTACTTCCAGAAGGTAAAAGGGTTCTTATCGTTTATGTAGAGTCTGTTATCGATATGTCATAGTTCTCTTCTTACTTCTCCAGAAAGAGTAGTTTTTTTCTTCTTCTGTTTCTGTCTATTTTCCTGTTTGAATTTCACTGGGTAACAGCTAACAAACTTCGTGCTCTACTAAGCCAAAAATTAGGATGAATTAGTTGAGTACCAGGATTAGATTCAGAACTTTTAGCCATTGGGTGTTTCTATTGAAGAAATTGGTTTACTCTGGATTGTAGTTTATTCTTATCTTTTGTTACTCATGGTCACTTGTGCTTGAAGACTGAAACCTTTGATAATATGCAGCTCCCTCACGCCTCCCATCGTTCCACACCTGCGTTGGAGCTAATGAAGAGAGATTATCTCCAAAATGGTATAAAGAACATGGTAATTTTCCTTGCAGGCAATGATTACTCTGCTGGACAATGTCATTATCATCTCACTAACTTCGTTCTCTAGGCATAAGCATCTCCATATAAGTGCTATTGTCATGTTACATATAATGTCAAGTTATTTAGATCTAGCAAAGAATGTTTATCTTGCTTAACTTATCATTATTGTTCATGCTCTTGCTCATCAGGGATTGAGTTGGTGCTTGGTACTCGAGTTATATCTGCTGATGTAAGGCGCAAAACATTACTCACTGCTGCAGGGGAGACTATAACTTTCAAGTTTCTCATCATTGCAACAGGTGCTCGGGTATTGCTACCAATCTTTTAATCGTTTGAAGTTCAATTTACAGATCACCAAAATATCAATAGATGATTGCAGATAATCACGTTCACGGAGAGTGAAAGACTGATTGTCAGTCCACCAAGAAGTTGGAATCTTTATGGGATCACAAAATCTATGGTTTCTATAAACTTCTGACCAATGTCGAATTTGTGACTTGCAGGCTCTGAAGCTGGAAGAATTTGGAGTCACAGGATCGGATGCTCCAAATGTGTGTTACTTGCGAAACTTAGCTGATGCAAACAGGCTAGTCGATGTGATGGGATCCCGATCTGGTGGGAATGCTGTAGTGATCGGCGGAGGCTATATAGGAATGGAATGTGCCGCGTCTTTGGTGATCAATAAGATGAACGTGACCATGGTTTTTCCAGAACCACATTGCAGTATGCAATCGTAATTTATTTTGGCTGTTCTTTCATCCAATGTTAAGCATGAAATTACAGTCATCATATCTTCTTTCCTGTTCTCAGTGGCAAGGTTGTTTTCGCCGAGGATAGCAGCATATTATGAGGAGTTCTATAAATCCAAAGGAGTACAATTCGTCAAAGGCACTGTCTTGTCATCTTTTGATTTTGACTCCGATGGACAAGTAAGAAAAGACCTTGTTTGTTGTATTGCTATTCAGACTTATGTCTTGGATTAGTGTAACTTGAGTTTGCAATGACTGAAAGAATGACTGGCTTGTTGCTTGCTATCATCCATCCCTTTATGTCGTAGTGAAGAGAATGCACTATCGTATTGCTTGATTTGCAGGTTACATCTGTGAACCTAAGAGATGGAACTCAGCTACCAGCAGATGTAGTTGTGGTTGGAATCGGGATACGACCAAACACCAGTCTCTTCGAGGGCCAACTGACTGTAGACAAGGGAGGAATCAAGACAAACGGTAAAATGCAGACAAGCAACACGTCAGTCTACGCAGTTGGTGATGTGGCAGCATTTCCAGTCAAGCTGTTTGGCGAGACACGGAGGCTGGAGCACGTGGACTCTGCCAGGAAATCAGCGATACACGCTGTTGCCTCGATATTGGATCCCCAGAAAGCAGATGAGTTTGACTACCTCCCATTTTTCTACTCCAGGGTCTTTGCCTTCTCCTGGCAGTTTTATGGGGATAATGCAGGGGACGTGGTCCACTTTGGTGACTTCTCCGGGAGCAGAATCGGGGCCTACTGGGTCAGCAAGGGGCACCTGGTGGGGTCGTTCCTCGAAGGTGGAACCAAAGAGGAGTATGATGCTATCGCCCTGGCCACAAAGGTGAAACCAGCAGTTGAGGATTTGGCTAAGCTGGAAGAGCTGGGGTTGGAGTTTGCATTGGCAATCAGCGAGGGACCGGTGGAAACTTCTCCCCCATCTGGTGACAATGTCGAGAATCCCCCTGGATTGGCAGTGGAGAAGCCAACGGTGTATCCTTGGCATGCGGCAGCTGGTGTTGTTGTTGCTGCGTCGGTGGCTGCATTTGCTTATTGGTACGGGAGAAGGCGTAGAAGGTGGTGAACAGTCGTGGAGGAAAGTTATGTAATCTGTTGAATGGTGTAGGTTACTTGAAATTGAAAACTTGTACCTTGTGTCACAAGTTTCCACTTGTTGTACCAAATCATATAGGAAGTCTTTTTTTTTTTTTTTTTTGAAACTTATATCATATAGGAAGTCTTAGGATATGTTGAAAGATACATCTTGATGATGATGAGACTACGATTTGGAGATATACCATTTTCATTCAAGCACCGAAGAGTTGTGTTCTTATCATCAAGCACAAAATTAATGCATCACAAAATTAAAGTGGAGGTCAAAGAACTTGATTAGGTGGTAGGTAAATGTATTGCTAAATTTGTACCAAACTAGAAATGATACATACAGAGGCATGATGGATGAGGATTTCATGTTAAGTGGGAATCAAGTTAGGTTCTATACTTCTAATTGATTGGGCTCTATCTATTCTAATATGTTATTCAAAGAAAACTATCAAATAATTTAACTTTCTTATCCAAACAACATAAAGAGATAGTGATTTGAGTAATGATGTTTAATTATTCAAAAGATAGAGATTCATACATGGTTTAAGTGGGAATTTTACTACAATATGAGTAAATATTAAGAAAGCCGAGATAAAATTATTTGAAAAAGTGTAGAACTAGGTGAAAATAGTACACATGTCATATTTTACACTACTCACGAGGCAAACAATATTAGTTCAAAGAAATCAGGATAAAACTGATAGAGTGAATCATATAAAAATTATGATCTTAATAGAGTACTATGATGAATTTTTGAAACAAAATCAAATAGTACATTTCAGTTCAGTGGTATGATTCTCACTTAGGGAGTGGAATGTTCTCTTTTATACTACGGTTATAAATTTATAATACGATTAAGAGAAGTGAAAAGAGCAATAGTACTAGTAAAGAACTGACATGATAGTAGTATCTATCTCCCATCTGCAGATCAAAATTACAATTGTCTCCATAAATTAAAAACAAACAAGCAGGGCATTTGGTCTAGTGGTATGATTCTCGCTTTGGGTGCGAGAGGTCCCGAGTTCGATTCTCGGAATGCCCCTTTTGTACAACTTTTTGACTTTTTCCCATTTATACCCTCTCCAGCCACATACTCTACACAACCAGCTAAGGGCACTGATGTCTTTCCACCCACACTAGTCCCGAGTTCGATTCTCGGAATGCCCCTTTTGTACAACTTTTTGACTTTTCCCATTTATACCCTCTCCAGCCACATACTCTACACAACCAGCTAAGGGCACTGACGTCTTTCCACCCACACTATCATCCATAAACTCCAATCACAGTATCACAGTTCCAATCTTCCTGTCTCTTATCCTCTCCAATCCCTTCCATCTGCTTTCCCCATTTCCCTCAAACCTCTGCTTCTTCTCCCCAGAATTCCAACAATGGCGTCGACGGCAGCTTCCCTCTCAATCTCCGCCGCCTCCACCAAGTGCGGAATGGTGGGATTCCACTCAGCTCCCTCCGCCGTAGTTCTCGATTTCCCGCTCCGCAGCTCCCCTTTCCCATCCCTCACCACCACCACCCGCCGCTCCACCTCCCACGTCCGCCCCATCTCCGCCGTCGCCGCGCCGGAGAAAATCGAGAACCTGGGCGCCGAAATCTCCTCCTTGACCCTCGAGGAGGCCCGAATCCTCGTCGACTACCTGCAGGACAAGCTGGGCGTCTCCGCGGCCGCATTCGCCCCCGCAGCCGTGGCCGTCGCGCCAGGGGCCGCCGTCGCCGAGGCTGAGGCGCCTGTGGAGAAGACAGAGTTCGATGTGGTCATCGAGGAGGTGCCCAGCAACGCGAGGATTGCGGTGATCAAGGCGGTCAGGGCGTTGACGAGCTTGGCGTTGAAGGAGGCCAAAGAGCTCATTGAAGGGCTCCCGAAGAAGTTCAAGGAAGGGGCTTCCAAGGAGGAGGCGGAAGAGGCCAAGAAGCAGCTCGAAGAAGCTGGAGCTAAGATTGCCATTGTATGATGGTAATCTAATTTGAAAGTTTAGAGCTTTAAAGAAGAAGAAAGGGAAATGCTTTGAATTTGGAATCTGTGTAATTGTAGCATTTCCCGATTTGAGGGTTTTAGGGACCAAGAGTACAGTAGTTTGTTTGTGATTTGTAATGTGGCTTGTTTTTGTCTCTGCAATGTTATGTGAAATTCTCAAATTCACAATAACAAATGAACTGCCATTGGGAATGTTGCCAAGTTGTGAATTGAATTGAATTTCTGCAGGCTGGTCCTTGAAATTGCATAAGTCGGTTGCGTTTGTTAAACCATGTATTAGAGCTAAGGGGTCGTTTGCTTGAGGGTTTTGGTGATGGATTTGGTCATGGAAATATATCCATCATGGACTTGAACCGAAATCCATAGTTTGCCTTAGGGAATTAGGGAGATGGAATTTGTGGGGCCCACCACTTTTGGGGTTCCAAATCCGTGGACCCCACGGACTTGGAAGTTCCACCTCTTGAGGTGGGATTTGGGTGATGGATTAAAATCCATGATGGTAAATTACCTTTCTACCCTTAATTATTTTTTTAATTACAAATTTGTCCTACTTTAATTCAATGGTCATGCAACTGTAAACTTTTATAATTTCGTATTTTATAAATATGAGAAGTTATCATTTCATTTTGTAATATCGTATTTTATTTAAATATGAATGTATATGTGATTTGTTAGATTCACCTAGAAACACTTTATGCTCATCTTGTACATTATTATTTGATTGATTGTCGGATTCCACATCGGTGAGTTAGCAAGAAGATGATGAGTTGTAGCAATAAAGCGAGCAATTGGCTGCAATAGATACATAATATTGCGTACATTATTAGATGAATTGTTAATTAGTGCCAAATTGTAATACATTTATAAATTTTTAGTTGAATTATTAATCCACATAGTGGTAAAGAGTTTAAAATTTCTTTCTATGTTTTGGATTAGTTTTAAATGAAAGATTTGGATTATAATATAGAAATATAATTAAATAAGGGTAAATAGGTAATTTGTATTTAATATCCACAAATCTAATCAAACAAAGTCCATAATCAAATCCATCAAGCAAACAATAGACTTGTTCAAATCCATAATGCCACCAAATCCATCATATATCCATGGTTTTCCAAAACCCAGGTTTTACCAAAACCCTCATTTTTCAAATCCATGAAGCAAACGACCTAAGTTGATAGTATGGTATATCGAATTATCGATCTTTTTTTACTATGATTCCTACTTGGTTTTGTTATATATAGCACACATTGAGTTGTTAAGTCTCACCTAGAGCTAAATCAACAATGCTATAATAAGGTTCAGAAGAAAGTTGCAGTAGTTGGATAAGCTTTAAGATGGAGAGATAGATAGAGAGCTATGTGAACTTTGGTATAGTTTTTGCGATGTACTTTACACACAGATAGGAATCTGCAGGTGACCCTTGTGCGAACTATACATTTTCACTGCAACTCCTTTCAAAAGGTACAAATTTAATCTCACTGAAGAGAAGTATGCTAACTTTTTATCAGAAGCTCAAAAATAGAATGGTAAAGCACAAATTGAATGAAGAACACCATGAAATGGTGGCATCTTGGGTCTAATTGGCCCTTTCAGGCCGACTTCAATGGAGTAAGACTAGGCTTCTAAGCAGATCAATGATGGAGAACAAGTTTCTCTCTCTTTGCTTACTCGCTTGGAATTCTTTGTCATAGCCTGGATCGTGTACATGAAAGTCAAGCTACTGGGTTTATAGCCTACCTTCGACATCCTCTGTTGCAGCTTCATCATATCACCACCTTCTTCGGACAGAACCCTAGCAACTTCATGGTAACTCTCATTGTCGAAGATGCCAACTCCCATAGCAAATGATTCCAACAATGCTTGTGCTTTGCCCACATCCCGTTCTTTGCAGTACCCGAATATCAAAGCTCTGCATATTTCTAAATCCAAAACTATCCCATCTAGAACCATCTCGTCGACCAAAGATTCAGCTTCTGCACTTCTGCCTGTTCTACACAAGCTAAAGATGAGAGCTTTGTATGTCTCAACACCCAGTTTCCCTTCCCTACAAAGGATCTCGCATTTCATAAACAATGCATCAACCAAACAATCAACTTTGCAGAGAGAGACAATGAGCTTTTCGTAAACTAGCATGTCGGGTTCATAACCGTCGCGAGCCTTCCTTTCCACAAGACTCTTGGCTGCAAATGGTTTTTCTTCTTCACACAGACGAACTACTAGATAATCATAAACATCCCATGAAACCGGAACACCCAGTCTCTCAACCTCCACGGCCAAATTCAGAGCTGAAATCAACCTACCACCTTCTTTCTTCCCATATGCTAGGATCAAAACCCGGGAAGTAAAACTATCGGGACAGATCCCATTCCCTATCATCTGATACATCAATGCCTTAGCCTCTTGAACCCTTCCTTCCCTACAGTAACCCGAAATCAGAGTGTTATAAGCCACTACATCCGGGTTCAACCCCCGGTGAACCATTCTGTGGAAGAACTGATGAGCATCCTTCATCTTCCCTTCTCTACAAAGACCATTCATCAATGAAGTATACGAAACCAAATCTGGCATCACGCCTCTTTTGTACATGATCTTATACAGGTAATAAGCATCAGCCAACTTCCCCTTCCTACAATAACTACTAATCAAAGTGTTATATGTTACAATGTCTGGCTCAAACCCTTCCTCCTCCATTTTCTCAAGGAATTCATTGACTTTACTAACGTCTCCATTCCTGCAGAATGCATGAGTCAAGATATTGAAAGTGAACTCATTTGGGCGGATCCCAGTTCTCCCCATTTCGTCATAAACATCCCAACATTGAGCAGTGAGATTCGATTTCAGAAGTCCATTCAAGAGGCAATTACATGAACTCACAGTGGGAACAAAGCCAGCTTCAATAGCCTTCATAAACGCAATGAAACCTTCTTTCACTCCGCCCAATTTCACATGGGCCTTGACCAGCATATCGAAAACCACAGGGTCCCAATTGCAATCTTCCGAGTGAAGCACCAAGCTCTGGAAAACATCTTCACCAGATGAAAGCTCTTCAACCGACTGAATCAATTCGGTCAGGAGTTTCATGGCCGGTTTGAATTCCTTAGACCAGGCCAAGATGTGGACGATGAGGCAGTAATTCCGGGGAGTGGGGCTGAGACCCAAATCGTTTTTCACCCAATTGAAGAAGGATAGAGCTGAAACTGAATCGGACTGACATCGCAGCAGAACCCTCGAGATTTCGGCGGGACCCAGGTGAGGGAGGAGGTGGTTGATCTGGGCTTGGAGAAGACAGAGATCGCCATTGGGTTGCTTGAGAGAGGAAGAGATGATATTGACTATTTCGTTGGGGTTTTGGGTTTGCGGGAGGAAGGTGTAGAGTGGGTTCGCGAGGGGTTTGGAGCTTGGCGGAGGAATATGTTGCAAGGAGGAAGAAGAAGAAGAAGAAGAGAAGGGGGGAATAGGGGTTATGGAAGGTACATCGGAGGAGAAAGGTGCTGCCTTTCTGATGAGTTTTGTTGAAGCTCTGTTCATTCGCCGGCTTCAAAGGACGAGAATGAAATCGGAGTAAGTAACGACGAGGAGAGAAAGGGAGAGACCGGACGGGGAGCATCGAGCTTGAATGAGTGTGCCACCCACCACCACCGTCCACCAGTGACGCTGTAAACTACTAAACTTGGTGTGTTTCTATATGTAACAAAATTTACTTACTAAACTTTGAAATCGTAACAAATTAGTCACCGGACTCATATTTTGTAACAAAATGGTCAGTAAGTCAATCAATCGTCAATTCGTCATTCAATAAAATTAGATTTTGTCAATTATGTAAACAAAGTTTGTTACGTCTAAAAACATGTTATCGACACTCAATCAATCTATACTTTCTAACTTATTTAATCCAAAAGTCCGATGTTCAAAACTTGTGAATTTTTCATATATTTTTAAAATCAATTTGGTTGATTAAGTGTGAGAATTGGATAGGATCCTTCTGTTCCTTCTCCCACCAATGTGTTGGTATCTAACCTTTTATCATGATTCGTGCAGACAAAAAAAAATATTACACCAGATAAATTAGCGAAATGAAATTTTAATGGTACAACATGATTCAATCAATATCATATTGATGTAATATCATTGACGTAAAACCAACTAGCTTGAACTTGCAGAACGCTTAACTTTTCCACTTTTTACAGCCGAGTAACATAAGAGTACATCACAAATAGCGAGCAATGTCTTATGCGGATGTCACAATGTCACACTATGCTACAATCTCACTAGCCAAAGCCAATGAGCTAAACTCTACTGCTTAAGTTAGTACAGACACCGACGGTGTGAGGAGGTCCAACCCTAATGCTCGAAGATTAAGTTGGCAAGTCGAAGCTGATTCTCGAGCGGCAGGAAATCTTTCAAACATACACAGGTACAATGCATCGTACGCAGTAAGAATGGCGCGATTTCCTTCTCGCTCTCATCAATAGGTTGAGTGCTTAACAAGCTATACCTAGATGTAACCCAGCTGTGCACTCGTTCCAATGATACGAAGAGATTTGAAGCGATGGATTCTGCCACAACTTCCCAATTGGGTTCCTTGAGTAGAGCAGCAAGAGTGACTGGTAGATCGCTTAGTACGGTGAATGTGTCTATGGTCAGAAAGGGCATGTATTTGCAGCAGATGCCGGATACGAGACCGATGAATCTCAGTGCCTGCAAAGAGTAAAGGGAGAAGACTTGCTGTTCAAATGTTTCAGCACAAACACAACCATGTTTTCAATGGAAGACTGCAATTCTGATGTAAAAGTTACACATGCGAGCAACAGAAGTATTATACTCTCGTCTCATCTCACATCAATCAGGAGAGTACACTATATAACTGTATGCTGCTGGACATTGAAGCTATAAGGTGTGTGTGAAGGACAACATAAGTACCGTGGATGGATGGGTTGATACACAGCTTATTTCCACGGCATCAACCAGCCACTGTCTCTTCACACTTCCGTCTGCATGTTGCAAAGCTGCAACAACCTCGATGAGAACATTCCAAACACCTGTATCATGGAGACCCAAAACCAGTGTGTAAAGCTTTTTTTGGGAGAAGCAGGAATGCATCAAGCAAAAACTAGATACCGTTTTGGCAATATGAATTAAGGAACAAAATCACAAGTGAAGCTAACCATCTGATTTGGAGTTCAACAAACTAGATTTCAGTTTTCCCAGCTCAATAAAAGGGATGGAGCCAGTTCGGGCAAGCTTTGACTTCGCATGAATCTTCTTTAGGATTCTGAAGTCCCCTTCCGTGACACTCACCAAGGGAACCTATGAGATGTAAAACCAATCAAAAGATAAGCATAGAAAATAAGAGTTCTTATATGTTTGCTCGTACAAATTGCGGCCTATCAGATACAATCAACGACTGCATCTTTGATGCACGGCTACTATTATTACATCTGAAACATTAGTTAGAGTTCCTAGCGAAAACTCAAAGGCAATATCTGATTGAAATTAGAAAATCAAAAGCGGAAACAAGATCGTCGGAAACAAGATCTTCGGAAACATATCATCTTGAAAAGTTAGATAAAGGTGGCAAGTCTAACCTGCAGAAAATTTGATAGCCAGTCCCTTCGAGCCTTTGACAAACATCTAACAGCTTCAATCCATTCTTGAGAGGAACTAGGCCCATGATCACTAATCTCAGCAGAATCTGACGAGGGCAACAGAATAAACAGAACCTCCATGCACCGTTCAATACTAGATATACACTCTAGAGAGTCGAGGGAAGCTTCATCTAAACACTCACATACACCCTTCCAGCATGATACCCTCAAGAACCTTTTCTGAACAAGGCTGCATGCTTCATATGATGAATCAGAAGAAAAGAAGTCCATGACGTCATCTAATAGAGTCAGTAGCCTAGACCCTGAGAAAACCTGTATCAGGCCAGCCAGATGACTAAGGAGGCATGATTGAAGATTCAGCTCCAGTGTCCTGAACCTTGACAGGAGAGAGAGCTCATCAAGGAATGTAAGAAGCTGATCAAATTGGTTTGCATGGGATATAGCGAAGTGCAGGCATTCCACCCTAAGTGTTACTCTCTCAAAATCTGAATCTGAGGGCACAGATTGGGAAACTTGAGCCTCATATCTCATGCAGCGCCTAATGATAATTCCCCAATCAACAGCTGGAAGCCGTGGAGCTCGTGAAAGGCATCTTAGGGCAGCAGCTGCATTGCCAACAAGAGTAAACCTCCCAGCCTGAAATCATAAGTTTGAAAGATTAATGACCATAACAAACTTTCTTCGCATCAAGTACCTTTTTATTGCTAAAAACTATTTCTTATCTCATCAAATCTACTTTTTTGAAAACATAATCAAACACAATTCTTCTTTTCTTCTCATGTAACTGGTCACTCAAGTTAAAAACAAACACCCAAAGCATCATCTTACGCTAATAATTGTGAAATTTGCAGCCTACCTCGGAAAAGTTCAAATTCAGAAGCCACATAGATAGCGTCAACACTAAACTATCTTCAGGAAAGCTGTTTGAAACTCTTCTGGAGTCATCAACATCAGACTGCTCAGTAGGTTCAATATTTTTACTTTCCTGTGACCATAAATGGTTTCGCAGGAAGGACAGCGCCCAAGCTGCATTCTGTTGTATCAGAAGATCGTTGGGATTCTGAGCTACAAGAAACATCTCTTGCACCAATGAAGTCAAATTTGCTTCGCAAACTGGACTCGAAAGCAAAGGACCTAAAAGATGAGATGAATCCTGCAATAGAAAACCAAATATTGCTAATCTTCATGAGAACAAATTCTTGATGTAAATCACAAAGTACTGAGAGAACAAATAATATACCTGATCATAAGCACTCCTCATTTGAGATGAAAAGTCATGAACCAAAATCCCAACTGCTCCGCCCATGGCATTAACTATTCCAAGCATCCCACCAAGATTTATCATTGAAGGATGAGGATTAGTATAGCACTTTCTAAACAAGTCAAGCAGACGTTGTATGTACTCGCCATCAACAGGGTGCACCCCTTCTTTTAAAATGCAGGCAAGAAGGCTTCCTGCTCCTATGCATGAGGCTGCCAACAAGCTTTGATGGAAAGTACCAGATTTCTTCACTGCTAAGAGTTCCACAATAAGATTCTCATATCCATGAAGTAGATGATCCAGCTGATCATGATTCATCAATTCTACTTTCAGGCAGAAAGCAAGAATATTAGGAAGAATGAGAGAGGATCCTACTGATAGAACCTTGTCCAGCTCCTCTCCAAGGAAACTACTGTTCAGTGGTGAAAAGTCTACATGTGGAATCCAGGAGATAATCAGGTCTTTTATCTTGAGTATGGCATCATATGCCCCAGCCTTGTAGATTGCACCAACAGAGAACCCCAAACCAAGGACGAGACCAGCAACACCCCATACATCTTCCCCAAATTCAACAGACTTTTCAACCAAGAACTTAGAGCTGAGATCTAATCTAGAGCCGCTATTACCCAGTGGGAGGCATGCAGATAAGCCTACCATTAAATCATGTGAAGCTTCACTAAGCGGACTTATCATCAGAAGCAGTGCCCTAACAATCCTAGATAGTAAGTCAAGCTCTTGCATCCTGTAGTTCTCTTTCTCTTTATCATCCGATTCATCAACCCTGCTCAAGAGATCTTCACATGAAAAGCCCAAGCCAACACCGCATGCACCTTTCACAAGGGTGCTTCTGCTTGCATACAATACCTAATCTCACCAGCGCATGTTGGTGATGCGACATTCAGTCAGTGAAAACAGAAGAAGAAAAAAGCTTTCACATGGAAAAGCTAAAATAATAAAACAATAAGCAACAGCTTGTCTGTACCTCAAGCAGCCCATTGATGTTTTCATATTTCTGCTTATGATCCGTGACATGGAGGCCAGTTGAGGTCAGGCCGAGCGAAATTGCAGCTGACCATTGGCGATGTTCATGGTCATGCTGGAATAGCCAGTTCAATAGAAATTTTGAAGCAGTTGACTTAACAGTATGGGCAGATGTAGGCAAGACCTGACAAAAGTTGGCAAAACCGAGCATTGGGCTAAGAAAACCATGCCTCTGCAGCATTTTAACGTCTAATCAAAGTGAAAAATGGGAAATCAAATAAACATTAAGGTTAGTTAGTATATTAGCGCCTTCAGCAGTATTAGTTGATTGCCGCTCAGCTAAGCCGTTATACTTATCAAGTTTTAGTTCATTTGGTAGAGGAAAACATATATCCATTTCCGGTGGTTCAATGACCACACATAAGTTTCCATCAGTGAAAATCCTTGACGCAGCAGTGAGACATAATTGAATGTATTACAGCACAAAGGGGATGAGTTACCGTCACATCCCCTAAGAGGGATGTGAGATTCACATCCAAGGGCAATTTGGGTATGAAAAAAAAACAGAATTTATTATTTATTTATTTTTGTATTAATTATAGATTGGGAATTAAAAACCCAAATTAAATACTTTTTTAATTTAAATCCTACAATTAATACGCTTATGTCTCTCTCTCTCT